AGAATGTCTGGCAGCAGAGAGACAAGAGGATCGAGCAGTAAACAATGGAGCCAGAATGCAATTTGTATGAAAATGCAAGAACAATGAAGTCTGAGTCATGTTGAGACAACTGATGGACATTTTGCAAATTAAGCATTTACCATATGATTGTTAGATTTTATTAAGTTCTTTAATTTCCTACTAAGCACACTCGACTGCCACACCCGTGATCTTATTCACTACAATAGGAAAGAGTAGGCATCGAATGTACGACTTGAAAATATAAATTGGTGAAATAAAAATAGAAAGTTATTAAGAATTTGGAATCTCAGGATTTGGGATAAGACAAAGAACGGATGCGCCTTGAAAACAATTTTGAAGTATTTCATCCAAAATCTCTAACCATTGGTTACGGTGATCGTGCTGACCCTATCAGATACTCTACAACTACTAACATGGCTGAGTTCAATTATTACTGACTTCATGGAATGATGCCATGTTTTGTTTTGGGTCAGTTGAACTGTTCACTAAAGTCTTCCGCCCATCTGTTCAATTTCCTGGATTGAGAGTGAATAATAGTCCCGTATTTTTCCGAGATAGTTTTACTAACAGCTGAATATTTAATACACGTTTCCTTGGTAAGCTTTCGCTGCTTACCATTGCTCACAATCATTAACAGGTTGGTGAGTTGTCGATTTCATTCTACTGGGTTTTCAGTGGTAATTGTATTAATTAGAACGACCTTTGAGTAAAGTGATTAGATAAAGACTTTCAATTTTCCTTGAGACCATAGGTTAGATCCCGTGCGGTGTAGTAGTTACGCACTAATACGAAACCTCAGAATAAAAAGGAGCAGTTGTTAAATGTTCTGAACCTTTCAGTGACAATCTAGTTAGTGTCAGTGGTCATGATGTAAGATATCTTGTAAATGGAAAACATCCCTGTTAATCAGTCAGTCAGTAACAACGTAGAACTTCGTAAGTATGTACATCAGTTCGACTTGCCACGCCACATTAGCATAGAGATGCAGTGGTCGATTCAAATCCCGTAGTGGTAGAGGTAATAAGAGTATAAGCAGTAATCGGGAAGATTAGTGTTTGGAGATGTTACTTAAAGAGTATAATATAGTGAAATAAATTTTGGAAGAGAAAAAAAAGAGACAAGGAGGAATAAGGAGACCAAAATTTGGGAGAACACAACGAGTGTATGCACCTGCACCATCGCAAACGATTTTGAGCCATGTCATTCAGGGTCTCTAACCATCGGTTGCTATCATCTCGCGGACCCCAACCAGGTAGTCTACACTTACCAACATGACTCAGTCCACTTGTCAGTGACTTCATGGATTTGTGCCATGTTTCTGTCTGGCCGCTCCTAGCTTTCTTCCATCCTACACCTACACCATGAAACATCGCATGTCGTGGCAGTCGGTGGTTGGGCATACGTAACACGTGTCCCAACCATCTCAACTGATGAAGTTTCACTACTTCATCAATTGGTTTGCCATCCTTACCTAGTACCCATTTCCTAACAACTACATTACTTACTCGGTAGTCCCAGGATATACGAGCAATGTTTCGAAGACACCTATGATCAAATACTAGTAACCTACGAATATCCTCTACTCTTACCGGCCATGTTTCACTGCCATAAAGTAGGACGGCACGAACTGCTGTGCAGCCAACCGTCCTTTGGTTGATAGACGGATATCTCGCCTACACCATAAATGACACAAGTTGGTAAAAGTTAGTCGAGTCTTCGGTATCCGTGCTGAGATTTCGTCAAACACCATACCACGAGGGCTGATGAGACTTCCAACATAAGTGAATCGGTCGACACGCTCAACTACTTCACTCCCTATCATTAGACCGGGTGTCGATGCAACCCAATCCTGAAGCAACATTTTGCATTTTGAGAGGGAGAATCGCATCCCGAACATGCTTGCATTGTTGCTTGGAGTGGTCAGAAGACTCTGGATTTTGTCAGCGTCTTCACCAAATAGAACTATGTCATCGGCATATTCCAAGTCAACAAGTGAATCACCTGGTAGAAGTTCAACCCCTGGAAATTTGGATGAGGGAAGTGTTATCTCTAAAAGTACGTCAATGACAAAGTTGAACAAGAATGGGGAGAGTGGACAGCCCTGACGAACACCACTTGAGGTAATCAATTCTGATGACAGTTCGCCATAAGCTCTCACTCGACCAGTTGTGTTCGAGTAGAGAGCCTTTATAAGGTTAATGTACTTCTTTGGTACTCCTTTCAGTGACAAACACTGCCATAGAACCTCACGATCAATCGAGTCGAATGCCGCCTTAAGGTCGAGAAATACTACCATTGTGGGGCGTCTGAATGTGTGTCTGTGTTCTAGAACCTGACGTAGTGTGAATATCTGATCTATACAACCACGTCCAGGTCGAAAACCGGCCTGGTTTTCTCTAATCTGCTCTTCATGAGCTTTGATTAGGCGTCGAAGTATTATTGAGGCTAATATTTTAGACACTATATTAGTCAAACTGATTCCTCTGTGATTGTCCCTGTTAATAACCCATTAAAATTCGAATCATCAATTTGAAGAAAGGTTTCACTAAATACGGAGATATCTTATCTAGTTATATCGACGTGGCAGTTTAACTATTAGATTAATTCAGCTAGTGACCGTCTTTAAGCTGAAAAATAATTGAGATAAACATTAGGTGCACTACTTTTCCGTGACCCACTAGACGTTGAATGACCACGCATCCTAAAAATTTCAAAGTTTTGTTCAATAAAATAGATTACTTAGCGTTTAATGTGGAAAGAATTTTCCGCCTAAATTTCAAAAGAATAAACGAATACACCTAAATTTCAAACAATAAATAATACCTGTCACACCGAAAATCATTGCCTACGGACGTTAAAAGCCAGTGGATGAAGCCTACAATGACTTTAAACAAGCTATTATTTTAATTTCATCATACTATTCTCAACTTTAATAATCATTAGAGACCCACCATCAACATTCATTTGAAGAATATAACCTGAAACGTTTTGGAAAATATACAAGCTATTATTCTGGTGAGAATTTCATCTTCCTAGATGACTGAAATACAATCACTAAAATTTATGGAAGAGGGGGATCAGAAACATTACCTAATCAAGCTCAAATAATCCCATTTCACAATAATAAAAATGTCTCAGTCGACATTTGTTACGAAACTGTAAAATAACTCTGATATAGCTGCAACAATAATACAGCTTTTTCAATAAACAGTAATATTTTCTCCAAAAAAAACATTGTGAAAAATTGATGCAACCCGGTTGGTTACACAATACATATTACAAGCTGAAAAATTCAACTGATTGTTAAGATTATTTACAAGAATTCAGGCACAGTATAATGACTGTTTTGTTTTTTTAATTAGCTAAATGTTGTTTGGATACACTTATAGGTTACACACATATATAACCTATAAATCCTAACATAACTAACAAAACAACAACAACAAAAAAACAAGTGATCACACAAAAATTTATTAACTACAAAAGAAAAGGAAACTAATATGAATAAAATGCATCTATTATTATTATTTTTTCATAGTTTTTATCACATAAACTTTTAACTAGTCATTTGAATTATTCATGTTTGTTTGAAATGAACTTAGTTGGATGATGAGTTTCAATTTAAAATAATTGTCAAGTTAAAATTATTACAATCTGACAACATTTTGAATTAATCATGTTACATACATAGTGTCAGTGTGTATTGGTCTTTACTTTTTATTCACTTCTTGATAATTTAATGGATAATAATTTTTCAATTAACTTGACAGTAAACGAATTAATAATTGGGGTGGTGGGTGGGTTGGAAGCAAACAAAACAAGGGGAATAATAGGCTAAAACAAATCACTGTATATATAACCATATTTTCAATCATTAAATATGAAATATACAAAATGGAATAATGAGATAATAGTAATAAGATTTTGTTTTTTGTAAAATCACTTCATTATGTATACGATTCATCTAGTAACCGTAATGACACTAGTAAATAACAAAAAATGATAACAATAATTTGAATTTCTTTGAAATGTACTTTACACAATAATATATTTCAATGTTTGTATTCTTTTAAGAAAATGTAAGTCAAATTACAAACAATGCACCTTTCCTGCCTGTATTTGCTTTGCATACGGACGAAATAGGAAAGGAAGGATGAGATGAAAGGGAAATATGAAAGAGTTGCGGATATGACACATTTTAGGGTTTTAGCAACGGTGATAATAATAATTATAAATGGATAGCAAAAACATAATGACAATATCTATGTAATCAAGACAGAAAAATTAAAGATAATAGGCTTTTTCCCGAACATAAAAGCATTCCTCTTAAAAAAAACCCCGAAATCTACATACTTCATACATTTTGAAAAATAATTAATATCGTTATCATTATAGCGAATAAAAGAATTTGATTTCATGATTTGCTTGCTTTTACTTGTTTGTTTACATGTTTTTTCAATAACAAAAAGTTAATCACTCAAGGGTAATTTAATAGGAATGATGATGATGACGATTTGATGATATTCATGAGATGATAAGAGTGATAAACAAAATTTCATGTGCATCAGATAAGTAATAATTCGAAGAAGGGACAATACACATAAAACATTATCATAATATAAATAATGATCATAATGTGAGTTTATTTAGAAAGACACAAGAAAAACATTGAAATATGGTTATTTCTGTTGCCGGTTTACTGGTTTTATTCTTTAAAAAAAACACAATAAAACTCAAAAGTGTGTACAGTGTCATGAAATAGTGCAAAACATACGAAAGTATGATTGTGCGTATTATTCTCAATGTATCTGAATACAATTAAACACACGCACACACATACCCACACTTATTGAGGCGAAATGTAAAATGAAAACCAAATAAACAATCGAAAAAATACCTGAAAAAAGTCAAACAAAACAAACATTCCAATTTGAAACAAAAACATAACTCTCCCAAAGAAAAGAAAATTTCCGAAATATTTAACCTGTTTGTTCAAGGTTTTCATTTGATGTTGATGGAGGCACTGGTGAACTTGTGTCGACTGTATTAATTGAGTCCGGTCGATCTGTGGTAGTAGTAGATTGTTGTTGATTTTGTCGACGTACACGATGACGGTGACGATGGTGACAGTGGTGGCGGTGTTGACGTCGACATCGGTGACGATTTCGATTTTCCCAATATCGTGGCAAATTAATTAATAATGAGTTAGGTGACGTGCCTGTTTCCATTGATTCTTTAATTTTACTTAGAAATTCACTTACAGTAATATTATTGCTATTATCATTACTGACAGATGAAGACTGAGCTATTTCAGGTTGTAGCGTTTGTATTGTAGTTAAATTTGGTATATTTGTATATAATCGTTGCCATGCATGAAATAAACTATTCAAAAATACGGGTTTACCATCTTTATTAGCGCATAACATTAACCAATCCCATGTACTACGTAATATCTGATCTGAATCTAATTCTTGTAAGAAAGGTAATAAAATTTGACAAAATCCGGTTTCCCAATCTCGACGAGAATTTGACGTTGAAATGGTAGAGTGAGAAAGGTGATGAGAAGTAGATGGGATATTTCCATTATTAGTATTATTATCATCGTTTTTATTATTGCTATTGTCCGTATTATTATTAAAAATATTCTGTGTTGTATTGTTGTTGATTTGTTCTGAACTATTCAGATCAAGAAATTCTGTACTTGAAACATCATCTGGATTTGAACCTATTTCACATTTTTGACTAGATGAAGATAATGGACTAAGCAAATCTGAATCTGTCATACCTGAATGTTGCATTTCCGCTGTAGTACCACGATCTTCGTCAGCTAATGGAGCTCGATCACTTATTGTTAATGTAGGCGATAGAGAACTTAGTGTAACAGCGTGTTGATTTATATCTTCCACATCTTCATCAGTACAACTAGGCGATGACATACTACACATATCAACTATAACAGATTGATGTAAATTTGTCAATTCAGTACCAACACTGGTTTCACCTACACATGATGAGGTCGAAGAGGTACCAGATGACGATGATGATGATGACGATGATCTTGAATGTGAAGATGGTGATCGAGTAATTTCAGTGGATGGTTCATTAAGTTGCCTTTCTTGCTCATTTATTTCTAATAGTTCGTGATTATCTGACATAGAAGGTGAAGTTGCTTGCCATGATCGATAATATCTTCGTCTTCGAAGTGTACGTAATCTAGATTGATCAGTGTTGTCATTATCATCATTGTCATCAATATTGAAAGATATAGCAGTATCAGAAGTTTGAGGTATAATAGAAGTTTGTTCAGATGATATATTTTCACTGATAAAATCATCACTGGCTTCTACAATTATGTCTTGATTTTCATTTTCTTGCTGTTGTTGTTCTTCTTCCTCAACTTCTTCTTCTAAAGCATTTTGAGCCATACATGTTGATGTTTCACGACGATTTATACTACAAGATACTAAAGATGTTGATTGATTGCCTAGGTCTTGTTTTTTTCCATGATGATGGTGATGATGATGAGTTTCATGACGATGATGTTGAACTCTTAAACGTCTACTATGCGATAAAATATATGGTTTATGTTTCACCTTAAATGCGCTCAGTAATCCGCAAGAATCTGGAATTAAAAATAACCAACATTATTTATTAGAGTATATAAAATTGATGAGATATTTGAAGTCGGGAAAACGAACGCTAAATCTGAAAATGAATGACTTTTATATTATTTCACATAAGGCGACCAGTGTAAATACATTTGTATTGTGCTCTTTCTATAAGCTATCCACTTACAGAAACTGTCTTCTGATCGACTAAGAACTACACAAAACTTCATTGTGAATATGTTAAGTTCATACTATAATCTACTTTTAACATACTAGTTATTAAAATAAGAAGTGAATTTTTTTAAATGGAAATATTCTATACTCGATATGAATAAAATAAATAAACTTGTTACTATGATTATAATCTTGTTCTAAATCTTGGAAAAGTCAGTATTGAAAATGTATTCTCATGTTAGAACTTTTCTAATTTCTATTAGCAGGGATTTTAATCCTGTTTCTATTTATTTATATATTTTTTTTAGATTTTATAACTTTTGTAAACTTTAGTAAACGAGGAAATTCATAAAATTAAAAAAAAAAGTTATTTCTGTCAATCTCACATGGAAAAAAGTAATTGGCGGATAGTAAATTTAATCACTTTTGATAAATAGAATATAATAAAAGTTTATACAAAGAAAAAAAAAGCAAGATTGAATCAACTGGTAGTGATATATCTGATCGAACGAATTCAAAATAAATAATAATAAAAAGATTCACAATATGTTACAACTAATGGAATGATGTCATAGAAATTTCACTTGATCGTCTATTGAAAACTATTCTAACATCATTAGCTTTGTTTCCCTGAAAATATAACAATATTGACTTAAACAAGAATTGATCAATAAAGCTGATTAGAAAATTTCAAAACTTGGTTATTCTAAGAATATTTAAGGAGCAAATAGAGATATAAACTATTTAGGACATGTAAGTGTGTAGTGGTTCAACTTAACATAATTTGTACACTGGTATATCGAGAGATGTGCATATAGATGAGAACAACAACAACACGAAGATCAAAATAACAATAAAAACAGTAGTAAGAAACCAAAGGAAAGGTAGGACGAGTCAGGATGTGAACAAAGAACAGTAAATTTAGGAAGAGATAAATAATGAATTCATTCATATTCTTAACCCACATGCAATCTCATATAGGCCTTATCCTAGGTTATGTTGTGAGGGAACTGAGTTCCTTGGGTTATTTCTACAAGACAACTGTGATTTGAGACTAAGAACCACATCTGGATGACATTGCTAAATAATACTTACTGTATTACAAATTTATTTGTTTCCGCTACTTTCTCTTAACTATTTTCCTTCTACATTCCTCCTTGGTTTTTTCATCATATATATATATATATATATATATATATATATATATATATATATATATATATATATATATATATATATATCGGGTGAAATTTCCACAAACAGTTGAGAAAATTCCGCACAATACATATTGCACAATACAACTATAACATACTTATTATTTCATTCTGATACGAAATACAATGTGATACGCTAATCATAATGAGCAGAAAAGTGCATCAACCTCATACATGTACTCCATTTAAATACTCCTGGTTGAGCGAAAGCTCGTGAAGAATCATCGTCGAAAATGCCAAACGGTATTCAAAAAAGCTTCCCACTTCACTAGCTTTTAGTTAACTTTGTCATAGAAATTTTTTCTGAGAGAACACTATTGTCAATCAACCTTTCAAGAGTTGATCTACCAGGAAATCCACTTGTTGACTTAAAATATCCAGGGGACACTTTCTTTTGGTGAAGACGCTGACAAAATACACAATATTCTTACCACCTTAAGCAACAATGTAAGCATGCTTGGAATATGATTCTCTCTCAAAATGCAAAATATTGCCTCAAAACTAGTCTATGTCTATGCGTGTCAATTACTTCTTTTATCTTGGAAGTTTCGTTAGGTCTTGTGATTGGTGTTTGATAAAATCTCAGCACAGATTCAGAAATGTCAGCCAACTATTCCCAGCTTGCATGGCTAGTAGCGTGGGTGCGATAACCATCTGCTAACCAAAAAATGAGTATACTGGTCAGTAGTTCGTTCCGTTCTACTTTATGGGTATTAAACATGGCCATTAAGAATATAGGTTATTCGTAGGTTACTAGCATTCGACCATAGGTGCCCTCGAAAATTAAAGAACGTTGTATATAAACGTATAGATTAATACATGAACCCGAAGAAAGTATAATTAAACAATTGTTTAAATTTACATTGCCAACTAAACAGGACGATAACTGAACAACTGATGTTTCATATATATATATATATATATATATATATATATATATATATATATATATATATAGACAATAAGACGTTATTCATACTGTAATATATTTATACTTACCGAGACATTCAGTTTGTAAGCCTAAAAGATTATAAGTTGCAGTCAATGCAGCAGCTTTTGTGTAACTATTTTGTGAACGCTATGAAAATAAAAAAAAATGTAGTAAAACTGAAATTAGTAAAACTTAATCACAAGAAGCAAAAGAAAAAAACGGGACGACATTTTGAAGAAATAAGGGGGGAAATGGTAATAATCCACATAGATAAGTTTTATCAACCGGAAAAAAAGTAAACGCAGGAAAATATAAGGATAAATGAACATTTTGGTTGATAATATACACAGAAACTAGGCTGATTCCTTTATGTATCCATTTTTTTATTCCGTTCCTATTAAATAATAATAGTTGGCTTATTTAGAGAGTTACACTCTTAGTCCAACACACTAATTCACACAAACACGGTTTTTTAACCATTATCTACTATCATTGGAGACTAAGGAAAGAAAAGAGTGTACAGTTGAATAGTATCTTCTAAGGATTTGACATTTTGATAATAACAAATAAACTATTTAAACTTAACATTTTAAAAAGTCATACAATTCTAGTCAGCAGTAACAGGATTATTGTATGACAAGAACCAAGTGAAAATTACAGTTCATCAATCGATATTAGTCTAAAATCTGCAGAAAGGATATACACAGAATATTCGACTTTTAAAAGTGAAATACGCTAGACAAAAGCACAACGCAAGCCTTTAAAATAAGATTAGGCCGCCTTATACAGTTCGTAGTTAAACAAACATAGAAAACTGGTAAGTATTGAATAGCTGTTTCCTCAACTATTTCCAAAAATCCCACCAAACTAATAATCATATACTCACTAATGGTCAATTTCGAAAGTGATTCTTGGAGTTCATGTGTGAAGCTATGATTCGGGGAAGTTTAATCACATCTATAATCACCCCCACCAACGGCATGGGATGGTGCTGATGCGTCATTGCAAATTGAGTGTAGATTATAAACTTCAGTAAGAATTTATTTATTAGTAAGTATTTCGTTGTGATTAGATTATTTAAGAGGTATCTTATTTTTCAAATCAATTTCAAAGTAAAGTTGAGTGATTATTTTTATTTCAAAAGTACAAACTTAATGTACAATACGTGTATAAAAAAACTGATGCTATAGAAGAACACGAAAAATTTTATTATTTAAAAATTGATAAAGTGTTTTCAAGTATCGAAACTATGACACTAAATGAAGGTAACGCTTTAACTTTATGTTTATATGTTGTTCAGTTCGTTTAAATAGCCGGCTCACTGAAACGAAAATAGTAGTATGATGTAAGGCTCAGAAACGTTTACTCATTCATCAGATGATACTTCAATTTCAATACGAAACAACAACACCACGTGATCAGTTACTTTTAATTTTCGATAATTCTGAGGCAGAATAAAGCACCATCATCATTATCGATGTCAAAAATTCATTCAAAACATAATAATTTTTATAAACAGAGATGGATGGTGACTAGCAGTGGAATCCAATACACGCATTTCGTTCAATACAAACATGAACCAAAGTTCACCACATTACACAAGCTATTGGCCATCTGGACTCAGTAGTTAGGTGGATAACGTGACGGCGTTTGAAGAGAAAGAAAGTGATGAAGGTCGGGATAAATATAAAATTTCAAACAATAATTCACCAGACTATATATATATTGGCGAATATACTATGGTTTTTTGTATCGGCAATCAAACACAGAACGAATGTTTAATTTATTAGCGGAAAATTTAATGTTTAGATTCTAGCGAACATTTCACGAAGTTTTAGAGAAGATTAGACTAACGCGGTTAAGGAGAATATAACCGATTAATCGCTGATTGGTGAACAATACTCCGTTTTTCTAGTCCTCTAGTGTTGATCGAATTTTATCGATCAAGTTGCAATGTGGCTACTAATGTAACTGATTTGACAACAATTTTCAAATTCTGTACTCATTAGAAAATAATAAATACACTTAATAAGTCGTAGCAGTGGTCTATAGGTTGAGCTTGATCTCCTGGGTCCGAACCATGCTGAACTTCCTTCGGTTTGAACAACCGGGTAGTATCAATAGCCCTTACAACTGGAATGTGACAAAACAACAAACACGTAGAGAGTTTATCAATTAAACTTGTGAGATAAAATAAATAACTTGATAAATTTAATACCAGCGAAAAAAAGAAAAAAATGAAGTGATAGGAAAACATTGAAATAAAAGAAAGAAATTACCATAAATAATGTGAGTTTTTCAACTAAATCTCCATTTCGATGAACTTCGCATCGTGCAGTTCGACCAGTGGCAATATGTGCAATCACAAGTACAGCCTGTAATACGAAATAAAAACCAGTATTTAGATTATAAGCAGTTTGAAATAATTTTGTTTAATGACGATAAACAACCAACCAGAATAAATTGTCCAACTATACACAAAATAATTCATCAACTAGGGGAATCGCAGTTAACTATCAAAATATAAATTGTACACATAGTGAAAACTAAACTTTTGACCTTTATTTATCTTGGAATAACAATAAACTAAGTATGTGGGATTTACTACTGAAATAAAATTTAAATTAAATTAAAAATATTTATGAAAATGCTGTGAACTGATGAATTTTAGTATCGTGCAAAAACGGTATCATGGAGGCAATCACCTTCTTAGAATAGATCTTTAAATTAAGGTATAAATGATGTACTTTGATCCTCCATAGCAGTTTAAAATTAAGAATAGAATAGGAACAGAATAATTAAGGATAAGAATTTATATGGAATTATAATGTAACTCATCCTACAGGGAAATACAATGAAAAAATAATAATCAACAAAAAATTGTAAATATCCTGGACTTCAATAATTTTTCTGGTGAACTGAGCACCAGCCGAAGTCTCCGAGAAAGAAGAAAAACAATTTATTATTATATAGAATACATGATAGATGTTGACATAGTAGTTTCACATTATTATCAAGGTAAAACAGAAGAATTACACTTAATCCTAAGAACACATACTCCGAAATGATTAATCTCGGATATAAAACGCAGTTAAATTTATTTCAACATAGATCAGTATATCTGATATGATGTGAATACAACAAATGGCGGGGGCAATGGGATTTTAGAAAAAAAAAAGCCACATCAAATTATTTTAAATTTACATTTGTTGGGCGATGATTTAGAAAAGTGAAGCAGAAAAATAAAAGAAATTTTTACTACTGAGGGTCAAATCTAAACACTTTTGCAGCAGCAACAGCAGTTTTTTTAAAAATCAGTTGGAATTAAAAGAAAAAATGACGAACGGAGCCGCGGAATCATTCACGTTGTGGAGATATGGCGGAAATTGGTGAACTGATTTCTAAGTTGCATACAGAAACGGAAAATATCTCCGGATTGAATAAATATCTCAGTAAACGGCTGTATGAACCCATGACAAGCAGTGAATTAGACAATATGATATTCATACATGATCTTCTCAGTGATAGAGTAAAAGCCATTTTAGAAACAAAGACCAGAGCTGGTTCCAGTCCAGAATGTTGGTCTAGTGAATTGTTCGTTTTTTTAGCCGCTGTGATCTTGTCTGGTTGAGTAGTTGTATTCTAGGTTCCTGTTGAGCTTTTATTTTGTCAGCTGGAAATTCCATTAATATATCCTAGCAAGTTTTCCAGACACAGCGTCTTCACAATCTTGTCTTTCTGTATGATTACTGTATCTCGTTCACATTAGTTCACCCACGTTCACTTCATTCATACTGCCACTGTTCTTCTTACCGTTCAACTTGCCTATCGTGGTTTATAATCACTGAAATCTCGCACTCAACTGCTTCGTCTGCATGAGAACTTCTGGTTTTGACGTCACTGTTAATTAAACTGTGACTTCTTTATTTTCACTTCCTACAGACTGAATTAAGGAGTAGTATCGTGAAATACCAGGTGGTACTTTGGAATCCTAAGATTACACATAAAATCCGTCTAATAATAGTGTAGAATATGAAAATCTATTAATAAAAGCCGACCACACAGTCTCTGATTATCTACCGCTAAAACTTTCAGTTATGTTTCCGTTACTTTAGTATTAAGTGTAAAGTGTGGTGCATTTTCGTTGAAAATTCCACCTCAAACCCGAAACTTTACTGTACCGTTTTGATCCTTTACCTCGAGAGGAGTTACAATGGACATATCTACAACAGAAAGTTGTGGATATATCCAGTGGGTCTTTTCAAGTTTAAGAAAAACGAAAATGCTGAGGATTCAAATAGGTTAAATCATCCAGTTTTACTATTTATCAGTGGAAATTATTCAGAAAATCATATCCAACATAATGAAAACTATGGTACCAATGGACTTAGACGCACAATAAATATCGCGTTTTCTCATACCTACCACTATACATTATAAAAAATTGGGAGGTTTGATAGTAACATGTTTAAACGTGTTTCTATTTACTAATTACTCAATAAGCTTTGTTTCGTTCACTACTTAAACCTGTTTTAACGTGTAAATAATATATATTTTCAGAGTCATGAAAACGTTAGGAATTCACCTTCCTTTCCATTATTATCAGTATGAGACCGTAGATTGATTAGTTCACTTAGCATCATAAAATAAAACTCTTCTGATAGTAATATTCACAAAATCAAGCTTCTGTTGAATGTCGCCTACACATTTATGAAGATCGAATATATATAAACAAAATGGTCCGAGTTTCTGTTACATTTTTTTTACTTACAGGCACAGTACGGTTATTCGGATATCTGAACATAAACTACTTCATGCTCCAGTGATGACTGATTAACTGGGTTATATTTGCGTACTGAAACTTGAAAAATGCTTTAATAATTGACTCTCCATGTGATTCCAAACTTCAATGCAAATCACCATATCGGACGAATTTTCACAAACTAAATAACTAAACAATATTCATATTTACACTGGTGATAAGTATTAAGGGGTATGTATTTCTCATAATTCCGAACAATGGACTAAACCATGACAAAGAGTGAGACAGATACTCACGTAAGATACCAGAAGGTGGTCATATTATAAACCTAAACTGACTGTAGTTGAAAGCGTAAACCAATAGATCACGACTCAATACTCCTTATGAGACCTGGAGTAGGTCAGGGGGTCGATCCATTGGTGGAGTCACTTGTACATGTTATGCACCAGATTCAGACTAGAATTAAACGAGTTATTTTAGATTCCCTAGTTTTTAGTTTGTGACGAAAAAACAAACTGAGTAACATATCTTTAAAAGTTAAAATCTAACATACTAAGAAACATTATTTTATAAATTGAGCTAACCTGTTCTTTGACGGGTTGAGGATAGTTCGACTCCAACACAGCAATTATAAATTGAGTGATATTCCACCAATGCTCACTCACTACAGTATCTATGAACTTGAGGAAAGATTGAGCAAAGATAAAAATGCTGGATATATATATATATATATATATATATATATATATATATATATATATATATATATATAATGAGAAAAGATAAACAAAAGAAGTATTTCGATGTTAAGACTATCGGGAACTGATGATTTTCGACTGCTTACACTATAGAAGTTGACATTTTAGAGTAGTTAAGAAGGAAAATTAATTTACACTGTACTTCCACAAACCTTAATGTTTATGCGACTAAACTGATTGTATAGTATAAATATTTCAAAAAACCACACTTTTATGATACATATTACTAAGGCTTTAACTTCAAAGTGCGTTGAGAAGAGACTAGACAATAAACAGGGATAAAGTGAAATAGAAGAGTAACGATGTTTTGTAGGGGAGATTGTTGTGCCTCTGTATATGTATCAGTGATCCTGAATAAAATCTTATGATGAAAATCTTTATTTACATGACGAGTGAAAGTCAAGTGGTTTCCAATTTGGCAATATCAACACAGAATGTGACTTTATTGCCCGAGAAGTATAGGAGACTAGTTAGATAAAAAATATTTAGTTTAAAAAATTCAGTGGTTGAAGCATTCTGCTCTTAATCGATCACAGATCCTTAAGCCCATTTCATTTAATACAGTTTCGCCGCCCTTTTACTAACATCAACACTCATACATAAAGAGTGTGGATTAAACCCAAGTATGTCTGTACCTGGTAAATTATTCGAATCAAGTCTTTCAACCAAATTAATTAGTATTTAGCACTATTAAAAAACACTATTAATGAGATCATTATTATAATCAATTCAACAAAATGGACATTCTGAAACGTACTTGTTCATCACGAAGTAGATTACGTAAAAAGCTCAATGTTTGATAAACAATTAAAATATGAATTTGTGCACTACTTTTAGAAAACTTAAATTTAGATTGTGTATTATTCGACAAAAATAATTGATGCTGATTATAATGATGAGTAGTATTGGAACGATTTAATAAATTTAAATTTGTCTGGTATTTCTGTTTCGAATGATCATCATTGATTTTTTCATTGCTTTGATTAAATTCACCAATATATTTAATTTCAGTACTTTGATGTGATACCATAATTCCTGGTATTATAGGAACTCTGTAGAGAACAATAATAATGGTTTAAAAAAATGAGAAAATTATTCATAGCTTTAAAAGTTAGCTTTTCGAGGAGATTGTTTTTTCACCAATCAACATCAACTGAAGGACCATTGGAAACCAGGGAGTTTTGGACAGTTGTTTTATTTTGGCTTCAAACTTTTCAGGGAATGTTCACATACAATCTCCGCCAACAATCGAACCTTGAATATTTTAAGTCTTAAGCAGTAAGTGAGTTACTGCCAGATTATAGTGTGAAAACACAAAGCTATAATACTGAAGCAATCATCATCCAAAGGTCCCCGATTTCCAGTGCTTCTTCAACTAACATTAATGATCCATGATGAAGACTATGATCTTTTTTTACTGAACCAATCTCTCTAAATTTTTCTATAAACCACCAAACGAGAAAAATATATCAGTTTACTGTTTACTTGATTCAACTGTACAGAGTGCTATTTTTTCTACTATTTTTGTAACACTTGTTTGACAGAAGAGGAAGGGTTATCACCTCTTCCATCTGTCAACATCTCATGACAATTATATTAAGACAAATACAAAAGTGAAAAACAAGTACATATATTCACTTCTAAACATGAAGTTTGATTTTCTTCTGTAATTGTTGTATGTATTCTATATGTATGTGTTTCTCTTTACACAGATTCACTGAATAGTGACAGTTTAAAATAATGGACATAATTTGTTGTATGATTTGTAAAAAAAGAACAGAATGAATAACAAAGTGTATTACTCTTTCCCAATATTAATGTCAGGAAATATTTTTTTTAAAATTGACTAATAAATAGTTTGAATAAGGGTGGTTATTTGGAGAGGCTTGTGTAGATGGGTAAAGTGCATTTAATTTACAAATAATTTGTGTCATTATACGTATTTTTTTATAACTTCATTTAATTTGTTTAGGTTAACTCTAAAAGTTTCTGTACACTTTCAACATGTCATATTGATTAACATTGATAGAATAAACATATTACCCAAATCACTCATTGTTCTAACTTTATCATCTGCCACACCTATAGATTACTAATACACTTGTTACACACCTTTATAGCTTGTACTTTACAACGTTGCCTTGGCAAACATATGTCAGTATGTAGGAGTATATTTCAAACTTTGGAATGACCTTCACCTCACCATCATTGTGGTATCAATTTTGGACCTTGGGAACACCAGAATTATTTAGTGAGCTAACGTTTCATTTTGTTTTTCATCTCATTTCAATATCGTGAGTAACGGTTTATTCTGACTGACCTCAAAAACCTTAACGGACATTAACCACTATTAGTGCCGTTTTTGAGGTCAGATTCCCAGGATACGTAGTAAAAGACTCAAGGTTTTGGTTTACCCAAATTGAAGCTCTGTTTTAAGCATGAGAAATTCGATAACAGGCGACCAGATATGCACAAGTAGGAGGTGAGTTACCGATCGAAATTGCCGCAAAAGTTGAAAAGCTAATTGACCAAGTGCCGGAAGACACCCGGTACGATAAACTCAAGGCAGCAGTAATTTGACGTACTTTAGTGTCCAATGAGAACAAACTAAAACAGTTATTAACCGCGTGGATTCTTTTAAGTAGGAAACCATCACAACTATGATATATAAAACAACCAGTGGGGTCATATAAGTTAGATGAAGAGGTATGAAAGCAAATGTAGCTCCAACAGTTGCATACAACGTACGGCAGATCCTAAGTGTATGAGGTCAGTCAATCATTCTTGAGGACCTGGTCGACATGATGAACAAAATGATGGAGATGTACCCAGACCGTCGTAATCTAAATACGTAAAACTGTCATTGGGACAAGCATATGTGGAATGGCAGCACCTCAACAACAACTGCTTGATTTATCTAATAAATCACTAGTTTTACAAGTAATTGAATCCGAAATCCACGGGAGATGCATTAGGTCATCATCTGGAATGAGGTCATTCTTCAGACCTCATTTCAAACATGCCCAAACCAACGCCAGGAATTTTTTTGTTGAACAAAATCAGTCACCCCCATTACTGTATGGCCGTGGAGAGGAAATTGCTTTTATCAGAGAACGAGATTAATTGAATGATTACTGGTACTTTGAAGAGATTTTGACCGTTCTTCTGTGAACTTTTCAAGTAACAAAAAATAACCTAAAGGCAGTAAATCGTTGTTCAATAGAAGAGACGATATACAATTCAAAGTAGTTACATAATGTACATTACTAGTATTCATGCGAATATATATACGTTGTTTAATAACTGGAAAACTAGTAAACAATGTCTTACTGCTTATTTGCAATACTAAGCTGTGTGAACTATTATTTGGTTCAATCTAATACAACAGGAAAGCGTATACTTTCTTTCGTTATCATACATTTCTCTTTGGTTTGTGAATTGGTGGTATCCTACAATTGTTTAATGTTAAGTGATATATGATCAGGATTTTTTACAATAGATAATTTGCAGTCATACAAAAACAAATGACAGAGAATAAAAAGGCCAGATCGAGTTTTAATTCCGTGTGGTATCTGTTTAATATAACATTCTTTTGTAATCATTCAGTGAAACATTCATTTTGTACTTTCATCATTTCACTTAAGTATAATATTCATTAAGTAATCATAAAATGTTAGTTAAATCTGTGTGTAAATGAGTGTATCTGGCTTGCTATACCAAATCAATACAATGAAATAAAACTAACGAGTGAACGGGAAGCGAATGAAAATAATTGCAGTAACAACAAGAACAAGAAAGACTAGTGACTAAGAAGACAGAATGCAAAATTATATGTGAATTAGAACACTGGAACTAAAGATACAGAAGAAAATTATGTGAATGCATAATTCAATCGTGAGTGATTTTGAGCCATGTCACTCAACGTCTCCAATTACAAGCCTCAGTTATCCCATTATATATATATATATATATATATATATATATATATATATATATATATATATATATATATATATATATATATATATATATATATATATATATATATATATATATATATAAATTTAATGTACGTTTTGAAAGGTTTATAGAATCTATTTAAAGAACGGTCGAGCAAACACATACAAAAACACATTATGACTAAATAAAATCTAATTACACAAAGGAATAAAAAACTAGAAAAGTCAGCCTACCTATTTCCTGAATTCATATTGAAATTAGTTATTTTCATATTATCATCCCATTCATTTTTCATGGGAAACGAAAAATTAAATTCATTATTTGGTATCGATGAAGCCAACTGTAATAATTCTAACCATACACCTTTATTAACTAATTCATGAAAGAGATTTATACAAACACTTGAATTAGCGGTATGCAATAAATTACTTAATCCCCATATTCCATTCAAATGTAATACTGGTATAATATCATGAAACTGATGATTTGTCATTGTTGTTGCTGGACTATTTAAGTTAGATTTTGTTATTGAAGGACGAGATGAGTTATCATCTGTACTAGGATTATTACTACTGTCATTAATATTATTATTAAAACTATCAGCATCGTATGTATTGATTGATTGACTGTTTGATTCAACTTTAGTTATTAACAGCGAAGATGATGACTGTACATTTCCAATTGTCAGCAAACGGATGAAAACACTGATAAAATCATCAATTAAAGTCTGGAATAGAAATATATATACGTAACAATATATGGACATATACATAAACATGACTAAAATAATTTCGTTGATCAAAAAGGAGATTTCTGTACATAATTTAGCGTGAAAATAATAATAATAATCGTTGTTTATCAGAAAAGAAAACAGATCAACCAGTTATAATCAATGTCTGATCTGACATGTGTAAAAACAACAGCATGAAATACAAACTATAAAATTGATTCATAGCGAACTGTACAGAAAAAGTAAAAATGATATGTTTCCAGCGTATAATCATATTAAAGTATATCCAATACGATAACAATATTAATGAAACTCAACTTGATCGTTACAAATCGTATAGTCAGATTATTTAGATTAAGAGATGATTACTAGCATTGTGTATATACTCCGATAATTATCGTATATATCTTTCAGCATGATGTTACATTCTTAAAATGGTATAAGTTTGCGAATAATCCATGTAGTTTTCGCAGTAAAATGTAGTTTTTATCTTTGAAGAGGTATATTACTTGTGTAAAGTGTTTAATACTGTTTTGACTGTGAAAATATAGAAAACGTTTGGTGGCCATTATGCTAATTATGACAATAGTAACAGTTCTACACACATTCATATCATATTACAATATCGTCCATCCAAGAACACATATAGGAAATTAATTGGTTCATTAGGAATAATTGTACGGGAAGTTAGAACTGATCAATAACAGCTTGCGATCTTAAAAAAAAATCACAGACGATGACCCCCTCTCTAATTTCCTTGTAATTATGATACGCATAAGAACACTATAATGTACTAACATTTACTGACAGATGTTTTAATTAGGTACTGTCTTGTAGCTAGAAAGTACATTTTAGTTACTAACCTTACCGTTATTATCATCAAAAATAATCAATAATGTGAGATTATTTATGTTCAAGGAATAATATATACATCAAGAAATACTTTCACCCGTTAGAATTTTTATAATGGAATGATAGTTTGAGTTTATTTATTTATTTCTTTTGAAAGAAAAGAAAATAACTAACAAAATATCGAGAAACTAGACTAACAATAAACTAAACGAAATAATTTTGATAAGTTATCATTTTACGATTTGTTTAGATAAGTAGTAGTATCGTAATGCATTATATATGTATTCATTGCCAAATTTCCCTATTTTACTACATTTATATGGTTTGTTCACTTTAAAAATTTCCTCCTAAGTAAGTATTACCATCAAATTGTTAGAGCTGACCTAGTAGTTAATAACTTGTATTCTTAAACATATTTCTAATTAAGACAGTTGTACAGATTCAAATAATCTTTAAGAAAAACATTTAATTTAATTTTAGGTAGTTTATTTATTGAATTATGTATCTAAGTATGAAGTGATCGGTTTTACTCCTCTTTTTTTTGTTTTGCAAAAGAAACTTGTTAAGATATTTTGTGTTGAGAATTCTATATTGTAAAAAAATATAATATTGAATAAAGCCATTATTAAGAAAAAGAGAATTCAGAGGACAAATTTTTCTTTCGACGAAATCATTTATTTAAGCTGTACATTCGTATACATAGTTATCTGGAAAATATATGTCTTTGGAAGAATAGAAGATCGTATCATAAAATGGATTCGAGACTAAATAACAAATCTGACCCATAAACTATTTTCTTCCTTACCCCTTGATTAGTACGTAACCTCATTTGTTATTTAGTCTCGAATCCATTTTATAATGCAATCTTTTCTATCCTCCTATAGACATATATTTTCCAGATAACTATATATACGAATGTACAGCTTAAATAAATGATTTCATCGAAACGAAAATTTTCTTCGCCGAATTCTTTTTTTCCTTATCCAATGACACTATGGGTTATTTTAAAGCGATTGATAGTAATGATGATGATAATAATAAGGATAGTTAAGTCACAATAATTTTGTTTTGAATGTAAATAATTGGAAATATCAAACAATTTGTTATTTATGAATGAAGAAAAGACGTTTGGAGGTTATATCGTGAAAATTCGGAAGAAAAAATCAACGAATAATTCACTTACTTCTTTCAACGGACACATTGGAAGTACTTGGTTGATTAAGGTGGATGAAGCTGCTTCGACTAGTTTCGCACTTAGATAAGAACCTTTAATTGTATTCGGCAGATTATCATCAATTATCTAACAAAATTTCACATGGAAAACACAGTAATCAATATATATATATAACTTTTCTCATATTTAAAGCCTTTTGTGAAGTGATTTAATATATAGATTATATTCTTTAGAAGTTTATTCTAGTTGAGGGTATAGTTAAAAGTTAGGAAGCATTGAACAGTTAAGTTGACCAGAGCAATCATATACTTAGGATGAAACAACTGTCCAGTATCCATTGATTTCCAACAGATACTCCAAATTGTGACCAGTCTGTACGGAATATATATCCTAAATATTTTTTCTATAGATTGTTACAAAAATCTTATTTGTATGAATAAAACAATCCAGAAAATTTTTAGTGATTTTCAGCCTAGAAAAGATAACAATACAGAAAGTTCAACTCTCTAGAAACCAAATACACTGATTTGTAGGTATCAATGCTAAGGTTGGACTTGATCGTTTCAAATAAATTTAGCATTGTTTAGGAAGTTAATAATAAATATACTTTTTCAATATCCTGATGAATAGAAAAATTGTATCTCCGACGTTTTGTGACTTAATGTAAGCCACTTCTTCAAAGTAAATGAAAACACACTTATTTTCATACATCTATACAACTGAATAGTAACTTATAATTGAACAGAGTTACAAGAATTCAGGTGAAATTCAACCACAAAAGAAGAAGAGACAGTGTTTATCGACTGTATTAAATTAATATATTTGAATAATAAACACTTCATTGAAATCCTAAATCGAGAAAGATTTTCACCTAATAAATCAAACAAACTTCAATGACAAACAGCGGATTCAAGATGATTGCTTTGTTTGCTTATTCGGTATAAACTTGATAATGTATATCAAGAAATCAAATGTATAGGGCTTTACATAAAATATATACGAATATACACAACCTTATGTTTTAAAAATGGTAAGTAGTTACTTTCTAACTGGTTGATAAAAAGCAATATTAAAATTAAAGAGACATATCGTGCGATAATAATCATAGGTAATATAAAGCTTTGAACAACTGGAAGTAGTGTTTTAAATATGCAACCAGTCACTCAAACGGTAGCTGTCATCATGGGTTAACATTACTTGGAGAATGAATGAGTGGGAAATATTTACAACTAAAAATTACATCACACAGAATAGTGTTAACAATCTCTATTGAAGCGCTACCATTCTGAAAATAAATTTTTAAAAAATACATTTCACACTTTCTAACATTAGTTTTTTTACAATATAACTGATCTAATAAACAATCTATAAGTCGATAATGGTCATTTAATCCATCTGTTTTCGATTTAAAAAAAAACGCTGGAACTGAAGATTGTTCATTCGACATGTCTACGTGTACAATTCAATAGATCACTTCATTATTACTAATTGATTTAACTTCAAGAATACTAGAAGTAAACACACACTACACGTGATAAATAACACTTGTTTGATTGGAAAATGTTAATTCAACAGGTATAGATACAAAACTTGCTCCACTTCATTTAGTTTATCCAGCCAGGTAGACAATTTATTAAGCTTTAAATAAACAATAGAACTAAAAATCGAATAAATAAACTCTTTCATACTTGGCAAATGAATTACAATAAATTTCAAGTTAAAATGAGATCTATTAATTGATGTTGAATTGAATAAAATTCCCTCTCTTTAAAACAATCAAAAATACCCAATAAGCTAATCCAAACTATAATACAGATAAATTTTTCATCACATGAACCTATTCTTCTATTATGATAGATTTTAGATAATAATTCAAGTAAATATGTATTGCCGATAATCTCTTTATAAGAGATTTAGTTCATAAATATACAAATTGTAGAATAATAATGTTAGATTGTTTATGTAGAAATTTCAAGAGAATTTCTTCCTTTCGTTAAACAATTAAACTCATAGTATGAATAGAATATAAATAAATAGTATATTAAAAGGATATAATAAGAAAGTATTACATAGAAACAATTATGTAATGCTATTTGGTTTGGGATAATTTACAACTAAAATTTAAAAATATTAAAACTATATCAATAATAATAATAAACTAACTTTTAGTAAATATCGTCCAATTGTTTGATTTTTAAAAAGTGTATGATGTAAACTGAATGATCGAGATAGTACATGTAATAGGACAACAATAGAATGCTTAATATATCGATGAGAGAAGGAAAATGAAAAAAATTGAGAATATAATCGTCTATCAATTGATAAAGGGAAATATTGATTTTTAAATTCATATAGATGTTGTATTAAAAGAAGACAAAGATGAAAACCGCTGTAAATAATTTACCCTATATATTTGGTCACATCTTTGTATGATTAAATAACAAATATAATGACCTATAAACATTTGAAACCTGTAAATACTACATCAAATTTACGCTCGTGTCGTGAACTGATGTGACAAATTAATACAAACTATTATGCGAACTTATCTAACCTTCACATATGCGATTGTAACGTTACTGGTTACATTGTATGCATGTCTATCTCCATTTACCTATATTATTATTTGTCTATTTTCAAATATAAACTGATTCATACTTAACTACGCGCCTTTTGACTCACAACAGTCAAAGGCCGCGCTACGTTTATTTATTCATTTTCACCGTGTCTAACATCATATGTTTTACATATGTACACCCGCAACACTATTCGTATTCTGCCTTTTATTTCTACGTTGTAATAACATGTTAATTAGCAAAAATATGAACAAAGTTAGCAAGAATATGTATTACATCAAATAGAGTAACCAAAGCAGTGAGGCCTTTCGTTAAAAAATATACACATTTGATCTACGGGTGGTTAAACTCATTATTAATGAACTAATCTGTAAAACACAGGTAAATAGGAAGACTTAAAACTTGATTTATGCATTGACTTAAAACCACTGGTAGATTGTACTTCGTAGACCTGAGAAGACTTATACGCTATAACATAAAATATTCTGGAAACACACTTCACGATCGATGTGTCTGACATTGTTTTTATGAGTTTTCCAAGAAGACGATTCTTATTCTTTGCAAAGTATATAACCGCAACTGATGTACTGAAATAGCTTATACGGCCTCTCGCCAAAATTTGAATAGAGAGTGATTTTAAAAGTGGCCGCCAACTACAAAAAAGTTATTATCTATCAAATATTATAGTTTGAAATCTCAGAAAGTGAAACTAAACAGTTTTAATGTTTCACTATACAATGTGATGCCAGCTTCTTTAAGAAAACAAGTAGAATGAAATCTTATATCAAACAACACTCACTGTGCAAACATAAACAAGGTGTGAAAATAATTAAGCATTCATTGAGTGGAGAATAACTTCTGACTTTATATGCATTCGGTAATTTCGATTGTTTCCCTGAAGAAACTCAAATCTAATTGTCAGACGAAACGTTGAAACAATCTACTTTCAAACATTGTTATTGTTACAGATAAACTTTAATGCTGAATTCCCTTGATATTACGTAATTGGAGATGAAAATAAAGTAATCTAACAGTGAAATATCCAACGATCAAAACTTAAACAATATGAAATACCTACTAGTTAATGCATTTAACAATAAACATGCTCTATTAGACTCTGAAAATGTTGTTGAATAGTATATATTAAAATAAAGTGTAAGATGTCTTTTGTCGAACAAGGTAAGGTTAATGAATACGATACCACACATAATATTTGTTTTATTACAGTGAGTCAAATGTGGTGGATAACTGACATTTATATCATATCTATCGACTGATACAGTTAATCGCTAGTTAGCATTTAGTCAAAAATCGTTCATATTTACTATGAGGCTAAAGTAATCATAGTTTAGAATAACTGAATATAAATCAGTAAGGTTACCGAATTGAAAACATGAATTTCATACCTGAAATTGCAATACGAGATTCGCATTTTCACTACCTAATGACTTTAAACGCATCGCAAAGTCTATAAGTTTTTTGCACATCGTTAGTTCACCAACCTACAATATCAAAAGATGGGACAAAGAAAAGTGAGTTGAAAGGAGAAATTAAAACTACATAGTAGTTTGTAAAACAAAAAAAAGCAGACGTTCTAATCAACCCTAGTTACATAATTGTGGATTTATATATGTTTACCGAATAACTGAATTGGACACATCATATGTCATAAGTTTTGTCGGAGCAGGTGGGTTGATGATGAGTGACAAAATCTCAATAGAAGAGAAAAGGTCGACTGAGTTTTAAAAACTTGTATCACAATGGAGACAAGATATCTATTCGTTTATCAAGTGGAGTATATTGTGCAGAATTATACAATGCATTCTTTTATCATTACCGCAAACCGATCTGAGTTAAGAGTCTACTGAAAATCAGGAAGCACAAGACGGCTGTTTCGTCCTAGAGTAGCATATATTTACGACTCGACCACTGGGGGATCGGGCCCAAGACCCTAAGGCAATGACGTAAGGTCATAAAATAAACATGATGCTTATAGACTATTAACTAAACTATATCACAATTAAACGATGGAACATTAAGATGCAACGAATTAGATTTTGAAGTGAAATTGATGAGTGTTTTCTTCCTATTCTGAATTCATCAGTACAACCCACTTACATTTCAGTGTGCTGATATTCAGAATAAAACTCAGAATTCATAATCATTGCCTCAAAACAATAAACGCTTATACATTAAACCACATCATAAGTAATAATCGTTGTTATCATGATACGCAATTTCTAGTTTTACATCAAAATACTTGCACACTGAGATCATATGTATATCAAAACGTATGAATCCAGTTCAATATATACATTTGTAACACGATAGCACAATTCGTGATTACAATTAAATAAACTTTAAATATAAAAGTAGAAACAAAAAATCGAGAAGTCAGTTCAAATCATATTAGAGAAGACAAAAAGAATACATCAATCTTTGGTGCTATAAGAACATAGCAAAAAAAAACAATAAAATTAATTGAATGAATATAGCTTTAAGACATCAGAGTTGTATCAAGCATTTATTGTCAAATATGATTCAATGTATGTAAGTTGTAAAACTATACTCTATAGGTATACTTTTTTTTCTCTAGTTAAACATGATTATATTAAAGGGAACAACACATAAGCAACATATGACAATAATGTTCTTGAATGTTAACAACACATACTCAAGTTTTCAAAGGTATCTAAATAGATAGGAATTATTTTCATAAAGTCATCATATGATTTTAAAAAATGGTTGGCTAAATATGATTACCATGAGATTGTTTAGAAATAACTTTTTACAGATTTGAATTTCTGTTAAACTTGAGTAATCTTTCCCCATCTAGGGAGGTGAAGTTGTCTTTCTCCTAGTAGTCAATCAGTATTTCAAATGTATTTATCGGGAAAAGTTGTTTGTTTAGTTCAGTATTCTTTGGTCTATAAAACAATATTTATCGTAGTTGGTGTTACGAAGTTGATTCTGTTCAGTAATTAAAGAAGTAAAATTGACAGCAATTCACAGTACAGTCAAGATCTATCATCCTTCATTTACGATTTACATTTACTAAAGGTGGATATATCTTTATTTTTTAGGAAGGGGGGTACAGCAAGCTTCATTCAATCAAGCTAGAAAAACATTATTCGATCTGTCTATTCAGAATATAGTGATAAAATTGGAACATTGAGTATATGAGCACAATGATCATAAAATTTCCTTAAAAATAGCCATTCTCTATACTGAGGGTGAATTACATATCAGCTATATGTAATTAGCAAATGTTTAGTAGCTCAAACAACAATCTAGGTAGATGACGATTAGATTAGACTGAACACGACATTTTAATAACATAAAAACTATGAACTGATACGTCTTGTACTTCAGAGTATTGCACTGATTTTCCTAACCTCTTTCTAGTTCAATAATATTTCCAACAATTGGAATACGAACAAAAAATTAAAGCCTGAACTAAGGAAAAAAGCTTCACTCTTAAATTTATTACCTATACATACAACATGGTTATTTGTAGAAATAAACTTGACCGTAAGATAATAGAAGCCTCTGAAAATTAACAAAAACATAAAATTTAATTTTCGAAAAAGAAAAACCAAATTCATCAAAACCATTCTTCAATTTATCACCACTTACAAGTATTCGAGTGGATTCATGCCCAGATGCCAGACAAGAAAATAATTTAACCAATGGAATTAAATGCTCCAAAAACTGTGTATGACTTTGCTGTATTATTTCGAAGTATAAACACATACACAAAAGAAATAAAAAACAGGGAATTATAATGTCATATTTGTAAAACATGCTAATTATGAACAATAACAATGATAATTTACCAGAATTTTTTGATGTAGGCCTTTCTCTCTTTGAATAATGAAGCAGATCTATTATGTTTCCATAATTTCAAAGAAAAGAAAAGATGCAAATGGAACTATGATCAAAGAAATATCCTGTATAAAAAGTTATATCACTATTATTATTATTATTATTATTATTATTATTATTATTATTATTATTATTATTATTATTATTATTATTATTATATTAATGACACCAATCCTTACAAAAGGCAGATAAATAGTGCTTTGAGTAGAAAAAATACATGAACAATGATAATTAAAACTGAATATACTAAAGATATCAATACACTGAATTAGATTGATGAGTCTAGGATCATAATATTAAAGTTATTCTAAGTTTTACGATGTACATGTCGAAGAATATCACTACCCACACACAAAACATTAGGCTCAAAAGACGAATTAAATAAACTCACCTTTAACAAATAAGTAACAGTATTACCATTTCTCAACATTATAACCAACGTACAACAAATATGCTCATAAGTGTTTGTTGAAATGTGAATCTCATAATGAAAAGTTATTTGCTGTCTGCTTTAAAATAGTAATGTCCATAGTAAAAACCAATGAACAATAATTATATTGTAAGTAATTGGCGGTCCCCGAACGTTGTTGCTACCTTGACGTGGTGGTCAGGCTTGCCTATTGTGATGAAGCAACCGAGCTATACTGGCTGGAACAACTGTTCCTCAAGGTCCTACCATGTCAGACAGGTCGGTTGAAGAGCGGTAAGACTAAAAGCAACAAACACAAGGTCCGAAGGCGAAGTCGTACTGCTGACTGTACAGAGGTGTGACAGCAGTAAGGTGTTTTCTTCAGACATCCAGCATGACAGCGATGCTGCCTTCCCACAAGGAGGGGTGGGGATAGAAAAGGTCGACCCTAAAAATGCACACCTTGCCTTATCCCACGGATATCCGTCTCCGGCGGTAAGGTCTCAACAAGTACGGAGCTAACACAAAAATTACCCATAAAAAGGTCGTGTGTGACCGACCTCAAGCAGTTGTCCCTTGGAGACTGCGGTCACGCTCCCAGGTCACTAAGACCACCTCTAATCCAATTTCCTTTTCAGGTACCTCCACAAGAACCCTTCCACGGTGTGGGTGACCGGGAAGTGATAACCGCCCTCATACCTCTAACAGCACTCAAGACCATTGTATTCATAATCAACCTCTGTCTTCACTTTCTATTATTCCTCCTACATCGACTTTCACCTCTAAACTTCCTTTTTCGGCTTCCGCCTCAAGTGTCACCACAACCAATGATTCTAGTGTGCAAAACACTGTCCCAGTCAGTCAGTCAGTCAGTAACAACGTAGAACTTCGTACATATGTACATCAGTTCGAGTTGCCACACCACATTAGCACAGAGATGCAGTTGTCGACTCAAATCCCGCGGTGGTAGAGGTAGCAAGAGTATAAGCAGTAATCGGGAAGATTAGGGTTTGGAGATGTTATTTAAAGAGTATAATCCAGTGAAATAAATTTGAAAAGAGGAAAAAAGGGACATGAAGGATTCAGAAGATTAGAATTTGGGAGAACACAGAGAGTGGATGCACCTGCGCCATTGTAAACGATTTTGAGCCATGTCATTCAGGGTCTCTAACCATCGGTTGCTATCATCTCGCGGTCCCCAACCAGGTAGTCTACACCTACCAACATGACTCAGTCCACTTGTCAGTGACTTCATGGACTTGTGCCATGTTTTGGTTTGGCCGCCCCTAGCTTTCTTCCAACCTACTCCTATACCACTGAACATAGCACGTCGAGGCAGTCGGTCGTTGGGCATACGTAACACGTGTCCCAACCATCTCAACTGATGAAGTTTCACTACTTCATCAATTGATTTGCCATCCTTACCTAGTACCCATTTCCTAACAACTGCATTACTTACTCGATAGTCCCACGATATACGAGCAATATTTCGAAGACACCTATGATCAAATACTAGTAACCTACGAATATTCTCTACTCTTACCGGCCATGGTTCACTGTCATAAAATAGGACGGAATGAACTGCTGTGCAGTAAACCGTCCTTTGGTTGATAGACGGATATCTCGCCTACACCATAAATGACACAAGTTGGTAAAAGTTAGTCGAGCCTTCGGTATCCGTGCTGAGATTTCGTCAAACACCAGACCACGAGGGCTGATGAGACTTCCAACATAAGTGAATCGGTCGACACGCTCAACTACTTCACTCCCTATCATTAGTTCGGGTGTCGATGCAACCCAATCCTGAAGCAACATTTTGCATTTTGAGGGGAGAATCGCATCCCGAACATGCTTGCATTGTTGCTTGGAGTGGTCAGAAGACTCTGGATTTTGTCAACGTCTTCACCAAATAGAACTATGTCATCGGCATATTCCAAGTCAACAAGTGAATCACCTGGTAGAAGTTCAACCCCTGGAAATTTGGATGAGGGAAGTGTTATCTCTAAAAGCACGTCAACGACAAAGTTAAACAAGAATGAAGAGAGTGGACAGCCCTGACGAACACTGTCCCAGGTCTACTGAAATCTCTCTCCAAACTACACATTGGAACCTTCAACGTACGCACCGTTTGTCAAATCGGTCAACAGGCTTCCTTGGCTAAAACCCTAGAATCTCGTACAATTGATGTATGCTGTGTCTCTGAAACACGCATACAGGATCCCAGTGTGGTCATTCACTTGACCTCACCTCGGCAAAACGGAGAGCCAACGAGATACACCCTCTCGTGGACTGGCAGGAGTAGGGATAGCACTAAGCATGAGGGTGGAACAAGCACTGTTAGAGTGGATCCCCGTTAACAGTCGTTTATGTGCTGTTCGGCTAAACGGCTCCGTAAGAACTCGGAAGGATAAGGACACACATTGTTGTCGTTTCTGCCTACGCTCCCACTGACTGCAATTTGGATGAAGTGAAAGATGAATTTTACAGAAAACCATTTGAACTTTTTCAGAAAGCTAAACGTTCAGACATAGTACTCGTAGCAGGTGACTCTAATGCCCAGATAGGTAGTTTAAACCAAACAGAAAGGCATTTAGGTGGGTATTTTAGTATACCGGCACAACGAACAGATAATGGTGATCGTCTGCTGCAAATATGCTCAGACAATCGTTTATTTTTAGCAAACAGATTTTAAGCATAAGGAAAGACATCGTCTAACATGGCGACCCCCTACACCAAACCAACGATGGACTCAAATAAACCATATTGCCATCAGTCATCGTTGGAGAGGGTCGGTAGAAGATTGTCGCTCATTCTGGAGTACCTGCTTGGACTCTGACCACGCCCTAATACGGGCACGCATCTGCTTGCGCCTCACTGGACGCAAAAAGCCACACTAAAAAGACCCATTAGAACTGAATTGAGTAGCGAGAAAACCAAAAGTAGGTTCCAGGAACAACTGAGGTCACACTTAGGTAGTTCTGAAAACGAGGCTGACCCAGATGTTGCTTGGAAAGATATACCAACAGCTGTGGAAAGAGCAGTGACATCTATCAGTGATTTAAACCACAGGGTTACAAAGAATCGATGGATTTCCTCAAGGTCTATTGCACTGATGGATTCTCGTAAACTCATCCCATCAGGCTCTGAACACGATGAAGAGCGACAACAAATCAGATCTAGGTCAACTGCAAGTCTAAGGAACAACTGTGAGCAGTGGTGGGCAACGAAGGCAAAAGAGATGGAAAAGGCGGCGGCCATAGGGAACACAAGACAGCTTTACAGACTAATAAAAGAAACTGGAATTAATAAGTCAAGTGTAAGTCAGACTATTTCCGTAAAAGACGACACTCTCATCTGCTCCCAATCCAGACGTTTAGAACGATGGGAAGAACATTTCAGGGAACAGTTCAACTGGCCTTCAGCTACTCTACAACTACCCTCCATTCCCAGACAGTGTGAATGAAATATTGAAGTAGGTCCCCCAACTCTAGCAGAAGTTCAAAAGGCTATAGGTAATTTGAAACGAGGAAGGGCAGCTGGTCCACATGGATTGGCTCCAGAGGTCTTTAAGAATGGTGGTCCAATTTTAGCTTGGACTCTGAAAAAAGCTGATAGGTTTGGTTTGTTATTAATTTCAATAAATTATAGGGCTCCACTATCCTTCATCAATTGAAGTTGATACAGACAATTTTATTATTTGGAATGACAATGTAATACACTTTGAAAATTATTTACAGATTAAGGAACTCAATAAAACTACTAGTTACCTATAAAGATACAATTATAAACTATTACACGTAAACTAATTAAATACATTAAAGTATTTAAATGAAAATGTAAAACATACAGTATCAGATGCTTCTTGAACAGCTTTTAATAAAGATGTAACACGATAGTCTACTTCACGTACAAACGAATTAGTATATACAGTCCACATATGCAATTCTGGACTTTTATCCAAAACAAGAACTAGAACATGACATACCCATGTCATTATACGTGTTGCTTCTAAATGAAGACAACTTTCTGTAAGTGGCTGAATGATCTGAATAGAAAGCGAAAATGGAAATTACAAAGCATTTATGTAAAAAAAATACCAGGTTATTCTGTAATAGCACACGTTATAGAGAAGAAAGTAAATATCAACTTATTGTAAAAATTCATTTTAATACGATAAAGACATTGAAAATTTACACTAAGAAAGTAAATATGAGATTTTATGAAATAACCACTATTTTAGTGGTAGCAAATATTTACTAGTATAACAAATATACAATGTAACTCAGCAATCAATCTTAGGTTTATGAGCCCTGTTACGAAATCTGTAGTCAAATAATTGAGAGCGTATATACATTAACTAAAAAGCCATCCATTCATGTGAGCATGAAACTTGAATGTTAAACACTATAGAATATTTTTTCTTAAAAAATGCATTTTCCAGTTATCTGATAACCAGACTAATCTTAAATGACTCTTACAATGTATATGGAACAATTAGTAGCTGTGAATATAATATTTTATCCAAAGATTATTATTGACTTACAACTATGTGTAATAACATCTGAAACCAATAATTCATTTGAATAAGATTGACTTTAGACTAACTAGAAGTCTGTATACTCACCTTATGAACCATGTTTACTGTAAAGTATAATATAGTACTACACTTATATGTGACCTGTTACTGATTGAAAACTAAACGTATAAATAAACGGAGTCACTAGCTGTACTGTAGAATAGGAATAAATCACTAAGAATTATCAAACAAATAGAGAAACATATCAAACTAGAACGGAGTATAAAGTTCAATCTTGAAGTTTATATCTCTCTTATTCAAACAATCAAAGACCGTATCAAAAAATACCATGCATTGGTCTGATTGACCTTAACGTTCTTCAGTGTAATTCTATCTTCATTACCATAGCCACTCCTAATGTTGCACGTTCATAACTTCATTGACTAGATTCAACATCGTTTGTTTAAACATTTTGTCCAGCCTAACATATGTGTGCTTTGTTGCCTTATTAAACATGTGCGATGGTATAACTCATAGTCTACTTATCCAATCACAATAATTCACACGAGAAGAAAAAACAAACAAAAAAACATTGAAATCTTACTAATAACGTCTATCTAACTACCAACAAGTTTTATCACAGAAAACAAAACATGAGATGAAGGAATACGAAATTGTACATCGTATTTAGTATTTTTAAATTTAAGATTAAGTTTTATGTCCATATGATTTCAAAAGGAAATTTTGTGAATAATGCTAGTACTCAGGTGAATTTTTTAACTTACATAAATATATTTCCTTTGAAAAAAACACTTACTAATAAAGCAATATCATCCCCAGTAATTCCTAGACCAGCAGAAGTGATTACATGAGTTCCGAATTGATCTATCGCCTCAACTGTCTGTGAATTAGCATACTGATTAGCTAAACGCCAATAAATTAAACCACGAAGTAGACCAGTGAGAGCAAACGTCCCATGGTCTAATGGTACACAAGAACACGTTGAAATAGTTATACGACTATCAACAGGACATGATGATCCTGATTGTCTGTCAGTCGATGCAGTTGAATCAACAGAGTTCTGATGAAATTTTCGAGATGCATCTTCAAGATTAGATTCATTGGGAGATGTAAGAATGACAGTAGATGTACCTGATGAAGTATCATGGTTGATAGGAGTATTAGTAGTAGAATAAGTTGATGGGATATTACCACTAAGAACTCGCTTGGTACGTTGATAACGCGGTGTTGAATAGCAAACATTAGGTAATACTGGAGGCATAGTTCCTGTTAAATGACTATAACAGGCAACTAATTTAATCGGTTCTTCTTCATTGTAAACTACATATTAAGATAAAATAAAATTCATGATAGGAAGTGAAACCACACATGGAAAGGATGGTAAAATGTAGCTTATACATGAAACAATTTCATGCAATAAATTCACATTAAAAACAACTAATGTCAGTAATGAATAGTTATGCTTTGAGAAGTAGAAATCGAAGAAAAAGTCAAGGGATTTTCATATTGCAATTATACAGTAACTAAGTAGGTTACGAATTTATTTACAGTGAGAATGCATTTCATGACTGATGAACACCGAAATAAACACACACACATAAAATTATACTTATGAAAATCTATTTTTGGCGTATAGTCTGGCCCAAACTTTTGAAATCTGTCTTTTTGGAAAATAAGGAATAAAGAAGTTTTGGACCGAGATAGACCTAATCGGTGCTTCTACTTTGACGTGGTGGTCAGGCTTGCCTATCATGATGAACTAATCGGACTATACTGGCTAGAACAATCTTTCATCAAGGTCCTACTGTAGTGAAGGAGAACACAGGTAAGGATAACCGAACGACATTTAGCATAACATTACATAGTTACTTGCTAAATAGAAAAACCATACTATAATACTTAATTTGCAAAATGTCCAATAATTGTCTCGGACTTCATTGTTCTTGCATTTCTATACTAATTGCTTTCTATTCCCGTTCTTCCTTTCTTGATCTTCCCAATCTTCTGCTGCCATACATTACATTCCTGACTCGCGTTATATACTACTTATGTCAATATAAGTACCACACACCACACTATCATACCAGGCAGTCGGTTGAAGGGCGGTAAGACTAAAAGGCAGCAAACCTAAGGTTCGAGGACTATCGTAACCAGTAGTTGGACTATTGGTGACATGGTTCAGAATCGACCACAATGGTGTGGGTGTATACACTATTTGTCTTCCCATAAACCATGAGATAAAATTAATTTATACCCTTCCTTTCTACGAACGAATTCTTTCTCCCTGTATTATATCCTTATATGCAATTGTTTTTTTTTTATATATTACAACTGAAGTAATTACTTCTATGAATTTGATGTTAATATTGTTGTGCTAATGAGGCATGGTAATTTTGACCGACGCATATGTGCCTGATCTTACGTTGTAGATGACTGACTGACTGAGATACAGGCAATTGAAATTCCAATCACTTTTTTTCAGTTCAGAGACTTATCTATTTAATGGATCAATAGGCGTAATTAAATGTTAGCGTGTTACACTCTTTGCTATAATTAAAGTACATGCTAATTACGGGGAATTTAATTATGTAGCAGAGATTTATCAAAGACGATTTAAATTACAAATCATTTGAAATAAGTAATTGTGATCAAATTTTGTAATGAGTTAAATTTTTTCCTTCTAGACAAGAGATGGGTGTGAAAAGCTAATCCTAGAGACGATAGATTGAGATAGAATATACTTTATCTGCCTCAACGTTATCCATGGATTGTGAAAACGTTATTAGGTGGCTTGAAATTGTGCACTGCCAAGTAGTGCGGTACTAGGACGAAACAGTTGTCTAGTACTTCCAGGCTTTCAGCGATTGTTGAACATCAGTTTTTGATGAGAACTTAAAGTTAAGAATATCAACAAAAACCTTATAAAGTAACAGCAATCAAGTGCTCACTAGTGACTGATTTTATGAGGTAGTTCCCGGAATTTTTGGAGGAAGTCATGAATAGTGCCATTTAATCACACTGGGTGTGGGGCAATTACATACCAATTATATTGGAAGATGGTCGGGTAGTATCGCAATCCAACTGAAATTAAACATGTAAACCACTGGATGTCATCGCAATGGTCTAAAGGTTAAGGGTTCGCCGCAAGATCTAGAGGTTCCGGATCCAATCCCTAATTAAGTCGAAGCGCACTTTTGGTGAGTCATACACCAGAAAGAAATAATTATCCAGTACCCCCTGGTTTCCAGTAGTCGTTTTATTAAGATCAGTTCGTGATGTAAGCCTATACAAATGATAATAAAAGTAACTATGAATATCAGCCCCGCTAGTGTCATATGAAAGACAATCATTGAATTATTCTAATTATAATTTAAAGAATAACTGATGACAATTTCACATATCATTGTGTTAACTCTTTAAAAGTTTTAAAAAAATGCATTCGAAATGGGATAGGATAACAAATCGTGAAGTATGATTTAAAAGCAAAAGTCGACATTTTACTTAGTAGGTATTTTATACTTTCTGTGATAAATATGAATCAACCAATAAAGATATATACGGGATTAATATAGAGATTAATAAATTGGAATCAGTTAACATCATTAATAATATTATCGAATGGTAGGTAAAGTTTAGAGGTATGAGGAAACTTAATGGTAATGTGTGTAGAGCTAAAACGATAAAAGATGGCAGTATTCCCAATAACAAGAACGAAAATATTGCAAGGTAAAGTCATACATCGTGTATAACATCCAGGAAAGGAAAAGTGGTTTATTTCGGGAGCTTTGCAATGAACAGCTTTTAGTTGAGATTCTCTTTTAAAAAAGACATTACAGTAAGCTGTGCTATATTTAGTGGTTGATATTAATGTACCGAGATATATAAACACTGAAGCTTAAAAAATGTTGGTTTTCTACTCTGAGCATCAATCAGAGACCTTCTCTATGCAGTTAGATATCAAACTGAAGAGAGAGTGAGAGCATTTTGTTCTTCCTTACAAACTAGGATGATTATTTTGACGAAATTACATTAAGACCCCAAACTCTAGCCACTATCTCAGTGATAAAACGAAATCATCGTCGCTGTATATCTTTGGGGTAAACCAAGCAAGTCCTGCAGGTGTATTGAAATGGCAATCAGCCAGTCGAAATAAACTTTTAGTGCTGCATTAGAAGCAATTGCAAATAGGTTAACATTTCAGTAATATTGAGTAAAAATTTAATTTTTAGTGAAACTCGAGAATTTCGTTAAACTGAATTAAACAGAAAAAACACTACCGTAGATAATAATAATAATAATAATAATAATAATAATAATAATAATAATAATAATAATAAAGATACGTTCATTAATGGATAATAATAGAATCTATTAATAATATACAAAGAACATTGGTTAAATGAACAAGAAAATTTTTAAGTTCTAAAGCAGAAGTAAAACAACGACATGTCTATTAAAACAGACTTACTTTTTTTAAATGAATCTAATGCATTTGGTAAATGGAAAAATAGATGTAACATCAATTTCAGTGAAAATCTAGCAGCCTGAAAAAAAGGGAATCATAAATGAAATGATTGATTATGAGAGTAACAATATCAATATGATATAAGTATTAATTGACCAAATTACTAGAAGCATGGAGTTGATTAAACTAATAGTTTATTCAGAGAACTAATATACAAACGCTAATTGAACAGTTATTAGAAGATAAATTATCAACTGAATAAATGTATATAAGGATTAAAAATATCATTTTAATACAAAATATTTTATCAATATATAGTGTGATTGACTTATTAAGTAAGAAATTACTAATATTAATAAATTTATCAAGTGTAGCTTCTCGACAGCACCAGGGTTTTAATATTATTAGGTTGCAGATGCCAATTTTGTTACATATACTTCTGTTTGTGTAAAAGACTAGTGTTTTAAACTCTTAAACACATAAACGTGGCTACACTAAAAGCATTTTTTTGAAGATGGGTACATAGATCTTCACATGGCTACTCAGTAACGCGGATAATTAAACTATCATAGAACCTCCTCTTAGATTAATCTGTCTTCAGTGGGTGTATATTATTATCTTTTACAATATTATAACTCGAAATAGAACAATTACCAAATATTGACGAATCAAATCAAATCTGTGTGTCATTATCACTCCAAAAGATCATTTGAAATTATTTAGACATCAGCAATCAGTGCAATAATTCACGAAGGAAAATTCTGATGAAGCTTGAATAAATATTCTATTTTGCACTGAATGATTTAATGACGTTAGTGTTAGGAGAATAAGCAAATGTAAATCATACACCACTAACTACTATTAACATATTAAACTCTATTTGAATATCAAAGTTGTAAGATACAGTAAGCAGAAGTGTAGGGTGTATATCAAAAAAGTGTCAGTAAATTTGCAATTTGCACGATGTAACAAGAATCAAACTATCAGGATAACTACAAATTTATTAAAAACAAAACTGTACCAAGGTATATTTCATACATAACTTTACACCATACTGAAATATTCAGAAATGATACTTATGTCAATATTATTTATATATACATAGAATAGTTTAATGGTGGGATAAATATTGCCAGTAGCATGTTAAATTAACTAGGATGAGTTAACAAAATAATTCCTTGTTCATGGTACATGGATATGATACATGGTTTATTATCTGACCTATGAAGGGAAACTATGATTTGAATTAGGAATCTACTATACTTAGTAGTGGGAGTACTATACTACACTTTCATGAATAATTTCAATTATACCAGTTGTTCCCTAATTCAATATACTTTTGAACGAAGCATATACTTGGATATATCAAAAGAAAAATAGCCAATCTCTACTATTTCTTTATTAAGATATATTAACGCAAGATACCATACTTGAAACAACTAACTAATATAAGTAGCCTGTTTCCATATAAAATATCTAGAAATATTAGAGATGATAGATTGATTACTAACTTCATGTTGAGTAGAAATACAACTGAAACAATTAATAAATGTTAAGTGTGATACTTCCATAGAAAATCTTACCAAAACTTACTGCTTAACTGAACAATAACTACTGTCATACATTGTAGGATAGTTATTACGCATCTTAATTTTCTTAGTGAATATATTTTGGGTAGATAATAATAATAATAATAATAATAATAATAATAATAATAATAATAATAATAATATGGTGTAGCAAAGAAATAGGAGTAAGAGGAAGGGGATATAGAGAATCATCAACCACATACCAGTTGATTACTTGGACTAATAGTACGATTACAACCAACACGATTGCACAGAGTTTTTCCTCGATCGATTGAGTTTGATTTGGGTTGATCACCCGACCAGAGGCGATGCCTACATGAAATGAACATAATGATTTGATGGCACAAATTCAATGCACCGCATCGATGAAGACGTTCAGCTAGTTCACAGCTTGTAGATAATACGGATAAAATTTCTATAAGTGAGCATCTAGCGTTTGCTGTTAATACAAGGGCAGATTGATTGGATGATAAGACCGAATTGTTGCTATTGTTGGTGGTGGTGCACTCCGAAATTGTATCGGGAAAACTGAATAAAAGTGAATTGATCAATACTTGTAATGTCGCTTCTGTGAAAAGTTCCTTCAGATTAACAAAGAAAAAAGATCAATAACTTGGATTTCATATAGATAACAGAATATAAAGTATTATAAGCAAAGATAAATAGTAGTTAGCAGTGGAATCCAGGACGCGCATTCAGTCCTATTTGGGACTCGTCAGCTGGATGTACCTGCATCTCAGAGTTGATGTCCACTTCGGGACTCCAACTCAGTACCGTTCACTTCATATACCATCGCGTTATCCACTTAGCTACTGGATCCTGATAGTCACTTGCTTGTCTAGTGAGGTGAAGTTTAAATTCACTTTGTATTGATGTTTAGAACTGCATTTGATCACTCTCTTATTGCCATATGTGCATACTGTGAGTATTGCCTTAATTCACAAGCATTATAAGCAAAGATGGATAGTGGCTAGCAGTAGAATCCAGGACGCGCGATTCGACTGCAGTCCTAAACATTAGTGGGAAGATTCAAGTAAACATTACCATGTGAATTTAGAATACAAAGTACTGTAATAACAGATTGTATACAATGAAGGTTAGTTATATATTAATAAGCAGGTTAATTAGATAAGATTTTGAACTATATATATATATATAAACATGATGATACTGTAGTGAACACGAACACCATTGGGGACAATCGAATGTGTTTAACACAAAATTACAGGACTTGTTAATAAAATCTAACAATCATATAGTAAATGCTTAATTTGCAAAATGTCCACCAATTGTCTCAAAATGACTCAGACTTCATTGTTTTTGCATTTTCATACAAATCGCATTCTGTTTCCGTTCTTTACTGTTCGATCCTCTTGCCTCTCCGCTGCCAGACCTTCTGTTCATGACTAACATCACATATTACTTATGTCAATATAAGTAGCACACACCACAATACAACAGAAAGATTATAACAAAGTATACAGTGCGAACAATAATAAGAAAAGACTATGTAAAATTAACTTACGATAGCAATTTTTTCTCGAGGTGATTGTACAACTACTGAACCCAAGTCGCCAGCTCTGAAAAGACTACGCAGGAATAATAAATCTGCTTCACGAACCATCGGATCTGTTTTCTCACTTAAATTACTATATATATAAAAAGAGGAAAAGAATAAGGCAAGACAAAAGATATTGAACCTGCATCATTTTATTTAAACCAAGTAATTAGTCCTTTTTATACATTTCGATAGAACTCCGTCTTCTCATTGTTCTATCAAAATTTAGTGACCGTTCGGAATAAGAATAAGGAGGTATTGCTTATACTAGTTTAAACTGTAGTCAATACACAATGATATATATACATATATGCTACAGATCTTATTAATTTTATGCAAGTGATCATCTTTGAAACTCCGCCTGTAGCTCTTATAGGGTTACTGCCGGTCCCAAGCCCGGGTAAAGGAGGAGGGTTGGGCATGGGGTTAGCGTCCCCATCCCGTAGAAAACTAACTCGCTAAAAAAACGCTTACCAGAAAAAATAATCCAAACCATTTAAACTCTGCCCTGGGAGTTAGAAGGTCTTCAGTTAGAAGAATTATGACGCTTCATGGTGAAAGCCGAGTTCCTTCGGAAGCCACGAGGCCGATGCCCCTTCTAACAACCAGAGCAAAAATTTTTATAGGTACATGGAACGTTCGAACAATGTGGGAAACCGGGAAGACCAGTCAAATAGCAATGGAAATGAGGAGATACAACTTAGCAGTACTGGGAATCAGCGAAACCCACTGGACCCAAGCTGGACAGAAAAGGCTAGCTACGGGAGAGATGCTGCTATACTCCGGTCACGAAGAGGACAATGCTCCACACACTCAGGGAGTCGCTCTTATGCTGTCCAAAGTAGCACGAAATGCACTTGTAGGATGGGAGTCTCACGGATCCAGAATCATCAAAGCATCATTCAAAACAAAGAAGGAGGGGATCTTAATGAATATTATCCAATGTTATGCACCCACCAATGATAGCAACGACGACATTAAAGATCAGTTCTACGAGCGGCTGCAGTCAATCATTGAGAAATGCCAAGAAAGGACCTAACTATTCTGATGGGAGATCTAAATGCCAAAGTCGGAATAGACAACACTGGATATGAAGATATTATGGGACGACATGGACTGGGAGAAAGAAACGAAAATGGAGAAAGATTTGCAAATCTATGTGCATTCAACAAATTGGTCATAGGAGGCACAATATTTCCACACAAGCGTATACACAAGGCTACATGGATCTCACCGGACCACACTACAGAGAACCAAATAGATCATATTTGCATCAACAAAAAATTCCGAAGGACAATGGAAGATGTGAGAACCAGGAGAGGTGCTGACGTAGCTTCAGATCACCACCTAGTTGTAGCCAATTTAAAACTGAAGCTAAAAAAGAACTGGACAAGTGGACAAACAGCACTACAAAGGTTCAATACAGCCTTCCTTCGAGATACTGACAAACTCAATGAATTCAAGATAGCTCTCAACAACAGGTTCCAAGCCTTACAAGATCTACTGAAAGAAGAAGAAACTAGTATGGAGGACAACTGGAAAGGCATCAAGGAAGCATTAACTTCAACGTGTCAAGAGGTTCTGGGCCTAAAGAAACACCATCATAAGGAATGGATCTCTATAGAAACACTGGACAAGATCAAAGAAAGGAAGAACAAGAAGGCAGCAATTAACAACAGCCGAACACGAGCAGAGAAAGTCCAAGCACAAGCTGAATACATAGAAGCAAACAAACAAGTGAAGAGGAGCATTAGAGCCGACAAGAAGAAATACGTGGAAGAACTAGCAACGACGGCAGAAAAAGCTGCTAGAGAAGGAAATATGAAACAGCTTCACGATACAACGAAGAAACTAGCAGGGAAATACAGTAAACCAGAGAGGCCGGTCAAAGACAAAGAAGGCAAGCCAATCACCGAAATTCAACAACAGCGTAACAGATGGGTAGAATACTTCGAGGAACTCCTGAATAGGCCGGCTCCAATGAATCCACCGGACATCGAAGCAGCACACATAGATCTTCCTATAGATGTCAACCCACCAACGACGGAAGAAATTAGAATGGCCGTCAGACAAATCAAGAACGGGAAAGCAGCAGGACCCGACAACATACCAGCTGAAGCACTGAAATCAGACATCGAAGCAACCACAAGCATGCTTACCTTCTATTCAAAAAGATTTGGGAGGAGGAACAAGTGCCGATGGACTGGAAAGAAGGACACCTCGTCAAGATTCCAAAGAAAGGAGATCTGAGCAAATGTGAAAACTACAGAGGCATTACACTACTGTCAATACCAGGGAAAGTCTTCAACAGAGTGTTGCTGAACCGGATGAAGGATGCAGTAGACGCCCAACTTCGAGATCAACAAGCTGGATTCCGTAAGGATCGGTCGTGCACAGACCAAATTGCAACACTACGGATCATCGTCGAACAATCAGTTGAGTGGAACTCATCACTATACATCAACTTCATTGATTATGAAAAGGCATTCGACAGTGTAGATAGGAGGACATTATGGAAACTTCTTCGACACTACGGAGTTCCTGAGAAGATTGTCAACATTATCCGGAACTCATACGACGGACTACAGTGCAAAGTAGTGCATGGAGGACAGCTGACAGATGCATTCCAAGTAAGGACTGGAGTCAGACAAGGCTGTTTACTCTCTCCCTTCCTCTTTCTTCTGGTGGTCGACTGGATTATGAAGACCTCGACATCTGAAGGAAAACACGGAATACAATGGACAGCTCAGAATCAATTAGACGATTTGGACTTCGCAGACGACCTAGCCCTCCTATCACGTACACACGAACAGATGCAGATGAAGACAGCCAGTGTAGCAGCAGTCTCTGCATCAGTAGGCCTCAGCATACACAAAGGGAAAACCAAGGTCCTCAAATTCAAAGCGGAAAACAGCAATCCAATCACTCTTGATGGCGAAACTCTGGAAGATGTAGAGTCCTTCACATACCTAGGAAGCATCATCGATGAACAAGGAGGTTCAGATGCAGACGTAAAGGCGAGGATCGGCAAAGCAAGGGTCGCATTCCTACAATTGAAGAACATATGGAACTCAAAACAACTTTCAACCAATATCAAAGTGAGAATCTTCAATACGAACGTCAAGGCAGTTCTACTGTATGGAGCTGAAACTTGGAGAACTACAACAACCACAATCAAGAAAGTACAAGTATTTATAAATAGCTGCCTACGCAAGATACTCAACATCCACTGGCCGGATACCATCAGCAATAGCCTTCTGTGGGAGAGAACAAACCAACTTCCAGCTGAAGAAGAAATTAGGAAAAGACGATGGAAATGGATAGGACATACATTACGCAAATCGTCAAACTGCATCACGAGGCAAGCCCTAACTTGGAATCCTGAAGGGAAGCGAAAAAGAGGAAGGCCAAAGAACACATTGCGTCGGATAATAGAAGCAGATATGAAAAGGATGAATTACAACTGGACGGAGCTAGAAAGGATTGCCCAGGACAGGGTTGGATGGAGAATGCTGGTGAGTGGCCTATGCTCCTTCACGAGGAGTAACAGGCGTAAGTAAGATCATCTTTGAAGGATATTAACGTTACTGAATTAGATCGGTGATGTAAGGAATGTAATCCTTTTTAAGACCTAATCTACAACAGGTTACATGTCACAGGATAATGACCAAATGATATGAGTATTCATTAGTTTACAAAATATCATAATTTCGATGTAAAATAAATTCATTATATACTGAGACTTCTCTGAAACTATAATGAACTTATAATATAAATAGAAAACAATGAATTTTAAACTGTAGGTTGTTACATTGATCCGAACAAACAGCAATGATATTTTTTACATTTAGATGGCAAAACAAGACATTGATCTTACAATAGTTCATGGATAGAAAACTCCTTTATTGAATATCGCATGACCACTTATTTTTTCCTTTTCATCATAAGTTATTTTAGGTTATACATATTTCTTAACTTCATTAACTGATTATATATCTGTGGTTATTTTAGTTTACGGGAGACTAAGAAATTGAATGAATTCATGTTGTTCTGTACACGACATTATTCTAATTATCATCAAAATGATTAAACGAACTCAAAGGTGTATAAAGTTAAACTCTAAGTTTCATTAACTATGTTATAATGAAACTGAAAGATGATTGATCACTGAGCGTGGACAAACAGGTAATTAGCCTACTAAATATTAAATATGTGATTTTCTTTTCTTTCATTGATTTCTACTGTGAACTCACTGAGGCTGACTGCTTTTAATTCTGTTGAATAAAGTAAGACGGAGGTTGGAGGTAGTCAACAGAAACCAACATCTTATCTAACATAGTGCACGCTATATCGAGTCACCTAGACTAATGGCCACATTGTAACTTGGTCGATAGGATTCGATCTGCACTAAGAAGGACCTGACATACATGACATTGATTACCATCCAGTGATCAATCAATTGTTAAATAAAGTATTATCTAGTCTATACTCTGGTTCTCTATTATGGGTCGTGAATCCTGGTTATGATATAAGTGACTAGTTTTATTATTGTATTAACGTATTATCGTAGTATACTTGAGAGAGAGAGAAATATTCTAAACAATCCTTTACATGAATCTACCATCCTGAAACCCTTTCCTGGCTTTCTCTTGATTTAATAAACATCATTTTAGAAAAAACCAAAGATAATTCAGCGAAGAAAATGTCATCTACTTAAGCTGTACAATCTTATTTATGGTAAACTATTTAAATAAATAAATAACAGATATAAATAGGATATGACTAAATCCATTTTGGTCTGTAAACCTAAGTCATCTAAAGTCTCTACTACACCTTGTCATGGCACTCGTGAACCATTAGTTACACTCATACTTCAAAAGTATCAATAACAAACATAAATTCATACATAAATGGTAAACGTTTTTCCACATATTTCAAAATATAAGCATACTACACATACAAATAATATAAATGTACAAACAGATGTACCAAATACTTCTTATTACAGGTATAGTACTTAAGTAATTATTACAAAATAGTACATTAAGTAGAAATTGCCTTGAAGAGATATAAAAGGACAGATAAAATGTAAGATTTTGTCTATTGAATTATTCAAGTAACAGCTTTTTAGAAAATCGGATTAATACATCCAATATTTTACAGAAATAATCTCATTGATCTGTTATAAATAATATCTAATAATAAAAAGGTAGGGTTATGCTTATCATAATTAAGTTAGCACTGTTACAATAAGTTTCCAAATTATTTTCTCACTTTGATTCAGTATTTTCCACACCACTAAAAGGAGTAATCATTAGATTTATACAACTATTATATAGTCAAGTAAATACTGTACTACTTTTCTGTTAAGGGCTTATATGCAACAGTGTATGTGGTAGATGTGTGTGGGCAAAAGAAAGAGAGAGAGTAGACAAGAAGTATACTGACTAGTACTATAAAAAGGGATTTATTTACTCTCGGTGAAATGCATGGATGTATAGTCAACAAAATTCGAACGACATAAACATGTATCCTGGAGCCTATTATATATATGATACAATATGAAACATGCTTTAAGAAGACAATGTTTGGAAATAGCTTGTTTAGTTTATTTTAACAATTAGAGGAAATGAAGAAACATAAATAATTTGTTTTACTTTGCCTTCATAGATACGATAGTTTTTATTTTAAAGTGGACACTATGAGTTCTATATTTCGTCAGCAAGGTATGAATATTAAACCACTAGAATAGAATTCGATGGATAGTATTTTTTTAAACTTCATTTGATTCATGAAACATAATTTAACTTTCTTTCATGCATTCAGTGAGCCATGTACGTTAACAGAGAAATGATGCATGACACAAATATCATTTGGTTCCTATCTTTCTAAGACAAGTCAATAATGTAGAATATACGCTGATAATTTAGAGGGATCGCATCAGCATGAAGACAGTTTTTCTAAACGAAATGACGTTAATTAGACTGAAATATGGCTGAAGCTAGGAAACCTCACCGATAAATTTATATCAACTTGCAACCAACAACAGGTACAGCTCCTAAAGTTCAATCCCTGAAGAGACTGAGGATGTACACTATCAAATACACACTGTTTTTCAGTTTGCCTCTCCGAATTTTCTAAATATTACAAAATAGCGAAAACTACTTCTGGACAAAACAAATTCCCTAAATTAACTTGAATGATATCAATTATCTATTAACAAATAGCTTACAACAACATGAATAATAGATTAAAACTAATTGTCTGTTTTAAGTAACAGGAGACACTGTGCATACTAGCGATAATTTCTAACTCTAGTCATATATAATTAGTAATTATAAAGTAATATTAGAAAAATACCAATAAAATGGTGAAGCAGTCATTCGCACTTGTCATTTCATAATAGCCTCCTCTTTCTTTTACATTTTTTCCACTTTATCATCCTATTCATAAGTGTAACCAACTTATAAAGTGTTATTTACAGGTGAAAATGAACAACATCCCTAATCATTATCATTTTGATGTGTTTTAAAAACACTACAATTATAAAAGCTGTAGCAATGAATAATAATAATAATAATAATAGCTTACAATTCATGAAATTAGTCAAAAGTTCCGGGTGATTAAGAATATCCTCTGACAATGAAGAGCAATCTCGAACTAGACTGTTGACTAAGCCAAATAAGTCAATACATACATTGATATGTGTGGCAGACCACTGATTTAAACGACCAAGTGAATTGAGCAACCTGAAATATATGATAATGAAAAATGAATAAGCATAGAGTTGAAAAAGTAAAAGTGAATGAGAAATAAAAGCACGAATAAAAGTAAAGTGAAGCTAGGAAAAGGAAAAATGTAAAATTCCTCTAATTATAATTTATTCGACGAATTCATATACTTTAAATAGGTTACGATAAAAACTTAGTTTAATGACTACAAGCTATATTCGATGTATCAACGATTCATTGTTTTGTGCTTTATTATCATTTGTTATTATAACATAAATGTCCTTAATATGTAATTCTTAAGATCTCCTCAATTAATTATATTTTTTGATCTGATGTATGAATGGAGTTATGACTTTACGAACTAAAAGATTGGCTTTCAAATCAAGTAAAGCATGATCGACTTAGATTCAACCTACATCAATTCAAAGAGATCGACAACCAGTAATCTAACAATACATGCTGCTGAAAGATGAGTATATCGATATACATTCAACTACTGAGCTACATTAGTGTTATATTACAAACAGTGTGAAACATAATCATGAAGGTTTGTAGCCATCAGTTTTACATCAGATCGTTTCTGATTACAGGTTTGAAAGACAAATGTTATTAATGTTGTGTACACTGAGATGAAAAATTAGTCGCGAAGCTCTCACCACCATCTTAAACGACATCATCAGCAAGATCTTAGAGAAAAGTATTGTAAATATTACTCGACAAGTGAATAAAAGATTGTCTTATTAATATGATTTTGAACTAGTCGAAACTAATAATTGTCCTGTCATTGATTAAACATTTGTTTTGATTCCTTTTTCCATTAACAAAAAGAACTTAAAACTAAAAAAAGATTACTTCTTGACATAAACGAAGAGTACATGATTTGATTTTAAAGAAATTTAAATCTAAATGACATGTAAAATAATTCATGATCAGATAAAATTACTACAATTATTCATTGTGGACGCATCTTTTATTGGCACAAAAATTTAGATCATATCAATGTTCAATTGACGGTTACATAGACACCAGTTAACAAACTACAAACAACAGTAGAACTCCAGAAAACTTTGCAACAGCGATTGTAATTATCTAGTACGAAATCCCCGACCGAAGCTGCTACTTTGACGTGGTGGTCGGGCTTGCCTATCGTGATGACCCAACCTAGCTATATTGGCTGGAACATATGTTCCTGTAGGTTTTACCATGTCAGGCAGGTCGATTGGAGAACGGTAAGACTAAAAGCAGCAACTCAAGGTCTGAGGGCGAAGTCGTACTGCTGACTGTAGAGGGGTGTGACAGCAGTAAGGTGCTTCCCTCGGACAACCAGCATCTGCAGCGATGCCGCCCTCCCACAAGGAGGGGTGGGGTTAGAAGACTGTCGCTCATTCCGGAGCACATGCCTAGATTCAGATCATGCTCTAGTACGAGCGCGTATCTGTCTGCGTCTTACTGGACGTAGGAAAGACGCTGCAAGGAAACCTTTTAGGGCCCTACTTAATGATAGTCAAGCTAAGAGTATATTTCAGGAACAACTAGGAAAACAGTTAGGCAGCCATGTATGTGATGCCCACCCTGAGGCAGCATGGAATGATATCCGAAAAGCTGTGGAAACAACAGTGATATCTGCTACTACGGTAACCCGTAAAGTTAGGGAGCAACACTGGATCTCAACAGCATCTATCTCACTGATAGATGCTCGGAAACTCATTCCACCTGGCTCTGAACATAATGAAGAGCGGAGTCAGCTTAACGCAAGCTGACAAGAAGTCTACGCAATGACCGTGAACAGTGGTGGGTAGCGAAAGCAAGAGAGATGGAAAAGGCAGAGGCAATAGGTAATAGCAGACAATTGTTCAGACTTGCCATGGAAATTGGTATCGGAATCCAACTGATAGCGAAAGAATCTCATAGAAAGATGGACATATTATACGTTCTCAATCCAGGAGATTGGATCGATGGGCAGAACACTTTAGTGATTGGTTCAACTGGCCTTCAGCCACACTTCGGTTTCCAACGATCTCCAGTCAACCTGAATGGCAAGTTAATGTAGGTCGTCCGTCTCTTTACGAAGTTGAAAAAGCTATAAGAAATCTGAAGCGAGGAAAAGCAGCAGGCCCTGACAGGTTTACTCCTGAGACCTTTAAGGATGGTGGTCTTACATTAGCAGTGAGATTAACTGAGGTCATAGGTAGAATTTGGGAACTGGACGTAATCCCATCTGACTGGTCTCAATCACTGATTGTGCCAGTCTATAAGAAAGGACAAAAGTCCTCTTGTGACAATCACAGAAGAATCAGTTTGACTAATATAGTGTCTAAAATATTAGCTTCAATAATACTTCGACGCCTAACTAAAGCTCAAGAAGAGCAGACTAGAGAAAAGCAGGCTGGTTTTCGACCTCGACGTGGTTGTATAGACCAAATATTCACACTACGTAAGGTCCCAGAACATAGACACAAATTCAGACGCCCCACAATCGTAGTATTTCTCGACCTTAAGGTGGCGCTTGACTCTGTTGATGGTGTTCACTCTCTTCATTCTTGTTTAACTTTGTCGTTGACGTGCTTTTAGAGATAACACTTCCCTCATCCAAATTTCCAGGGGTTGAACTTCTACCAGGTGATTCACTTGTTGACTTGGAATATGCCGATGACATAGTTCTATTTGGTGAAGACGTTGACAAAATTCAGAGTCTTCTGACCACTCCAAGCAACAATGCAAGCATGTTCGGGATGCGATTCTCTCCTTCAAAATGCAAAATGTTGCTTCAGGATTGGGTTGCATCGACACCCGAACTAATGATAGGGAGTGAAGTAGTTGAGCGTGTCGACCGATTCACTTATGTTGGAAGTCTCATCAGCCCTCGTGGTCTGGTGTTTGACGAAATCTCAGCACGGATACAGAAGGCTCGACTAGCTTTTACCAACTTGCGTCATTTATGGTGTAGGCAAGATATCCGTCTATCAACCAAAGGACGGTTTACTGCGCAGCAGTTCATTCCGTCCTATTTTATGACAGTGAACCATGGCCGGTAAGAGTAGAGAATATTCGTAGGTTACTAGTATTTGATCATAGGTGTCTTCGAAACATTGCTCGTATATCCTGGGACTATCGAGTAAGTAATGTAGTTGTTAGGAAACGGGTACTAGGTAAGGATGGCAAATCAATTGATGAAGTAGTGAAACTTCATCAGTTGAGATGGTTGGGACACGTGTTACGTATGCCCAACCACCGACTGCCTCGACATGCGATGTTCCATGGTGTAGGAGTAGGTTGGAAGAAAGCTAGGGGCGGCCAGACAAAAACATGGCACAAGTCCATGAAGTCACTGACAAGTGGGCTGAGTCATGTTGGTAGGTGTAGACTACCTGGTTGGGGTCCGCGAGATGATAGCAACTGATGGTTAGAGACCCTGAATGACATGGCTCAAAATCGTTTGCAATGGCGCAGGTGCATACACTCGTTGTGTTCTCCCAAATTTTGGTCTCCTTATTCCTCCTTGTCTCTTTTTTCTCTTCCAAAATTTATTTCACTGTATTATACTCTTTAGGTAACATCTCCAAACACTAATCTTCCCGATTACTGCTTATACTCTTATTACCTCTACCACTACGGGATTTGAATCGACCACTGCATCTCTGTGCTAATGTGGTGTGGCAACTCGAACTGATGTACATACTTACGAGGTTCTACGTTGTTACTGACTGACTGAGTACGAAATCAGGTTTCGTGCTCTTAAAATTGTGTATTAGATGTTTTATGCATTCAAACTTTGATCTGCCGTAAAGTCAGCTTGAGTTTCATTGATAGTTTAAGCTAATAAGAATTGTCTTCGGAAAAACAAACTAAACCAACGACCTTGAGTGATTCTAAGAGTGACCTTGCGGTTAATCTTAATATTCTAAGCCCTGACGTCATAATCTTAACAATCAGAATGCAGGTTGTTTAAACGACTACCATTCCTAAAGCAGTGGTTACCGGTGTTTATCTAATCCATTCAATTATCAAAAACATCCGTTGCACTTTAGTCTCAGTCTCCCAAAAAGTGCCATTCGTAGTACACTGGCTTCCCTCTTTGGACCTGAATATCATTTACTGCTCATAGAAATACATAAGATGCCATTCCCTGATAGTCCGAGGTTCTGTAAGTGACTGACGATCATATCGCAAATCAAATTAATTAAAAAAACTTATCAAAAACATAGTTTCCTATATCAGACTATCGACATTTGTGCCTCAGAAATCACGTTTCAGTTCTAGAATTGCGATATTCATTCCGACTGTCAGTTGCTTTTCGTCTCAAAACCATCAGCATAGTTTAGTTCCAAATTTTTTAATTGTCAGTACATCATGTATGTCTGTAGACTTAATTGTTAAATTTATGCCTGGCTATTTTTTGTCAATATTACTGTTTCGTTTGTGATCCCATAGTTTTGTCAACAAGATCTAGTACCTTTTCTTTTGGAAACTCAATATCCTTAAAGTTGAAAAAGAAGTTGCTTACTTATTTGCTCTGAAGATAGAGGTCAATACTCATGGAATATACTTTTTCCTTGCCACTGATTAATCAACTTTCAATTGTAAAATAAGAACATATATCACTATATACCAATAAATATTCACACTCACCGAGGACGAAGAACAGAGCTATTTCCAACAACCAGCTTGTTCATTACACTAGCCACGACGAATTGACGAAGAATCCTGTTATAGTCAACAAATAACGCAAGACAATTAAAATTATGTGAATATCTGTGATAAATAATCGTAGAAGTAATGGATTAATTTTATGTACAAAAAGGTTACTAGCCATACAGAAATTCTAGTAAAAACGATATCTATTAGGAAAGCTAGGAATTGCATGGAATCGGTATCCGTCACCAAACGAAACTTGGTGAGAATTAAAATTTCCGTAGAATACGACTAATTCACTGTATTTTTTTGGCTTCTTATGGTTTTTACACAAGCTTATGTAGTTCGGGATAGTATATTTAGCTGATGAGTTCATACAACCCGATGCATTCAGGCAAGACAATCAAATTTCGTTTTTACAGATTGACTACTTACAAGTAACATATATTTCAAAACGAAATTAATCTGATAACATTATCAGAGCCACCTTGCACTGAGGATAATGAGTCGTTGATAAGCTTTTTTTTCAGCTCTCTCCAGAAAAATTTAGGTGAAAGATATTTCAAAAGATAAGAATTCCGTTAAACACTAGGATACGATACAGACATCTAACATTTTTAAATAAGGAATTATGTAATTTTTTGAAACATGTCAAACAGGACATAGAAGTTAAAGCAAGTTGATTACAAATTCCAGTGTTAAAAACAACAAGATAGAAAACAGTACGAGATGATGTCAAATAAAGTCAAATTCTGACTCCCAAAAGTAGGATAAGAATTTTTTTGTTCGAAACTCCACATTTTTGGTAACTATCAGCAGTTATATCTCATAGCGTCGTAATAGAACTGAGTATGATGATGAGCTTGAAGATATTTGATATATAGTAGGATTCCTTTAGCAACATATTGAACATGCTAATAAAGTTTATCGCATTAGTTATACGAAATGGTAGACACGAAAACATTTCACTTTTAGTGCTAAATTACGATATTCAAACCAGTCCAAATATCACTCTAGATTTGACAAGCTTGAAATCATCTTAAGTATTGATCCATACTTAGATAAAACTTAAACGTCCTTAGAGTCTGTGGCTAGGAAATATATATTATCTATAACCCACAATTTGATTACGGTTTTCGAATAGAAACTGTATCTGATAGGCCAGAATAACAAGTTGAGTGTGAACCATGCATCACAGACAGTTCAGATGAAGGCTCCCACAATTTAATTTAATTAAAGACATAGAGAAAGTGATAGTTCTGTTCAAAACTACCATTAGTGATTTAGGGATCAACTATGTAATACCGTTGTAGGGTTAGAAAATATGTTTGAAATAGAACTCTAGTAAATACAAATATGTTTCATAATATGAATGAAGATCTGGTATGTCCGCTACTGGAATTAGAATCTTTGGATTTTAAGAATCATATAAATAAAGTTAATTTCTTTGGTGGTAAACACAATCGGAACAGTCGAGAATGACACTCAATTGAAACTTTAGTGAAATTATCCCATAAAGAATCATACCTTTAACCTTAAGAAAGAAACCCATTAGAAGCTGATATTTTATCCACACCTAAATCTGCCGTATCATTTTCGGTGCTACTTGCGGTTAAATGACATATCTTCATTTACACTTCAGGCTGTGACCAGGTGCTAGGCAGGTAAAACCCAATCTAATCTGAGTCGAACTGGTACTCAAAGTGTTCTTCATATAAATTCAATGAACTGATCTGAAAATGCACTCGACCTTCAGCCATTAGGTTGCAGTTTTGAACCCCATCCCAACTATCTTAATTCGAACAATAAATTAGTCTTCACGTAAAAAGTATGGCATCAAATAGAGCAGAAAAAAATTTATTTGGCTAATAAGTTGGGTTATAAATTTTATTTTGCAAACATGGAACAAAGAGTCCTTTTTTGATTAGGTAGACGATTAAATGGTGTTTGTTGCTATAGAGAAGGGATGTTTGTGGTCAGGTTAAATGAAAAGTATGAGGTAATATAACTACGTAATGGAATAAGTTGTAAAACATATCTTATTATTTTAAAAAACCCTAACATTCTGAAAGCGACTGTTAAAGAATATCCTAACAGTTTTATTAACAGCTCCTTAGTAAGAAACAAAAACCTACAAAACCTAATTGTATTCCACAGAACGACTGAGAGAGTCTTAAATTTTAAAGATAAGTGTTTTCTATTAAGTTATTGCAAAGATCAACTAGACCTGTATGTGTTAACTTTTAGTAAATATAACTGAAACAATATGATAACGGTTGAAATCAATATGTATACAATAGGATTTAGCACGTGTTTATGCGTGCATAAGATACAAATATCTATCTATATCTATCTAGATACCACGTGAATAACTTTTTTTTCGACAAATCATGTAAACAAGCAGACAATATATAAAAGCGAATCCTTTTAATCAATAGATGCACTATAAAGTAAAAACTAAATCACTTTTTGGCATTTTTTTCGATTGATTATAGAGAATAACAAAAAGATAAAGTGTTTTAAAAGTATTATTATATAGATATAAGATGTTTTAAGGAAATGACTAAGAGAATTTCACTCAAATAACGGATACAAATTAATGGTATATATTTAATAAATAATAAAAATATCAAAGAGAAATTATGATAGAAATCTCTAAGAATTAAAAATAATAATAACTGGAATTATATATTTAAAAAGTACTAGAAAAGCACAGAACGATATTGAGAAGAATAAAATAAAAATTTTCGTGTTTTATTATTATTATTTCCTTGAAAAAGCTTGGACCAGGTTGCCAGGCGAAACCGTCGGATTTACTTTAAATTCTTTCGCTGAGATTTTACAAATACATTCTTCCTCTTTAATGTTTCACATTAACTCGGCGCCCGAATGTTGTGAAACTATTCGATATTATTATTTTAAAGATTTTCAGGCGAGTCTGAAATCTTTAAAAATTCTTACGGTAATACATTGATCTATTTATAAGAAATTGAAATTTGGCACAACAGAAACATCAAGAGATGTGAAATATAAAATAAGATGATTATGTTTTGAAAAATAAAGGGAAAATTTCATTAAATAATACTAAGAGGAATATCAGTAATAGAGGATACAGCTCGTATATGAATACAAATTTTGTCTGATTAATAGATATCTGTAGCAGTTTATGAAGAACACAGTACAGAATCACAACAATATCACTGGTCTGTTCTTTTCTGAACTGTATCTGTAGTAGTAGTAGTTATCTCACCTGATAATTGTGAAGTGACATATTGTAACCCAAAACAATTACCTTTTATTTTGAAGCATAATGTTACGAGCTGACTGTATATATGCTTTATCTATTCAACTAAAGTGTTGAGAAGTAATTATCAGTAAGACACTATGGATAATATATGTAAGCGTCGACGAAGTTAGTGTTTTAAAATGATATCACCAACATAACTCATGATTTTTAATACATCCGAATTAATTTTGTTGAACGTGAGTATCGCTTACACAGTTTTGATATCGAATGTACGTAATCCCACAGATGTAACGATGACAAGGGATAGGCAAAAGTAAAAGGCACATACCGTGTGCCAAATGATGAACTTAGATTTTGGTAGCATGTATGTCACTGCATAAAAAAACGATTTTATCAACATAGTAAAAATTGAGAATGAATCCCTAAGGTAACAGATCTATATTCAGTTTATCACACATTTTCGAAAGATGTATTCAGTTTTCTAACCAAACTGTTGCCTCCATCATACGAAAGAGAAATGGGGAAAGTGTATCCCCGAGATATTGTAGCTTCAACTATCAACAATACTTTTCCGTTTTTGATGCTCATAGAGAGTTATCGGGTACGGGACGAACTCGTTAGATCTACTGCACCTGCGGGTCAAGTAAACTGTCACTTAACGTGGTCCGCTCAATGTCCTTGATAATTGTTATTTAGCGTGCCACTCACTTTACACATTACGCTACAGATACTGAGTTTCTAGCCACTAGTGGATTGAATAAGTTGTAACAACGCTCGCCAGATGCAGCTGTTTTTCTTGTGTCAGTAAAAAGTTTAGAACACCAGATTTCGAAGTACTTAAATCGGCTGTGAAAGTTTGCATGCGTTTTTATATTCACAGTCAGTCGTAATAGATATTTAAACATAAAGAAGCTTACTGAAAGTTAGCATTACGCCTTTCATATAATAAGAGGAAATTCACCAAGTGTTGACATAAATATCTAGTTTACTTCAGCAAAGTAGTAATTTGAAAGTGTTACCGGGAAAATTGTGTTTTTGACAGTGAATTTGTAAACAAATTTTTTTCTGGACTATCTATACCAACCAAGTGAGTGAACAGTATGCAAAATGTCCTGAAATATTAAAAGCTCAAACAATATAAGCTTAGACTATTGAAGAAGATAATATTGGATATTGAGCAATTTTTAATGCCAAAAACTTACCGAATAGATTTTATTACTAATAATGGATCATCTGAGCATATATCATGTTCGACTGAAGCTTCGAGACGAGCAACCACTTCTTGCCACAAACTTGAAACACCTGAACTATTTGCTCGGTCTGTAGGTTGTTCAAAAGTGGAGAGACTCTGAGTGATGTTAGAATCAATAGATGGCGTCTAAAAGCAATCGGAAATACAATTATTCTTGACTATGTCATTACGAGAAAACAAAATTGAATACAGCTTTGAAAAACGTAAGTAGTAACTAAAAAAATCCATACATATTTACTCATTAGATAAGTTTAGCAGATACACTTAAGACGCAAGTGTATAAAACATCTTTATTGATTCACAAAGGTAATGTATGACTAAAAGAAAAAAACATTTAACAAACAAGTTTAAAATTCAACATAAATTTGAAAAGTATTTCATTAATAACGAACACAAAACATAGAGCTTGGGACTACAGTGTACTGCTACGGATTACTACATTTTATAAACACTACAGCACAGGGAGAGAAAACAAAAGATGAAGATGAGCTAAAATGGAAAGTCTGTAGAGTGAGTTCATACACCAAAATATGATCCGCGCTAATGCAACAGTAAGTGGTGATTTCTACTTTTTATTGAAAACTCAGTAAGTTATGTACAGTTATAACTCACCAGTTTTATGTCCAGACCGATAAGCTACAACAACGTCGGATTGAAACTATGGCCATGTAGAACAGTTAAAGCCAGTATAAAAGATGGCAGCAGGGGCATAAAAGAGATATGGAGAAAATTATAACCCTAAGAAGGAATTAAGTGATATCGGAAACGAGTAACTAACACTTCCTTTATTTGTGGCAAAAAACGCTATTTCCTTGGGTAGATGAAAAACTACAGGAATACTTTTGCTGATTTTCATACAATGAATGTGATTATAAGATAAACCATTTGACAAACAAGTATCAATATGCTTAACGCCGCTTGTAGCACTTCTAGGGTTACTGCCGGTCTCAAGCCCACACAAAGGAGAATTGTTGGGCATAGGATCAGAAACCCCATCCCGCAGAAAATAAGCCTGATGAAAAATGCTAACCAGAATAAAAAATCTAAACCATTTAAACTCTGTCCTCGGAGTTGAAGGACTTTCATTCAAAAGAATTACGACGCCTTATAGTAAAAGCGGAAATTTTTCGGAAGCCATGAGGTCGATGCACTTTCTAACAAATGGGGCAACAATTAATATAGGTACATGGAACGTCCGGACAATGTTGAAGACCTGGAGGATCAGTCAAATAGTTACAGAAATGAGGAGATACAACTTGGTGATTCTTGGAATTAGTGAAACCCATTAGACCCAAACTGGACAGAAAAGGATAGATTCGGGAGAGATGCTACTGTACTCTGGTCACGAAGAATAAAGTTTTCCGCACACTCAGGGAGTTGCTCTGATGCTATCTAAAGAAGTCTCATGGATCCAGAAACGTCAAGGCATCATTCAAAACAAAGAAGGAGGGGATTGCAATGAATGTTATCCAATGTTGTGCACCCATCAAAGATAGCATCGACGACGATAAAGATAAGTTTTCCGAGAGGTTTCAATCAATCACAGCGAATTGCCCATGAAAAGACCGGACCATCCTGATCGTAGACCTAAACGCCAAAGTCGGAATGAATAACATGGAGTGACTGGGAGAAAGGAACGAAAATGGTGACAGATTTGCAAATTTATATGCATTCAACAAAATGGTTATAAGCGGCACAACATTCCCCCAAAAACGCATACACAAAGCTACGTGGGTCTCACCGGATCACACTACAGAGAATCAGACCTATCATATTTGGGTCAGTAAAATTTAAAGGACAATGACAGACATGAGAATCAAGTGGGGATCTGATATAGGTTCAGATCACGACCTGGTGGTTGCCAAGATGAAACTGAAGATAAAGAAACACTGGACAACTGGGAGAACAGCATTAAAGTACAGTCTTCCTTTGAGATACCGACACATTCAATGAATTCAAGATAGCTCTCAACGACAGGTTACAAGCCTTACTGAAGGAAGAAACTACTACGGAGGACAACTGGAAAGGGATCAAAGAAGCAATGACTTTAACATGTCAGGAGGTTCTGGGCCGCAACAAGCACGATCATAAAGAATGCATCTCTATCGAGACCCGGGACAAGATTCAAAAAAGGAAGAACAAGAAGATAGCAATTAACAATAGCCAAAAAAGAACAGAGAAAGTCAGGGCACAAGCTGAATACTTTCAAGCAAACGAGCGAATGGGGAGCAGTAATAGAACCGACAAACAAAAATACGTGGAGGACCTAGCAACGACAGCGGAAAGAGCTGCAACAGAAGGAAATATCAAAAAATTATATGAAACAATGAAGAAACTGGTAGGAAAATGTAGTAAACCGGAGAGACCGGTCAAGGACAAAGAAGGCGAAACAATCACTGAGATTCAAGAACAGAGGAACAGATGGATGAAACACTTTGAGGAACTCTTCAATAGGCCGGCTCTATTAAATCCACCGGACATCGAAACAGTACGCACAGACCTTCCTATGGATGTCACCCCACCAACGATCGAAGAAATTAGGATGGCCGATCATCAGACAAATCAAGAGTGGGAAAGCAATACGACTTGACAATATACCAGCTAACACACTGAAGTCAAACATAAAAGTAACTACAAACATGCTTCACCTTCTATTGAAGAAGATTTGGGGGGAAGGACAAGTGCCGACAGACTGAAAATAAAAATACTTCATCACAATACTAAAGTCAGGAGATCACAGCAAGTGTGAGAACTACAGAGGAATAACACTAATATAAGTACCACGAAAGGTTCTCAACAGAGTGTTGATGAACCGGCTGAAAGGCGCAGTAGACGACCAACTTCGAGATCATCAGGTTGGATTCCGTAAGGATCTGTCGTCCACAGACCAAATCACGACACCACAGATCATCGTCGAACAATCAGTTGAGTGAAATTTGTCACTATACATCAACTTGACGTTCGACAGTGTGGATAGAAGAATCTTATGGAACCCTCGACACTATAGTATACCTGAGAAAATCCTCAACATCATATGGAATTAATATGAGGGACTACAGTGCAAAGTCATACATAGAAAACAGCTGACACATGTATTCAAAGTGAAGACCGGAGTCAGACAACGCTGCTTACTCTCCCCTTTCCTCTGTATTCTGGTGGTTGAATGGATTGTGAAGACCTCCATATCTGAGGGGAAGCACGGAATACAATGGACAGCTTGCATGCGACTAGACGATTCGGACTTCGAGGATCACCTAACCCTTCTATCCCATACACACCAACAAATGCAGGTCAAGACCACCAGTGTAGCAACAGCCTCTGCATCAGTAGGCCTCAACATACACAAGGGAAATAGCAAGATCCTCAAATACAACACGGAGATCACTAACGCAATCACACCTGATAGAGAAGCTCTGAAAGAGATGAAAACTTTCACTTACCTGGACAGCATCATCGATGAACAAGAAGGATCTGATACAGATATGAATGCAAGGATTGGTAAAGTAAAAGCAGCATTCCTACAGTTGAAGAACATATGGAACTCAAAAAAACTATCTGCAAACCAACATTAAAGTCAGAACCTTCATTTATTTATTTATTTTTATTTATTTGAACACATAAATATTGGTACAAGAGAGCGCCAATATATATGCGCCACAGAGCGCCAATATATATGCGCCACAGAACCTTCAATATGAATATCAAGACATTTCTACTGTACCGAGCTGAAACTTCGAGAACTATCACAACTGTTAGCGGGACATAGATTGGATTAAATCATGCTCAATGCACGATTGCGTTGGTTCACGCTGATCGGTTAATTCTTATCCAATCAGCGCTAGTCGATACTTGGAGAACATTCTCGCATCTTCTCATGTAAAAAACTATGAATATACTAACGTTTCCCTATTGTGCTTCTTACTTCCATCTAACCTTGTTATTTGGAATACAATCTCTTTCCTGTCAACCGTGTTCTGATTTGGGGACTTTTCGATTGGATTGGTGTCCGAAAATACTAAGCAATAGGAATAGCTGGGTTGTAATAAGAGAGAATTATAACAACAACCATCATCAAGAATGTACAAGTATTTATAAACAGTTGTCTGCGCAAGACACTGAATGTCCGTTGGTCGGATACCATCAGCAACAGCCTACTATGGGATAGAACAAATCAGCTTCCAGCTGAAGAGGAAATTAGGAAATAACTCTAGAGGTGGATAGGACATACATTGCAAAAATCACCACACTACATCGCAAAGCAAGCACTATATTGTAATCCTGAGGGGATACAGAAAAGATGAAGGCCAAAGAACACACTGGGTCGAGAGTCGGAAGCAAACATCAAAAGTATGAACAGCAACTGAGAAGGATTACTCAGGACAGAGTTCGACAGCGAATGCTGGTGGGCGACCTATGCCCCCCCATGGGTGACAGACGTAAGTAAGTGATTAATCTACATACTCAGTAAGAAACCACAGTATTTTGCAACCCCCAATGATACTACTAAGAGTGATGAATTGGTCCTGATGGTGACTGCTGTTGTGAATCTGAAGTACAGCTCACATTCATAAACACATATGTTGGACTTAAATGGATGTATGTATTTACAAACAATATATCAACAGATCGGTTTGAGATTTACATAAATAATAGATCTATAGACTGCAATCATGTAGTTTTTACCAAAATGGATTCTCTTTTCCTGGGAAACGTTCCATCAGGAAATTTTACCATACTGGGACTGAATCTTTTACTTAGGTTTTGTGTTACTTCTGAGAGGATCCTAACCACATGCATGGTCAGATGTCAACAACTAATACCAGGCTTTTTATACGCAAAACAAGTGGACCTTAGTGTATACTGTCATAGCATTGGCATTTACACGGTGAGCGAGGCTTGCGGTCAAGTATATAAACATATGGTGATTACTCATTTTTCATCTTGTAAAGATTAAATTGGCAGCAAAATTTTATGCATATACCTCCTACGGGATACTTTTCGTTATACTAGTGACAACAACTTAGTTTTCGTGATGATAAGTGGCAAGAATCCTAGAAAACATTCAGACGGGAGCTGTATCAGCCTGACAAGTGCTAAATAAACACACTCTCTAACCTCTATGAGTTCCGAAAGACCGATACGTACACATGACCAAATAAAAGTTTTAGAGTTAAAAAATATGACTAACTGGTCAAGATAATTAGTTGAGTGACTTTACTACCATTTAGAAAAGGAAATACACCGTTTACTTTAATCTTAAAGACCCATTACATGTTTAAAACCATCTTCCATATATTTATATAACACTAAGAATACTAGGAACGTGCCTGAGGTAATAGGGGGAAAATGTAAGATCTAGGTCGGGAAACTATTTTCCCACAATCAAAGAAAACCCTAGATGAACAAATGCTGACACTTTAGTTATTGGACACACTCAGAGACAAATGAACATTACTCTATCACAATGTAAATACTAGCTGTATTTCCGGAAGTTCGGTTAAATACTGTAAGGTTTTAGTCGGGATAGAACCGGTTCTTTCGAGGGTAGAGGTGGTTTCGAAATTATTATCAAAAATACGGAAATCAGTAATTCATATGGCTTGGATTTTCATGTAACGTTAGAAATGAAAAATCACTGACAGTGTGAATACGTTACTGTGACGATTGGAACATGATGGTTCGTCTTATAATTTACTGACCTTTTTTAGGACATAGAGAAATGAATAGCCACTTGATCAAGAAAATGTGATACACCAGGTAATCAATTCTGTCTGAAAATTTTTAGCGGAGATTGAACGTGACCGAATAAGCGAGCGTTAATCAATGTAATTTTTATATAACAGTTTGTCTTGCAATGTTGTTATCCAGAGCTAAATAAGATACCTTACATCTGAAACCAGTGAAGAGTGATTAGTGTGAGAACAAAACTTTGGGTCATTTTGTCGTACTTAAATCAACCAACAGCGAAAACTTTTGCCGTTAACTCACGCTTTTGTAGTCATAGCTTAAAGTGTTGGTAAAGGACTCAAGTTACAAACCTGATACGACGATTGGTAGGCTAGCTTGTAGAATACATGTTTACTCATTCAGATGATTCACAAACTACGCGATAGTTAGTGACAAAGCCTTACCATCCAGAACTTGGTCAGTCAGTCAGTCAGCTACAACGTAGGACCAGGCACATATGTGCATCGGTCTAGGTTGCCATACCGCATCAGCACAACAAGATGAACACCGGATTCATAGCAGTGGTTAGGTCAAAGGTGGTAATAAATAAGAGGAAGATTGCATATAGAGATATAGTACAAGAAGAAAGAATTGTTCGTAGAAAGAAAGATATGAAGTGATTTTAATCTCTTAGTTTAAGGGAAGACAGGGAGTGTATACACCGACGCCATTGTGACCGATTCTGAGCCATGTCACCAAGAGTCTCCAACCATTGGTTACGATCCAGAACTTGGTAGGTTGGATGAGTTTTAAAGTCACGGAAGGAGAACTACGCTTTGAAGATTGCTGAATAATAGCAACCAGGGTTTTTATGATAGCCTCAATATTGTTGCCTGTTATTTTTACGTTCAAAGAAGTCCAAGTACAGAAAGATAACCGAGAAACATGCTATGTTTTAGATATCAACACCCAAGTACCCGGAAAAGCCCTTATGCTTTGAAAAAGTTGTAACACTATAACCAAGATTCCAGAGTTAGGTAACTATACTGTCTACATGCATAATATCTTGATTCAAATTGAGGTTACCTTGCCATCGGTTAAAATAGCATACAATCTCCTACAAACATTGCTGTCTTCATTGGGAAAAGTCGTAAACCTGAACGCAGAACTTAGAACTTCAGGGAAATACAGTGTCACGGAAACTCTTCAGAATTTTGCAGCCAATCCTGTTTAATTGTTCTTGTCTTGGCTTAATTAATATTACTGGTATCTACTGAAGTGAATACAAGTTTGTGCTATTATGGTGTTCCATATGTAACACCCCGTAAAAATCACTTATAAGATAACAAATTTTGCATGAGTTTCCAAAAGCATAGTAAATTCACTGAGACAGCAAATGTCATTTGAATACAGAAAAGAATAAACAAGTTAAAACTTGAATATACCAGATATAAATGGCGTGTAATCACATCCTCACAAACCCCGGGCTGAAATGAGTCAAAACTTCAGTACCATCGAACTAATTAATTCTAATGAAGAGGAAATTTGGAATTATTTACGAAAAACATGTTTCATAATGTTAACCAAAATAGTCAAGTATGGAAAAAATCTACCATTAGGCCAGCAGACCGAAAAAGCGCCCAATAAGGTCAAATGTACAAAGTACAATCAGAAGCTATAATGTGTTCGTGGTCCTTTGAGAACTTCAGAAAAAATAAAAATCCTTGATCCTTCTAGATACCATGGCTTGAATTCCTTCATAGCTAGTGTTACTTTCTCAAACTCCATACGTATATGAAGCCAAATGAACAATAACGAAAGAAAGAAATAATTAAGAAAATAACATATTTCATCAGTAAGATATGACAAGCGCTTGTGCAGTAATATTTTGCAGTGATACCGTGAAAGTCTAAAGTGACTGCAAAGGATTATCAAATATCAATATGTATGAGCCATACATACGTAGTGAAAATTAAATGAATCTGGGAAGTTATTTTTTGTGTAAGTGTAACACAAGATATTATCTTAATGATAAACTTCAAACTTGTGAATTCCTTATCAGTGATTATGAACCATCTATCCTACGTCCTTATTAGCCACTGAAGGTGATTCTAATGAAATGTTTGATAACTTATTACATACGGAATTGAAGTGTAAATAAGTACATACGAATAAAAAGCTGTCTCACTCTCATGCGCAAGCAAGAAATTGCTGCTGTTGGTTTTCGGGTTTCAAAGGACAATATTCAAGAAATTCATTTATCAGAATGGCTGGGGCGTGACTTTTAAATAAAGCCTCTACAGCATTTTCCCTCGAGGCTAGTTGTCCAGAGACCCACCGTGGCCATAATCCTGTGATTTTAAGCCGTATACTTTTGGGCGTGTAGCGGTAAATAAATCCCCATAACAAATAGTTCCGTAAAACTTAGATATTGATCCTGACCCCATTAGTTTTACTGGACATACCCTAATTGCAGGACATCGGTCACCCAACTTCAAAAGATCACCATTATGTAAATTATGCTGTGCAATTCCTACATTGTTGTATTGCATCATATACTTTTCGACGCATCAACTATCTCCCAAATATTACTTCGAACTACTTTATCCCTGTGTTTCAATCTAGCGGCTCTTGGAATTCTGAACTACATAGTATTACGGAAAACTGTGATATCAGGTACTTAAGATCCGTGATATTTTTGCTTGATTCTGTATGAAATTCCGTTATGGATGTCAAATTTTTCGCTTAACGCTATGTCTTTCGGTTTCGGACACAATGTAAACACGTTATACCTGAAAGCATATGAATACATCGATGAATTTAGGCTGCCTAAAGGCGTGTCCACGTTGTGTCTTTGGGTATTCCGATTTCTAGGAAACGCACATCAAATGGAGTAAAATTTTGAGGAAAAAATGTTCCTAGAAAGAGATAGTGCATAAGGATGACTTAGTGGGATGCCTTACGGCTGTAGATACATCTTAAGGGGTTCTTGAATAAATGATACCTACTTGGCCACCTGCTAAATATGTGCACAATATTACACCATGATCAGAATACACCAGTGAGGGAATGATCTACAGGATGCTCTCATTCAGATATAGTCGAAAAGTTTCGCCAGAGACTATTACACTAAAGTGGACTGTCCGTTTTTGTTCCGGAGTAATGAAACTTTTATGAATCAAGTATTTTAAATGAAGGAAAACATGTCGGATATTTCAAGATATTTTTAGTTACTTATATGTCAGACAACAACTAAAAAGCCACTCAATTAAATATGAATTGAGTAACTGTAATTTGCCACATAAAAGTTAATACTGGAGATTATTTGTGAATTCAAGAAAGTAAGCAAAATAGATCGTTCGATCAAACTTTTGACCTTGCTAGCTACACAGACCACAGAGAGTGGTAGATTAGTTTCCTGAAAACTATCTACTCAATAACTTTATAGTATCCCAATTTTAACATATCAGATCGTGTAACACCAAACATCTGGGTACCTCGAACAGATAGAATGTCTGGTTGAAATACGACCAGTCCATGTCTGTATATTCAAAGAATTACGTAAAATTGGTCTCATATCTGTTGTTGAAAACTGCAGTCTATTAGTTATCGCCAGGCTTTTCGCCTACATAAGATCATATATTGGCTAAGTGAATTACAGATTTCAAATTAAGATTTGTGTAGTAAAGACAGAAGGCCTGTCTTATTCCTTTTCTAGTATGCTTCTATGGGTGTCTAGTCTTCTCTTGAATCAATTAGTTGAGAGCGCGGACACCATTCCTTCGAATAACAGGTTCCAAGTATTGATGACTCAGTGTAAAAATCTGTATGTCACGGGTATTTTTGTTCAACCTTGGCTTTTCTATGTACTCTGAGATGTTCCGATCTAGTGGGAAGAAAAAGATAGGATATATTAGGTCCAAAATCATTTCTTAGTATTCTGTACATCAAACTAAATAACCTCTTAGTCTGCGATAGGACACAGTAAGGAGGTCTAGATTTTCAAGCCGCTCTTTTTATGGTAAATCCCGGGGTTCTGGAATTGCACGTGTAGCTGCCCTCTGTAACTTTCCCAGGATATCCGAGTCACCTATTAAACAGGGGATTGCAGCCTGAACGCAGTTCTCAAGCTTAGTTCTCACTAAGGTTGTGTATATTGTAGTGAACACGGTAGTATTTAACCTGGGGAATATCCTTCTTAAAACCCATAAGGTTCTAAACCCATTAGCTGCGACCTCCTGGCACTGGGCCGTGGTCGTAAGATCATGACTCACTGTCACTCCACAATTCTTGTGAGACCGTACTACTAGTACTTGTTGGATTATGGTCTGCTATTATATTATTACTGTTCTAATAATCGATCGAATCCTAACATTGTAGGTTTGCATAATGTGATGCTGGCACTTCCCTCATGTTGTACTTGTTTACCTTTGTATCCCCAAGGTGCATTTAGACACTCTTCGCAACGCTGATAGGAATCAGCCACTCTTTAAAACAGTTAATCACATTATTTTAGTCTGCCTGAAGTGCGCATGCATCTGCGTCTCCGGTTATTACTCGCCAGATTTCTACGTCAGCCTATTACAACAGTGGGGACTCTACTATGCTTGAGAGGTCATTTGTAGTGGCACTAAACCGAATACGAGATTACTCGGAAAATAGATATTCAATATTTAACGCGGAGAAATACCTAACGATGGAGAAGGCGCGAACAAGGAATTGAATGAATGGGAGTTGATCGGATGGCGTGGCTCGGCCATGCATGCGTGGTCCCTCTGAATGTTACCTTATATCTTCTATTCATATTAAATATATTGTTCCTTCTCTAGTCTAACCTTGTTCTACATCATGCGTTGGTAATTGATACGATAAAGTGAGTTGGTGTAGTCGATGGTGTGACTTCCACGTAATATCTTGTATATTAGGCAGTTATATCATGACAAATCCACAAATTTAGGCTTAGGTCTATTATTAGAGCAGTACTAATATCATAGTAGACCATAGTTCTACACATTTATATACAGCATAAAAAGTGAGGGACCTAGGGCATAACTTCGCGGTATTCCATTATATGTATTTGTTTCCAAGTGAAGCGCTGGGGAATTACTCTTAATTTCTGTATACGAAGCACTAGGAAATCCTTAAGGCATTTTAGTAGAGGTACGCAATATCAAGGTTTTCTAGCTTCAATAGCAGTTTATTTGTTGGCACCTTGTCAAATGCTTTGCTGAAATCTGTGTAGATATCATCCACTCATTTTTTGTTGTCTGGAGCCAATGGAAGTTTTCTTATTCCTGTTTTATGTATGGTAGTGAGGATTGCATCCTCCCAGTTCATAAGTAACACACCTTAGTCAAGTGACATAATGAATATCGCAGTTAGTGTAGCGGCAATATATTACATTATTTGTCTCAGGATTTCAGGGTATAGTTAATCCGTTCCTGATAATATTCCGTGTCTAAGGTGCCAAAAGCCTTAAGTACATCGTCGTGACTACAGTCCGCAGTGAGCAAACTATTTGTTAACCTAGTGTTTGGGTGTAGTTCTTCGTCTAGAAGAGACTCCTGAGTGGAAAATGTCCCGAAATAGTTTTTCATAGCCTCTGCCTTTTGATGGTCACCCTCTATCATTTCGGATCCACTCCCTTCTTTAATTAGATTGTAAACCCAATGCCGCATTTTTGTCTTGTAGTTTATGAACGAGACTAGTCTCTTAGGCTGCTTGATTGCAGGTTGTGCCGACTGCATTTCATTTTTTCTCTGAGCTTCCCGGATTTTAATATCACACTTATATCTTACCGACCTATAGCGTTCCATATTGCTTGCTGTGCCATGGCTGATGGCAACTTTCCAACATTTCTTCTTTTGTTTAAGCAAACGTCGAATATCCCGGACTATCCAGGGATGGCTATACTTCTTTTTCGGGACTGTTCAGGGTATATATGATTGAGTCAGCCGGTTGTATAACTGTCTGAAATATGTCCATGCCTCTTCCACTGATGCCTCTGAGTCAACTTCCTAGTTTTCAGCAGATGCTGTAGAGTTTATCACCTTCATGTCTGCTTTTCATATGTTGGGACGGGACGGCGCAACTGTTTGACAGGCCATCTCAGCCATGAATTTGGATAAGATAACTGCATGATCTCATCTCTTTAGAAATGGTAGAAAAGTTATTTGGCCGACGCCATCACCGTGTATGAAGACTAAGTCCAAGAGAGGCGAGGAGCTTCGTGATTCTTATTTGGTGGGATCTCCAATGTACTGGTATAAAGTTAGTGTAATTGAGGTTTCTAACAGTTTGCAAACAAATGACGATGTCAATGACACTATTTCTAAGTTGACCCAGTTTACAACAACAAAAATAATATCATAAAGCTCGGCCATTCTTCAGAGACTTCCTAAATAGGGATTGCTGTTTACTTTAGTTAAGTGCATACTAAGGTAATGGCATAAGGCATTATTCCACAAACATTTCAATGACAGCTCTGATTGTTTTGCTTTTCGGTTTCATAGGTGGTACGGCTACAACCGTATCTTTCTACTACAACCAAAGCTCTCCCACAAGACAGACGCAAGTCAGCATAAATAATTCACTAAATCTGCAGGACAAAGTTTGAGGTTTGAAGTTATTTCGCGCCTAAGTTGACCATCTTCCCAACCGCGGTTATACAACTTTGGACATTGCCAGCAATGCTTGCTGTACATTCAGAACAAGGTGGTACAGTCGAACAAAAAGGTAGGAGTACTAATGGGAGCAAAATATACAAAAAGATCGAGCTCGGACAACTTACTCCCCATAATATCAAGCAATTCAGATTGATAAATCAAACTGTATTCCCAGTCACATACACAGAGAAATTTTATAGTGACGTTCTAAAGAATAGTAAGATGTGCAGACTTGCTTACTTTAATGATATCGTCGTCGGAGCTGTTAGTTATCGGGTAGAGAATGTTGTTGTGAAGAATGTCGATTTGGCTACGGATGATAATAACGGCCAAGCTAATCAAACTGTCAAGAAGTGTTATATTATGACTTTGGGATGTCTTGCACCATACAGAGGCTATGGTGTTGGTACGCTTATGTTAAAACATGTCATTAAGAGCTGTTTGAAGCACGGTGGTATTAAAAGTATTTATCTGCATGTTCATGTTGGTAATGAAGGCGCAGTAGCGTTCTACAAACGTTTCGGTTTTGAAATAACTGGAGAAGTTAGTGATTACTACCGCCGTATTCATCCTCAAACTGCCTACGTGCTCGAAAGGTCCTTGTCAGCTACAGAAGCCAGGGAATCCGACTCAGAATCCGATTAAACTCTCACTCCAATGTAAATACATCATTTATTTACACTGTTAATAAATACACCAACAGCATCTTGTCCACTCTCTTTTTTCTTCAACTCCATATACTGCCAAAGTGCAGGTTTCATAAAGGTAATCGCTTAGTTCGTATCTTTTGGGTTAGTAGAGTAGTTCATCCACCTCAGTCCACTTGTCATTGATATCACCTACTTCAAAACTTTTGTTACGTATAATCTAATGTTTATCGTAACTAGATACATGTTGGTAGTCCTCAACTAACGTGACAAACTTTATTATAGTATATTGGTTAATATTGTGGTGGTACGGTTTGGATAGCTGTATTATCATCCGAGAGAGGTCATTTTAGTGATCTGGTTATACTACCAGTTCCTCGTTTGTACTTATGAATAAGTCTTTTCAGTAAAACCAATATGTTTATGTGTAATGCTTATATTTATTCACTGTTTCCTGTTTTTATCTTTTCGGTCAGTTTTATCAAGTTATGTCTAAGGTCTCCTTATTTTATTTTTCAAACTCAAATTCGCTAAGTAAGTGCGTTCACATTGTGTAGATGATATTATAAAACGCCCCCCCCCCGATTATCACTACATATGCTTACTAATTCACACCAATGACAGGCATATGGTACCATTATTACTGCATCAAGCCAGGTTTTCACAGTTTGTGGAGTCCTATCAATATTTGAGTGTAATAAGATTGTCATGTTTAAGTAGCCTTATATATGACGGTGCAAATCAGTGACCAACCATATGTTCGTATGAGGAGCTTTAGACGAAGACAAGATAAACCTTAGGTGACTGAATATCGTGTGATAAGAACTATGGTTTGTTGTTTAGAATTCGATCATTCAGATTGGTAAGCCGTAAATTTGGGTTTATTACCATTAAGAGTTTTTAGTTTTGTTCTGAAGGATTGGGAGCATCAAAATTCACAGTTAATAAAGCTGACCAAACGTAACTTATGAAGCGTGCATTGCTGGTCAGTCTATGTTTTTATTCTAGTAATTATAAATTTTCAGCCTCACTTTTTCTCATAGATTGTCGTTTCGCTTTGTAATATATTTGATTGTCTCTTACGACTGTTTGTTTGGCGGACTTAATATTAGTAAAAACTTCTCATAATCCTACTTTGTGTTTGCGTTTCAACGTGGTCGAACCAATACATGTGTAGTGTTCATCTGACCTTAAAGAAAATTTTCGCTTAGATTACCATTGAAAAGAGTTGAGATAACTGAGCGGAAATTCACCAATAACTTATTGATTCCTTCAATCAGTTTGATACGCTTAAAGTATTGATGGCTACCAATGTGAATGGAAAATTCATATAACGATAACAAGATCAATCTAAGTTATCATACATCACACAAACACAATTGAAGGAAATCAAAATAAGAGGCATCAAATTAGTAATAGTGTTAATAGCGGGAAACTGGGTGAAACAAGTGAAAACCTAATAGGAAGTATGAATAATCCGATAATAAGTACTTACTTGAAGTTAGAGAATGAACTGGACATCATTTATGTTTTACATATAAAAGACAAATGCAGTCTTATCGCCCCGACAATTTTCTAGTCATGTGAAGCTTTCAACTATAAATAATTGCTCTCGTACTAAACACATGGCATATATAAGTGGTTCCTTAAATGGGTAATGTCTCGTGGTTTGAGCAAATTTGGCGTTGATAAACTTACTATGCTACCCATCGCTATTCTCTAAAGTTACAACCTTATCAGATGATTTTCCAATTTTACAGAGCACTCTATTTACGAAATAACCCTATTAACCTGGCTATCATTATTAAAAGCGTCTAGTGATTCGAAAGCACATGATCGAATACACTACTTATCTCCTTTCAGTGACCATATCCCATAACTTTAGTGCATCTTGAAAACAACTAATACCCAGTATACAAATACAGGTGGTGTAAGTTGGTAACAACTAAACATGACATTTTAGGTCGTGCAGCTCGCTTGTAATATAGCCATTAGCATTTGTGATTTAAGAATTCTAAGGTTCAAAACCATAAGCAATTAATCATTGAATTACTGTATGTAGCTGACTGGTAATTAGCTTTTAACTAAGAAAATATTTCTCTAATGACTCGTCTCAGAACACTTCCTATATTGGCACAAAAACTAATTTGTGTGAAATATAAAATAAATGAATGGTTACGAAATTTAGATGTGTTTTATATCCGTTAAATTGTAAACTAGAAATTAAGCATGCGAGTCTATAACATTATATTATTATAAACTTAGAAATTTATGAGCCAAAGTGCTGCTCATTCGTGTTTAAGAGATCTTATCTGTAAATTTATGAGAGTTCTAAATTGCACCACAATTTCAGATATTACTCAGTTTTTATCGAAAATGTTTGACTAAATCATTACTATATATATTGATGTTGTGGCTTAACAGTCCAACGCCTAGCGTTCGACTGTTGTGTTGCAATTCTATATTCTTGTTTGCTTTGGTAGTCGTCCGCACACACAATAGCTGTAAACATACTATATGAATTGTTTACGAAGTTTCATTCACACATATTTCTAGGCCAAGTATTTACGCATAAGAAGTGTCAATAACTTCCTTTACAATTGTAGTCTCTAATGACCTCACCGCTTTAAATTAGGTACCCTGACCAGAATTCTGATTCCACATTTGAAGAGCGACAGACAAAATTACGATCTTTTTTACACTGTAAACTTCCGAAGCCAGGCTTCGTTGAGCCACTCATCAGCCATTTGAGATAAGGTAAATTCATTGAAGTTGCTGTAAAAATGAGCCAGATGATCTGTTCCTTCAGTAGCTCCACGCAGAATCTTTAGGAACTGATTTTTTGGGCCATTATCTTACTGATAACAGGCTTTTGGCCACTGGTGTCTCAAATGTTCTGGAACTCCCAGCTATTACCAAATTTATCTGTGCCGGTAACTGGTTATGGATACCATATTTTCAGGTTCTTGCGTATACATAAATTTAAAAACATTTTTTACACTAAATCTTTCACAATAGACTACTAAATGTAAAAAATTTGTTAGGAAATCATTGAAACCCAACATTGCTTTTTAAGTTGTGAACGAGACTTTCGCAAGTGTCAGCATATTTTGCAGTTTATCAGAAACAGCATAATTAATTTTAGGTTGGTTACTTTCTGAAATAAAGTCCATGATCTTTTAGTGTTAGTAAAGCATAAGGATTTCAAGTCATTTCCATCTGAATTAGCAAGTCGGATTCAGGCTTTTCATGTCCACGATGAACTAGGCTCTGGAAAATTGAAATATATTTTATGAAGCACCCCTATGTATCCCAAGCAAGCTGGCACTTATCAGAGCTGTCTGACCAGACTAACAATAATTCAACTCAACACTACATCTTTCATATCCATTAGTGTAGATAAATGATTTGACAATGAGAACCTCTGTTTTACGTATCTTACTGATGGAATATAAGATACGTGTACTAATAGCAAAAATTCACGATGATTAATGTTTCCAGTTAGCCGTACAGCACCTCTCGTACCTGAAGGTCTCAGCAGAAATTACGATAACACAAAACAGTCGATTTAGGCAAATAATGATAACGATGTTCTGGATTCGAGGATCCCGAGTTAAATACTATTCAATGTTATACTTGTGAGACGTCGTTAATTAGTACTGCAAAATTCCCTTAATATCTCTGATATCAATGCAGATATTTGGAAACATCTATACGGGAAACTCCTTAGCTCGTGATAAAGGATAGTATGTCAAAAGCCCACTAACTCGATAGCTTAAGTGTAAAGTAACTTACAGAATTTTGTAATCTATCAGGAACAGGGAAATGCTTTGTACATCCAGGTCGATGGTGTTTTTAACGTTCTTTTTTCCTAACGAAATATAAAGTTTAGTGCAAACCCTTTCTAGCTATTAAAAAGAACTTGTATTTTATAATTGAAACTTTCAGTTTTTTATGGCTTAGTTGGAACTATGATGTGATGATTAACTGGAGATTTCTCTAAGAGAAACAAAATGAGTGATCGTTAGTCTGAGTCGTGTTGGGGATGCATTTTTCATTGTTCTAATCCATTCCTTTTGTATTATATACATTTTCCTACTGTTAATTATACCATTATTACATCTTCATTTTATTCACTTACGCTTCCCGTGTTAATGCAACAAATAATTGTGGTAGGTTAAGATTTGTTTGTCTGAGTTGTTAATAAGCAGTTTCATAACAGACTGTCCACTAAACTAACCCAATTTAGTATCAAGATGAAATAACAATTATATAGTAGCTTACTACCTATTACCAACATAATCCATCTAATATGTGTACCAAATAACTTAGAAATTTGGTCTTTGTAATTACACTTAAGGAAAATGGTAGTTGAGAATGTCAACGATTTTCGATAATATCCTATTCCGTAGTGTTACTTCTTATGTAATCCACAAACACCATACAACAATAACCATACCGGACAGTCAAGATACCAACGATTAAGTATATAAGAACCTACGTTTGAAGGATTTATGGTATTCGAAAAGACTCAATCAATACCAAAGTCAAATCCTCAATACGAACGTCAAGACAGTTCTACTATACCGAGCTGAAACTTCGAGAACTATCACAAACACCATCAAAAAGTACATGTATTTATAACAATTTTCTACTCAAGATACTCAATGTCCGTTGGTCGGATACCATCAGCAACAGCCTACTGTGGGAGAGGAAAACCAGTTCCCAGTTAAAGCGTAAACTAGGAAATGACGCTGGAGGTGGGTGGAACATACATTTAGGAAATAATGAAACTGCATCACGAGGTAAGCGCTAACTCGGAATCTTGAACAGAAACGGAAAAAAGAAAGACCAAAGAACACACTGTGTTACGGATTGAAGCAGACATAAAAAGAACGTATAGCAACTGGAAACAACTGCCAAGGACAGAGTATGCTGGTAGGCGGCCTATGCCCCTCCCTAAGGGGTAACATGTATAAGTAATACAGTACATAATGAAGTGTACTCAAGAAATTTAAACAACTAAAAGTCTTGATTCCACTGTTTATCTGATTAACTAATCATAATTAATGAATTAATTGAACATAATTATGCTTTTTCGTCTAATCGAAACCAGAGTTAAATTGTACGATTCAAAGTATACAGTGAATATATACAAATATAAGTTTACAGATTCAAATCTTTGTTAACTAACAATTTTGAAAATAAAAGTAAACATGCAAAAATACTTGATTAGTCATAAGTTATTATAATTATGTCATAGATCTACAAAATTGTTCAAGTCATGCATCTTTATCATTCAGGACATAAAATATTAGTAGCAAACAAGAAATACATGTATATATATAATCATTGGGTTTGGAAGATAAAAAAAGCAGGACAACAGGAAAAGTGGTTAATTAGAGTAGAGAAAAGACTGAAGCAATAAAAAAACTATCCGGTTAAAATTCAAGCAGTCGGGTTCCTTTGAATCCTGATTCTGTATGAATTGATTCTGAAATGAAAATGATGTTTGTTAAGTAGTATATATATATAAAGAATTCCAATTAGATAATTTCCACTGACATTTATGCATGACGTTAAGACTTGCATTTAATGTGCCCATTAATTAACGATATATTTTTATTTATTGTCTTTTTATAATTATTTAAAATATCTTATATCCTTTTCTGTTTATGATTACATCTTAAGCATACAACCAATAATAATCATTTTAACTATCATGTTAAATATGTTATTTCCGCTTGTTTTGAACTAAACTTCATTGATTTGGGTATGTATTAATAAAAAGTTTGGCGAGACGAACCAATCACGTATAAGATAACAGGTTTCGATTTTGGCGCGAGATTCACTCATCCATTTGGATAAAATAGAGTTTTGTGATTATAACTGATGTCAGTTCGTGATGAAAACCCTAAATATAATTTCTAACCTTAACCAACAACTGTAAATCATAGTTATGATTCCTCACACAGGTTTATAATCCTCATTTCGTCTTCGTTATTAGGTGGACACTCTCAAGGTCAGTCTAGCGTCACTCAAAGGTCGTCCATAAATCATAGTCTCGCCAAAAGTTTTTTTCTTACAATAATATTACCATTTCACTAGTTGAGATCATGAGTGAATTGAAGCCAGGCCACCATGGAAACCTGGCAGTACTGGACGGCCATTTCGTCCCATTATGTGACTCCTCAGTAGTGTGCATCCACGATACCGCTCGCGGGATTCGAACCCAGGCCCTATCGGTCTCGTGTGCGAGCGCTTGACCACTAGACCACCGAGCTGGCACTCAACGTTGTTAATTTCCAACTTCGACTAATCCACGAAATCGAGCGACACATCCACCTTTGTCATCAGTGAGTTCCTATCTCACAACTGACTCGGTTGAACTCCACTGGTCACTGCTTCTCACTAGAACTCTAGGATATACATCCTCAAGCCAGTCACTACTGAGCATATGTTGATTAGTATCAGAATGGGTTTTGTGGAGATTGAAGTAACTTCAATAGTTGAGATCATGAATCTATTTTCAACTGACTCATGATCTCAACTATTGAAATTACTACAATCTCCACAAGACTCCTTCTAATATTACTATTGTCATCTTAGGTTGTTTGCAACTGGCGAGATGCTATAAAATACAATGAATTCATGTTATTTTGCAAATCTTGTTCTTTTTGCTTTATTTCAATTAAAAATTATTGTTGATAATAAAAAAACTAGTGGTTAATTTTATGAACGTGATTGATATGGTGACGGTCAACCCTATAAATTTGAAAGTTGTTGAAAAATAGAGAGTGAATAGAAAACACATGGAGAATAAATGATTAGATCTATTCTCAAGTTACCCAGTAGCATATAGATTTTATCTGTTAAACCAAAAATCAGATTAACAAATTAATAGTTGGGAAAAATTCAAAACGTAAGTCAGTTCATCATTGTTATATTTTACAAATGCACGTGACTGCAGAACAGCTATCAATATTTACTTAATTAAATAATCTGAAATGATGAGATTATGAAAATTATTCTTACATAACATAATGATTTCATGAAGATAAATTGACTAATGCCAAAATGCTAAGACGGAAATTATTGAATATTAAAGTTTTCTTGAAAATTGGTTTCTGTTAATTTCGTGGATTGGTTGAACTTAGACATTAACACCATTGGGTGCCGTCCTAGTGGTCTAAATGTTAAGCGTTCGCGCATGAGAGTGATAGGTCCTGGGTTCGAATCCCGCGGGCGATATTGTGGATGCGCACTGCTGAGGAGTCTCACAATAAAACGAGACGGTTGTCCAGTGCTTCCAGGTTTCCATGGTGGCCTGGCTTCAATTTACTCATGATCTCAACTATTGAAATTCCTATAATATCCACAAAAAGCCCTTCTGATATTAATTTATAGTGCCATGTCCATTAAACAATGAATCCATATTAAATGACTATTATTTATATAAAACTGAAATTTCAGAACTTTAAACTGGTCAATAAACTAGTAGATATTTTAATGTTAAATTCTAAGCAGGATACTTTGTATAAGATTTTAGTGAAAGTTAAGATTGAGAATTCGGTAACATAAAGACTGATCATATGAATGTAGAGAAAAAAAAATTAAAATAATAGGATGACATGAATAGTAGAAGCATTTTTGAGAAAAAAACTTACCAGGGTTTGATTTACATGGACTATTTGATTTCAACTTTTGTGTCGTTAACTTGAATGTACCATTATCAAAACTTGTTCGATTAGGATTCCATGTTGGATCATCTGACCATAAGTAAAGAATAGTCTTGGAACAAATACTTAACTCTTGTAATGTTTTCGTATGGTCAGTAAGTTCTAGACCCTGAAAAAAAAGTTAGCGATATTCATAAAACACAGGACCTTAACAGCTTTACATAATTTGTTGCATAAATAGGCCTAGATGTATTTACAATAAGTCATCTGTTAAGATCTCACAAATTCACTGAGATTTAAATAAGGCAATTATTAGACACGAAAAAGAAGAACCTGGAAAAACTCAGAGAATAAAACCGAAAAATGTGGAATCTACACAGAGATAGGGAAAAGAGATTCATTTAATAAATAAATATTGTATAGAACACTAAGATATGATAAAACATATTGCATCCTCTATTATGACCACATGATATTCTGCCAAGGAGCTAAGATTATTTAAATATCATTATTTAGTAGCGAAGCCGCAAGCGGCTTTACTCGCCATTTTGTTGGCGTCATGAAGTTGTAAACAATTCTCATCTATGATTTTCGGTGGAATGGGAGCTAGCTTAGAAGCTAGCTCAGTTCGATACTTAGTTGCAACAGAAGTTGAAACCAACTTGCTGACATCAATCCTTTGGTGGCAGTCACTTCGTTGGCCACTGAAAAATAAGGTAAGATTGGCGCAGACCAGGGCATGATCAGAGTCCAGATAGGTACTCCAAAAGGAGCGACAGTTTTTTACACAACCACGCCAGCAGTAGCTCATCTCGATGTGATCAATCTGAGTCCAGGCTTGAGATGCAGAGTGAGGACGCCAGGTGGCACATTGGCGATGACTGTGCCGGAGGTTAGTGCTAGCCAGAAACAGGTTGCAGTAGACGGTCTCCATTGTCTGTCCTGCGACCAACAAGTCCCCTTCGGCCACCTAAACGATTCTCTTCTGTGCCTAGACGCCTGACCTGAGCATGCTAGTACTACAATATCTATCGAACGCACTTTCTGTAGAAAAACAGATAACTGGTGGTAGAATTCATCCTTGATTGCATCCGGGCTGCAATCTGTCGGCGCATAGGCGGAGATGACGAAAAGACATCGTTTCTCACGCCGATTTCTTCTCACTTTGATGGAACTTTCTAATCTAACAGCACATAACCGACTAGTAATGGGGATCCAATAGATTAGTGCTGCCTCAGCTCTAGCGTTTAGTGTGACACCAACGCTAGCAAGACCAAACGAAGATGCCTCAGGGTCCACGGATAAACGCACATAAAACAAGCTTTTTGAAGCGACAGATGGAGAGCGAATTTGTAGTACTTCATCAGGGTCTTGAATACGGGTCTCGGATAGACAACAGACGTCGATATTAAGACTTTCCGAAGACATAGCCAGCCCTATCTGTTGTCCGACCTGCATAGGTGTGCGAACGTTGAATGTAGCCAGTTTGAGTGGTGCACGTGGTTTCAGAAAAACTGCTTCAGTATTCGTATTTGGTGGTAGCATTCAATTTTCAACCAGTCAGTGACTCGTGAACGTCTAGATAGAACCGAGTTTCCATCATAAGCGAGCTGCTATATAAGTCGAAAAATAAGGATACACAATGTGGGAATAAAAGAGAGTGGATAAGTGACGTGGTAAATAATAGTAATGTGAACTGTTTGACTGTTAATCGAAGCGTGAACAGGATTTCAGTAAATCTCGTCACTTTCATTTTATTTGTGTGTGGGCTGTGATACTGCCCGGGTGCCCAGACCGAAGCAGGGGCTTTTCTTAGGAGGCCACACCTCGAGCATTTGACCTAGAGGTCTGACCCACAAAGCAGTGGAGCATCGTAAATGAATAAGAATTATAAATGAACAAGAATAAATCATATTATGGCATTTTCCCCTCTACAAAAAAAAACACTTTGGACACATGATTTCAATTGTGATAAAGTAATTTACAAAATAATAATTATAACCTTACATTTAACATAATATGTTGATCGGAAGGGATAACACCTAAATTTTGCATAATTTGTACTTTCACATTAAGAAGAGTATCACTACTATTCACTTTGATCAATAAATCTTTAGGATTAAAACGTTGACGAGAAGAACGTCTAATATAATTTGTAGATGAAGACTCTAAATGTTGATTAGATAATTGACTATTTGTATTATCATAGAGCACATGTTGATGCTGATGATGATTAGATGATGGATGTAATTGGTCTATTAGACTAGTTTCATTATCTGATGAAAGACGTGGAGTGATATCTTTGTTAACAGAATTGGATAATTCTAAATTATTACATTGTTTATTGAAATAATCTTTTATTTCTCTCAACTTATCCATTTCCTAAATAAGGAAAAAGAATTTTTCAAAAAAAAGACACGATAAGAAGTACAAGAGAAACTCATAATGTTACGTGAATTTGAAAGGCTTTGTTTCTTTGATAAATTTAGATAATAACCGATGAAGAGACGAAGTTTACCAGAACAATTTAGTGTATTAAAGTAATGCATTTCAAACAATTCGATCACATTGACTTGTAAAGGACATATAAAAATTCCCAAATCCCCTCAATGTTCAAAGGCAAATATAATCAGGCCAACCTATCCTTGTAGTATTGTTTTGTTATTCAAAATGGCGTGGAGCGATGGGCTGGTAATTATAGCGTATGATTTTCAAACCTTAAGTACCAATTCCGAATCCCGCACTTCCTACTTCGGTTAGGGCAACCAAGTAGTATTATTGGTCCCAACACTTACAGTATGGCTTATACTCAGTTATCTGGTAAATCAGTCAATTAATTGATTTTTCTAGAGTGCTGTGGTTCATATTGTTTTGCGCCCTATTTTCTTTTATCTCACTGTTTGTCTGGTTTGAACTTTTATTTCCCATAGATAAATATCTTAACAAGTTAATGTTCGGTTCGACTGTTTGAAACAAACTGTGGTGATATATCATAAATAAGATTCATCTCATTGCGTTAAAACAATTGAAAAGTAAAAAAAGATGGAAGTTGTTAAATTTATTGTTAATGTATATTTCGATTTTCCTTTTCAAGAATTAGAATATATAGGGTATTTTAAGAAAGTTTCACTTATAACCAGAATAGTATTATAAACATTAAAGAAAACAGATGTTATCAAACAAGGTATCATTTATAGTGGATGACTTTAGTCGAAAAAAAATCATAATTGGGCACTGAATTACATGTGACACAAAATATTCACAAGTTTATTTAGGAAAACCCTAAAATTACTAAATAATAAGTTATAAAGCAACACGACTATTGCTAAAGCAACGCAGTTTGCTCGTAATAGCACATACGGAGACTTATTAAACACGATATTAATGGTTAGTTGGCGTGGAGAGCACGTAAACTAACCACGTTGAAGTTTGCTTCCTTAGGATTTACGACACTAATGTTGACAAAACATGGGGTTCCTTTTCGTAAAGTAAAATTTTACAGCCCCTTATCCCCATGCCGCATACCTACCATAAAGCATTCGAGTATTGTGCTTGAAAGTCTGACATACGGTGCAAATACTAATTTCGGATCGACTGTCAAAACCCGTGTCTGTGTTGCACCAACCTGATCAGAATTGTTCGGAATTATGATGTCAGTTGTTGGTTGAGCACAAATTTCTGTGTCAGTTTGAAAATCCTGTGGCACACAATTCAAGGATTCCTGAACAGAGGTGAGTTTTGACTGGACGCAACTACTCAATGCTTCATCGAATCCAGATACCAGACGTATACGGATTCTAGCATTATTAAAAATCTGATCACTGATTATCTCAGGTTGACAATTTGGGCATAAACTGCCATAAGATGATGGTTCCAATCTCCACTTCAGTTCAGAATCATTCTGTGGAAGTAAATACATCGGTGGATAGGAAGTTATTTTTGTCTCTGGTCCATCATGATCCAAAGGTATTTCGTTTTCCTTAAAACGATGGGGATATGCGTGAGACAAGACATCCCATTCATAAAAAGTTAAGGACACAATATTGACTCATTTATAAGAGCATGCCATGTTTTGAGCATCTGAAATTAATTATTAAAAACAAGAAAACAAATGTTAGAAATGAATTGCCGAAAAAATGCAGTAGTATATATATATATATATATATATATATATATATATATATATATATATATATATATATATATAAACAACTAAAAGTTCGCTTCAATTAATGAAGATTAAATTAAACTATGAAGCGGAGCAAAAAACGATATATATATTTAAATAGAAATGGGTATAATTGTATATGAGGATTTTATATTGATCTTATTTCTGTAGGATGGTGAATTTAACTGATTACAGAAAAGAGGTAACTGGAGGACTAAAGGAATTTGTACCCTTTTGGTTAAAACACCTATTAGTGATACTGTTATATCCGAACAAGGAATAAGTGAAAGGTAACGGCTAGGATCTATTTATGAATTATTGTTATGTATATTCTTTTGTATAACTATGAAGTAACCATATCATATGTATATTCCTATTCCTTTTATTACGGATTTTATTTGAACTATTGACTATTATTATACGATTTACTATTCTTTCATTTATTAGTAACAGTCTGTCAAATTCACTTTTTGGCTTGATCTTTTATGATTGTTATTTTCTGTTCTGTGGTATGACGCGGTTTGGTTTGTTTCTATATAAACCCGGTATGTTTGAAATACGATTCGTATAGCGGAGGCTGATATCGGCGTCCTGGTTTGAACCGGCTGGGTTGGGAGAGAAGCTACTATCTCAGAGGACCAATAGGAAATTCAGGCTGCTCGTACTGGTTTGTGCATCATTGGTGTGGTCGTATAAGTCGGTGTCTAATTGGCGACCTCATCACGTGTTATATTCGCAGGATATAACAGATGCGATTAGTGATGTTATTCTTTAGCTTTTGATTAAATGTGTGCTAGTGAAGTCGGTACTCGATGCGTAACCAGTGTAATTCTTCACACATGGGTAGTGATAAAAGTCTCTGTATCGTTAGTCATAAACAACGTAGTACCCAGTGTAAGAACATATAAACCCATATTGCTCCACTAAATTTGAACACATGAATATTGGTACAAGAGAGCGCCAATATATATGCGCTCCACTAAATCACCACAAAACGATAAATAAATGAGTGGATAGTAGTGAGAAACAGTAAACATTGAGAATATGGTTAGATAAGGGACGAAATAAAAATATATAATAATACTTAATCATAAGTTCTAGAGAAAGATAAAGAATGAATCTATCCGCGCTATTGTGACTGGCTTAGAACGATGTCATCCGAGTTCTCCAACAACTGATCACCAAGCAGGTAATTTACATCTACCCACATGGTTTAGATAGACAGGTAGTAATTAAATGGACTAGTGTTACATCTCGGTTTGGGTTCTGTTAGCCTTTTTCAAAACGAATCCTACACTAGTTTCTAGGTAGACGGCGGCAAGTGAACTTGTAGAAGAGTAACGGGGAAGCTTAAATGTGCAGTTAATCAATAATTTATTCGATTAATTAAAAGACCGATAAGAAGAGAAACGGTAGCAGTAAAACAAGGATGGAAGACTTTCCAAGCTGATATTGCAACGACCTTCCCAAACCTTTTGGTAACGAAATAAATACACCATCCTTTCCCATGAACAAAGAAAGATTTAGATGCTCGTGGCACTTTTACCTTAAATACTTCATTTTAAAAACTTTATGTGTTGCCATGTACCGATCATTTTAATTGGAAATTTCTGTTTCATGAACCACTGGACAAGCTAACAACATTATTAAAATAGCTTATTTAAGAGCTCATCACTACTGAAAATTTTAGTTCGAATTGAAACATTTGAACTGACTAAATGACTGCTTTCTTCTTCCCTACAACTGTGTCTGCGTGTAGCCATTCTTGAAATATATGCAACAATTAATCATGTCATTTTCTAATATTTGACTCTTTATGCAAATATCGAATAACAAGCAGATTTAGTTGGGATTCTAGAAATCAATACTACTAACGCATATTATGCATGTGAGCTTTACTTGTGAAGGATAAATGTACCAACAAATTGCTTAAAATCGAATTACGTGAATATTGTTTTGACCTAGGATTCAACAATTCAGAATGTTTTAACCATTCATTCGTCGATTTTCAGTAGACTATATACAAAATATATTACTTATCCAAGATGATCCCATTTCATGTCGATCTGTTTGCTTGATAATAATAATAATAATTAACAATAGCATGTGAAAATGTGTACATGGGTATGCTTATTATGATCATTTAAATAGTTTTCATTTCATTGAAACAAAATCAAATAATAGAGAGTTGTGAAAATTAATTCATTACTTGGCCATGTTCACAAAGCACGCCATCTGAGCTAAAGCCAGATAATAGCGAACTAGGTAAATTATCTGCTGTTGGATTTCGAATAAATTTTCTCCATTGTATAATAAAACCCATTGGAATCAAGTAAAGAACATTGGTATTTAAATCACTTAATTTCTTATCGGCATCTGTAGAATGACCGTTTAAATTTTCTGACTTGGAATTATTGACCCTATAAATAAATAAGTGACATTAGTAACTAAAAATGTATTAGAAAAGGTTATATAAATGACAAACGTTAAGGTTAATAGTTAGTTCCTGCTTCGGTTTGGGCACCCAGGCAGTATCACAGCCCTCACACGAATCAAATGAGATTTGTGTGGCGCATATGTATTTGGTACCTCCTTGTACCAATATCTATGTGTTAAAATAAATACTAGTTAGTTAGAGGTAGTCGCTATTTTTGGTTGGTTAAATCTGAACTTAAAATTGAGACGATTTACCTGGAAGAAGAATGTACTTCATTCACAAAATTTTTAAAAAAAATCCACTGATACTTACGCACATCAAAGAACTAAACTAAATTTATAGGTAAGTGAAGTAAAATCATCATCATCATGGGAAATAGTAATTTATTTTATCAATTTAAAAAAGTGCAAATTACCCTTCAAAGTTAAGTTTGCATTCGCTTAAAGTGTCTTCTTTTATATCTACAGCTGTTTTTACTGTTTGACTGGTAGAGTGTAAAAGTCGCATACGTTGAACATTTGACAAGAATAAGCCAGGAAGCATTTGACGTTCACATAATGCTCGTTTTGTCAAGTCATTTTGTACTGCGTTACATTCAGAACAAGATGACTCTGATTTATTGAATATACTAATGGAATTGATGGATGTATTATTGTTATTGTCATAAGGAATATAAATAGGAAATGTAGGAATCTTTACACCAGGAAATAAATCGACTAATTTATGCCAAAGTACGGCTGGTAAATAACGTGTATTTTCTGTACAAATTTGACCGTGGGGACAAAGAATATCATGATTAAATGTTGTTTGTGTATGATGGCCAGTTGTTGGTGACTTAGAATCATCATCATAATCAGAGTAAAAAGCTCGTGTGAAATGACGTGCAAGAGTTTTCCATTGACGAAGAGATCTCTTACCAATTAAATAATATCCAGGTTCAGGATTCAAAGGAATTGAGTCTGTCTTTAAAAATTTAAAAGAATATATTAGCATAAACTTAAAAACCAGAGATGATAGGAATAAACTATTTTAACAATGTATTTTTGGAAATCCGAAGCATTTAAATGAAGTACAGGCTCAAGTCCCACAGATAGCCAGTGATACCATCTGATTGCTTAAACCAAAAGTAGATGAGACAAGAGGTTGAAACTTGCAATCATATTTATTTATTTGAACACAGATACTGAGACAAAGGGGCGCCGAATGCATATGTACCACGCAAGTCACTTGAATTGTATGTGTGCTGTGATACTGCCCCGGTGCCCAGACCGAAGCAGGTGGTTTCCTTAGGGGGCCATATACGGAGCATTCGACCTGAAGGTCTGATCTACAAGGCAGTGGAGCAACGTCAGGAGATGCAGTCCCATGGCATCCAGTGACCAATAATTGGTTCATATACCATTTGTCCCTCAGGATCCTGGAGCCTATGTGCCTCATTGACTTAAAATCAGGGTTTGCCAACTCCCCTAGGTGGAACAATATAAATCGAAGTTCATACACTTTGAATGAACACAGAAAATAGTAGTAATCTGTTTGGATGTGTCGCCAAGATCACTACTAATTCACTTTCCTTTCAAGGTACCCCGAAAAGTATCCTTCCACAGTGTGAGCAGCTATGAAGTGACAACTTCCCATACACGTCTAATAGTACAAGAGATCTAAAGCATAGTCAAAAAAAGAGTGTAGTTGTATCGCGGTTCTAATCTGTTACTATTAAAATGAATTAAATCCCAAGGAATATGATAAGCTTGAAATACCGGTGATTAAATATGCTAAACTATGACTTAATACTATACTTAATGTTCGGCGATCAAGCCTAATTTATCATATTCAAAAGAATGCAAAAAAGGCGAAACATGCAATTACAACTTTAAACTGAGTCTCATAAACAACAAGAAAGACAAATCATTGTACCTGAACGTCCCATGTAAAGTAATTATTGATAAATAAAGTGAAAATTATACTAATTACCTTAGAGTTATTGAACTAAGATTTGACTAGGTAACTAGCTAAATGAATATGCCAATAAGAAGTTTACTAAAATATACTAGCGAAACGTTCATCAACTAATCAGTAGATAGAAAATCATTAAAGAATGCATGGAAAGAATCATATATTTCAGTAATTTAAAAAAATATAGATATTTACCTTTTCACTTTGAAGACGTTTATAATATGAAGAAGACAAATGATTAGTTTTTATAAAATAGTCCAATTCTTTAGATAATTCTTTAATTGCATTTTCAACTTTTAATAATGCGATATTTAGTGTAATACACTTTCGACACGGTTGAAATCGACTAAACCTTGAAAACAATTATTAGATGATAATAGACTTATATAAAGAAAATAGATTTTCATAAAAAAAAGAAGTATTCTAGAAAAGATATTTGCAGTTGTATCATGTTATAAGGATGCCTTTCTATTCTTAACCTGTCAATTAAAATGAACGAATACTTTAAGATTTTAGTAGGCTACAAAATAATAATCACTGTAGTCTGAAAGCATGACACAACCTAGAGCTTGAGCGTCCACACGCGAAACCACAAGTCCAGGGTTTGAGTCCCGTGCGCATGATCGTCCCATACTAGGACGAAACGGCCGTCCAGTTCTTCCAGTTTTCCAATGGTAGTCTAGCTTGGATCGACTCGTGAATCCAACTGTTAAAATACTACAATCCCCACAATTCCCCTTACTGAAAATAATGAGTGTTTAACAAAAGATTACTTGTACACTATGAATAAAAATAATAATAAAGATGATATCGTTATAAGACAAAACTGTGTACCTATCATCTTCATATTGAATGGCATCAAATGATTTCGGGAAGAGAATCTCAATAAGCTTTTTAAGACCTTCGCTAGAAACAGCTCTATATGAACCTGCAACAAGATCTGTAGGAGCATGGCCATGTGAACAGGTGCGTAAGGCATAAGATGATTGATTTGATAAAGAAGAGGGAAATATGTATTCTCTGAGTTTTGAAAGCGATTTTATCTGAGGATCAGTTAAACAGGCATCTCCCAATAACAACGGATTATTAAGGCAATCACATAACCACGATGTTGATACCAAAGATACATTATCGAGAGGATTTATTGATATCGAAGTACTATTATTCGGTGATGAATTGATAGGATCAGGTAATTTCAGGTTGGATAGTATTTCAAGTAATTGATTTTTACGATTTACCTGTCAGAAGAAAAAAATTGTCGTTATGTCGATAATTGAGGAATACTGAACATAATCTTTGTAAAATGGCAATCGTTACAAATAATCCTAGTGGTTTATACATTTCTCTGGAAAGACAAATAAACACCAACCTGTTATTAATTTAACACATATCCTAAGAATATTGCTTTTCAAAGTAGGAAAGCTTATCACAACTGTTAAAAATAACTCGCAAAACCACATCTTTACTTCAATATGTGAAGCATGAAATTACAAATGTGCTCAATGAATCGAAGTTGATATCGATAATTAAGCAGTTAATGAAATGACAGTGTTACTTACTAAGTCCATCGATGCTGAAATCTTCAAAAGTAACACACAATTAATGATAGTCACTATTTTCTTGTAAAATACATATACTAGGTTCTTACTTTCTACTATTTATATGAGCACAGAAGCATATTTATGTAAAGTTTCAAAATAGCACGGAATAGCTATACATTCCAAGGCAAATAAAGACAGATAAGAAAACTAGACTGAAGTTTAAATGATAATTAAACTAATATTTATTTGAAATGTTTGGTACTTTAAACAATAATCTTTACTTATTCAAATTGATCAATTCATTAGGTATAAAGAAATAAAGATTAAGATTAATACATTACATTCTATTTAGTCATGATTTATATTTCTTTAGACACCTAATTTCTCATAATACATTCGTTGGCGAAAAAAATCCGTTCGCTGAATTTCGGGTTTTGAATTTTCTAATAAGAAATATAAATTTATCAACTAACATGTATAGCCAGGAGAAAATTTTGCAATAACATACTTTATTTTGTTGTTCAGATAGAAGCTTTTGTTGTTCAGTTAAATTTACTTCTTCAATTGTTTTGCGTAAGTCACTAGGAACTGTAATATCTATAAGGAAAGAAAAATGGAAATATACAAATAATTATGAAATTAGTCAAATATAAACTAATTTTAATTTATACATTAATAGAAAATTCAAAATAACTTGTAAAATATTTTAATAGTAAATTGTTATTATGTCATTTAGGTAAAATTATCTTTTAAGTGTAATACGGACACTTTTGTAAAACATACTTTCTTAGTACACACCAAGTAGTCTGATGGTTACATTTTTTCAGTTCTTGAAAGATATTTCTTTTAAAAAAATATTCATTTGCCAGGCACAGATTACTGTACTCGGCTTTGAGTTACATTCTAAATGTGAGGGCTAGAGTGAAACTAATCAGTTGCTGAAACCGGAGCAGGTGGAGCGCGGTTCAAACCCACTTCATAGTGACTGAAAGTCAACCGCTTCTGAGGGCTATGACTTGCATTGTGGTTAAAGGTAGAATTAGTGACTACCATATGGAATCACCTGAGTATACGTTCTCTAATTATGTATGCTATACTTATTACAACGTGCCAACATGCACGTCACCTTGATAAATCTTAGATGAACAAAAAGAAATTGAGCGATAAGTTGTAAACATATAATGACTAAGGCGAAGTTTTGTTTACGAAGCACTATTCATAACGTAGGAAATAATGATATGTATTGAAAACTACTAGTCTATTTTGATACATACCTAAAATAGTAAAAGGAGCTAAATGTAGCAAACACCGAAATAACTGAAACTTCAACATTTATAGTTGATAGGTCGTTACGTTCGTTTATAAGTTGATAAGATTGCCCATGAAGCGAAACTGTGTCACAATAATTTTTGAGTATAACGAACAGTCTTAACGTTAATACATCAATTTCATATGACAAACCATAGTTTAAATTTGTATAGTTCGTAATCTCCTCAAGTCACGAATGGCACGTGTTATGCAAATAATTTGACATCTTAACAATGTGTGACTTTTAACAGACAATTAAACTGACTTTGAAAAGCGTAACAACACCCAGCTTAAATGATACGTAACTACAAAAATACTTATGTTTAAAGTGTTATGCTTAATTTTGTACAGAAAATATGCTAAAGAACACTCAGCTTATTCGAACATAAGTAATCTATATATTTGAAAACTTAGTTTGAGATGGCTATGAATAAAACAGAAAGGTATTACTAACAATCATGTAAACTCAAATATATGAGATACAGAATTATTCGTAGAGAGTGAATCACTCTTATATTTCGATAACTACTGCCATCATTCTTTTACTTTCCGAATACTTCTTCTGTAAATATACATTATTTTATATTTGTGATATTTGATTCAATTATGTGCTCACCAATGACTAATTTCAAGAGATGATTCCCCGAGGTTCTAGTGAGAATCCATGATCGGTGGAGTTCAACTATTTCAGGTGTGTGGCAGTTAATTAGCAATGAATGAAATTGAGAGATGGTTGTGAAATAATAAAAATAAAATAAGATTCAAAAGATAAACAAGTAGATGTTGATTCTGTTATTAAAAGGTAAGGGCCCAGTAGAAGGCTTGTATGTCCTGGGTTCGACCCCCGTTAAAGTTTTGGGTATATACTGCTGAGTCTCACACTAAGACAGAAACAGCTATCTAAAGTTATTTGATTTTTAATGGCTGTTTTACTAAGGTCAGTTAGTGATGTAGTTGAATCTATGATGTACATGGAAACTATAAAAAGAATTCACATAGTAAACATCAATCGTTATACGAAAGAATATACGAATTACACTACCTTCATCCATATTACAATTATCCACCGATTCATAAAATACCATATACGCATTAGTTGAACTATGCCATAAATCGTCCTGTGACATACACTTAGAAGTTGTGGAATCTCTACTTTCATTAAGGTCAGTGAAACTAAGATCATTTGAGGAAGTATCATGACGAGGTTTTTTGGCTGCTCTACGACTAGAACACTTTTCAGAAGATTGATCAGATTTAGTAAGGTTTATTGATGAATCCGATGTTTCAGTAGTGGCTAGATAGCTTTGCAATGATTTAGCTGATCCGTTAATTTTGCTAATTTAAATTGATTTGACGGTACGTTGAAGACCTTGAAAAAAAACAACATACGTTCTGTATTCATTATATGAGAGAATTGAAAATGAAGTAGAAATTGGTGTATAATTTGGAAAAAGCTTATTTAAATACATAACGAGTGCACACAGTGAATAATTTGACGGTTGAAACATATGAGTTCCAATAATTGAGACATATTATTAAACCCGAAATCGTATTATCTAACCTGGAAAAAAAATCGCACCCTTATGCTGAATAAATGGGAACTGCACCTAAATACTGAGTTCGTTTGCTGAGCGCTTATTTAAACTGTTAAAAAAGTGCATTAAATGTGTCAGATTAATATGGAATCCAGTTAAGACACTAAGTGATTTAAATTGAAATAAGAAAAAAAGGTGAATAACTATGTCTGTCGATATAAGTAGTACGTAACACCAATAGGAAGTGGAAAACCTGGCAGCAGAAGACTAAGCATATCAAGCTGAAGAGAACAAATGCGGATATGGAAGTGAATTGCGAATTGAAAGAATCGCACAGAATGTAAAGGACAAAAGATAGAAATTTGGAAATGAAGTATTTAATGTACGCTTTCCACAATTTACCAAAGAACTCAATAATTTTGTGTAAAATACAAATCAGTCGTTCCCACCTGTGTTCTTGTTCACAACACTTACATCTATATCATTGCAAACACTCCAACATTCATTTGATTTTAAAGGAGGATCATCTTCAGTACTTGAATCTGTGTTTTTATCACCAGATAAATTGATTCTTTTGTAAGAATCTCTAAGAACAGCTATATAATGTCCTGATGTTGGTTGGTTGCCAATATGTAAAAGTACACCACAGAGACGATATGCGCGATGACATGGATCTGAAGTAAATATAAAATTACTATATAAATGGTAGTTTATTAGCAGCAAACTCAATATTACACTCAATCAGTCACATCCAATATAGAACTTGACTTATATATGTGCCTTGAATCAAGTTCTCACACCGCATTAGCAGAAAAAGACTGAACTTAACAAGGCAAATACCAGAGTAGAAGTAGTAACAGTATCAGTAGTAATAGAAACGACTAGGTATAGGAGGGGAAAAAGTACAGGGTTTCGAGGCCCAAGAGTGAAAGGAAGAAACAGAGCTAATGCATCAGTGCCATTGAGGTAGATGATGGCTGGGGATATGTACCACACAACACGACCATCTCGGTCGATGAAGATTCACAACTTCATCAACCAATTTCTCGTATTTACTTAGTGCCGGATGTCTAGCACACCACTGCTCACTCAGCTGTCCCAAAATACACGAGCGATGGTTTGGAGACATTTATGAAAGGACATAAGTAACTTAAGAGTATCCATTCTTAATGGTCATGCCCCACGCCTATAAAGTAGAACAGAGCGAACCGTTGAACATTAAAATCATCCTTCGATTGGTAGATGAACATTTCACCCACGCTACAAATGGTGCAGCTTGGGAAAAGCCAGATGAGTTTTCAGGATTCATGCCGAGATTTCGTTAGACATCAACACACAAGGGGTGACAAGACCAATATAAGTGAAACGAAAAATGAACAAGTACATTGAAAACGTACCAAGCATTGTTAAAATTACGTGATATTTAATTTATGAAAAGTAATCCATTTACGAAGTACAGATTTATGTACTTGATATTGAGTTACAGGTTTTCTACGATGTGAGAACTAGGGACAATAATGTCTAGCCATTGACATCAAATTAAGATTAACCTGGTCAGAACTTGTTACTCTATTGTTTCAAAACTCAGTGATTTGATCATTAGATTATTTATTACAATTTTAGTTAAATAATTTAACAAAATTTTATTATTTGATAGATTTCTGACTAAGGAAACTAATAAAATAATCAACATGTTCTAAGTAGTATAAAATTTGTGAAAACAGGTATTGTGCAGGTGCACAATAAAATGTTAACAAAATCTACCACAATGGCAATTTGACGCTTCCATCTATATTTTGTTGTTAAAATTCTATTGTACTAACTTGATGAGTATGATAAGAATAGAGAAATAAGATGGAAATTACAAGTTTGACGGATTGGCATCACTATCTACTGTATCTCACATGACATCATACATTATGGTTTGATTTTAAGCTACTAAGCAGCAAGTTCAAAAGCTGCTCCAGCTCATATGGTTTGGAAAACCGAATAGTATCACCAGCTCTCAAACCTACAGTGTAGTTCTAAGTCAGGTACCTGGTTGATGAGTTGATAATGATGATAAATTATCTACATGTATTTTTCCTGTATACTAGAAGTTAATGGTTACGACTGGTTTGTCAAATACAGGTTTATGTACACTGTTTCGGGCAACACTGTTTGTATATAACAGCCAACCTAAACCGAAAAAGTGGAGCGGGGTTCAAACCGGTGATGTACTGGTTCAAAGCCAAGAAAATTAACGAACTAAGCCACCGCTCTATATGAGTCATGTCCATATTTTTAACTTGGTTATTAATATTGTAAGGATTTGATCGAACGCTTCTGACACAGACACATAAAGTCGTATTATTTTATATTTAAATTCCTTTATAATGCAAAAATTGGTTTAATAAATAAAAAGTATGTCATTTCAGTACTTATATATATATATATATAACTATTTTATAAAACGGTAATAAATAATACCTGAATCTACACTCAAACATTCCACAGAATGTTCACAATTCAGATGTTTATTACTTTTTGGATTTTCAACAACTTTTGTCAACTCAAGAAGATCAGGCAGACGAATAGAAGCTTTATACTTTTTACGTTGACCAGTGTTTGAATCGTAGGTGAATCTAAGCAACTGAATGCATAACAATGGTGGAGCACGTGTTATATAGGCTCTTCTAATACCATCTCGTTTACAACCACACTGTGAACAAGCATACTGATTATCGCCAACTAATTGTTCTTCCTATAGAAAACAATAAATATGATGAATTCAGTAGACGGGAAAACAGCCAACGATGACGACATTGAACTAATAAATTAAAACAATGAGATCAGAAAATAGGCAATCGAGGAGAGATTAACTTTACATGAACATTCATTCATCCATGAGAAAATATGCACATACTCATAGAGGGCCATCATTTTTTAAAAGTTTATAACCATTCATGGTGGCTTCGGTAACTTATCAAGTTAAAGAGCTTTTTGAGGTAATCTAAGTGGAAAGCCTCAATATTAATCAATGATAAAAACCGATTTCACTCGTTATTTGGAATCCTCATCTAAACCAAAGTAGGACTTCTTTAAAAAGGACATATTCAGATGAAAACCGTGAATATCTTCAAGTTACACAATAACAACAATATTTGGTTTGTTCAGTATCATAAGTCTAAATACATAAAAGGATTTTCAGCAGAAAATATGCAAAATTGCAACCAAATTCCCGTTTTATAAGCATTAAGTTTGTGAATATTAAAAAATATGTATAAAAAGTCTTTAAACATCCATCAGAATGTAATTATATTCAACCACATATGTCTATGATCAGTCTTGCCTCATTGTACCTCTTTTTTCATCGCTGAACACACTTGGCGTACGAATTCCAAGGTAATCATATCTCGTTTTTTTCGAATAACAGGGGGAATGGAACATAGTGGAATGCGTTATCCGCAAATCCGGAAGTTCCTGGATCCGCATTGCCGAGGAGTCACAAACTAGAACGATACAGCTGCACTATTGTCTTATTTCGATACATTTTTACTGAACTAATAACAAGATATAATAAAGAGCAATCCATATATATGCTAGCAACCATGTAGAGTACATGGAATATGATAGATTCCTAACAAAAGACATCAATAGGGCATACTTTCGAAAGAATGAACTTTATGCTTTTTGTACAAAAGAATCTTAATTAGCAATCAGAGGATGACTTTACTTGACCCATGCATTTAATCACTGCCAACTTAAAGTGTTTATATATGTAGCTAAGATAAAATAAACATCACCTTTAAATAATCCCGTATACAATCTGGAAGTGACTTTGAAGAAACTTTCAATGATAGTTCTAAAAACTTTGAAGGTAACCGAGATGTGAAACCGCATTTCAGACAGCTAAAAGCAAAAATAAGTATAGAGAGAAAAGATCTAATTGGCTAAAGTAAATATCATACAAACGACGTTATGGAAAGATCAGTTGGAAGCGTTAAATACACAATATAAAGATTAATAACAGGGGTGGCGAAGTTAGAAACCTACTGATCATTAGTTGCATTACTTAAATACAATCATAGAAGCTTAAGTGGTGATAACGATTTTGTTTACACTTCACTTATTTTTAGAATTTTCTTGTATCACTGAAAAGTTTTCATACAACTTGGTTGCAGGATTATATGGAAAATTGCTCCAGAGCTCAGTTGGCAAAAGCTTGAATCAAGGATCATTTTAAGAACAGAGAAAACCTGATCGATACAAAACGACACCAAATTCGACCAAGCATGAAAATATTTACGACAAGAATTATTAGCAATGAAACAGAATCTCGGTAACCTAAAAAAATACAATTTATTGACAAACATAGGAACAAAAATCAAACCAATGGGAGATACAACCAAAACAAAGAAGTAAACAATGACAAGTTTAAGGTCAACAAAAAACAATCAACACCGAGGTGTACAGGACAAGCTGTGAACCACATGTAGAGAAATTCGAACACTTCACTTCTACCTGAAGTTTGTGCTGATACTGTCGTTCAGAAGTACTATGAAAGTTCCACGACCAAACCATCCAGATCAGAGAACAAAACTCCATAAAAATCATCCACCTTGGCTACAAATCTTCTCCACCATCTCAAATTATTAGCAATAATTCAGTGATAATCTGAGAAGCAGCAAAAATGACCGTTGGAAATCCTTCAGTGCCATTAGAAATTTAGAACTAAGTAACCAGCAGAATAACTTTGTCAAAAGATGTCTAAATTATGTAGACTAGAGGATGTAACAACAAAAGAGAACGAATTCAACATCAATTAAAGAGGCGTTACACCAAACAGTATTCCCATTTACGCATTTGTGAATATAGATTAATAATCAAACTCCAAGAAATATTATCCGTACTGACAACCACGCACAAACGTTTGGGCAGCAAGATATCACAGATTTTGCAAAGTAAAACCAAAAATGATAGAGAAACGATAAGAACGTCGAATATAATAAATAACTTCAAATTAATCTCCGATCAATCAGTATGATGACTTGAACTACCTATCAACAAACTATTTGGAAATAAACCGTTTCCCAAGAATTGAACCCGAACAAGCTTGAAAAGGATTTTTAAGACGCTACCCCGAATTTTTAAAACATCCTTACATAGCTAAACTCCGGGCGTCGAAAGTTGTATCTCTAAGGGCTGGTTTTCAAGTTCATCATTAAATTTCTAAGAATACCTACATGTTTCTCACTGTATTATTGTCGACAGGGTGGAAATAAAACGCCTGATTTATTTGTGTTCTCAATTTTTAGGGGCTGGGTCAGAGAGTTAATTGGACAGTAGTGCAAGGTTCGGCTGGAAATTATGTGCGTCATTATATCATTATTTCAAACTCAATAGTCTCCAACTAGGTCATAACAGATACAGTAAAGGTTAATCAAGAACAGGATAAAAGACCGTTCTAAAGAAACAGACGATGAAAATGCAAACACACATGAACATTAATAAAACTTCTGAGGTCAGCCAATCAGAAATAATATTATTGAGGCAAATTGATTTGATAATTGTGCAGAATTTCCTAAAACCTGCTTCTATTAGAGATTGGTATTAATGATATTATCTAAACTGAAGAAAGCTTAACAACCAAAATTTTCAGGTTAAACGTTGACGTATAATCTAAAAATTATATTCCATTCAACCCTGATGTTCATTAAATATAAACTTCATCAGGCATTGCTATAATGTCCTTACATTCAATTACCATCTTCGAACTGTAAATTAATGTTAAACGATAAGTGAAAGCCTGTGTTTGTAGTCAGCTTCAGCCACAAATAACTGGAGGTAGTCAAAAGGTTTGAGTGTCTGGATAAACGTACGTGCTGATAATTTATATCAGGTGAAGTCACAAAGGCATATGATAATTTAGACTATATTTAATCCTGTCGGAAAATTACTTTGGATGTAAAATATTGGGTTAGAAATGAACTTGGTTCTGAAAGCTTATGAGACATAGTGTTTCAAAATTGTTGTTCGATAGGTTTTATTTTCAATTACCACAGCCCCAATATTATTTTTGATGCTTTTACACATACATAAATCAACACGAAACTGAGTAAGAATCAAGACAGCACGTTACTAAAACAGTAGCAATTACAGCAGATATTAATAGTAGAATAGTATTCAAATAAACTGAATGAGGCGTGTTTAAGTACAAAGGAAAGAAGAAACAAATTGGTGCGATTCCCGAAGTTCATGGAAAATAAGAATGGATTCGTATTGAGTTTCCATCATGCCGTTTAAGATCTTTAACCATTAATGCCAAACCAACTGCTGGTCCCAATCCAGAGACTTAAACAATAACCTTTGACCTAACCACTGCTATGAATCCGGTGTTCATCTTGTTGTGCTGATGCGGTATGGCAACCTGGACCGATGCACATATGTGCCTGGTCCTACGTTGTAGCTGACTGACTGACTGAATAAAAAATCGACTACTAACTCTGAGAAATTCAAAGACACTAAACAACTTAGTTGTTTCAATTCAGTAACTATTCTACTTTCACAACGCTAACACCAGACTCATAATGTTTACCTTACAATTGAGCCACATAGCACAGAGAACGAAAACTTTGACAAATTCATCCACCCAAGCAACAACTTTTCTCCTCCATTTCAATACTTTACCATTTCACCAAGAAAAAGTACACCATTAATCCATAGAATTGGGTCACCATAAGATTGTACACTAATTTAACGGTCTCGATAGTATAATTGTAATCTCAAGTAATACATATAACATTGAATCATACGATACCTTCACAGTTCTGACTGTAGTTTGTCGAATTATTGATTAGTAAATTTTCCAATAATGAAGGATCTTTGAAAAACAGGAAGAGACGTTGAATAAAGTCGCCCAGTGGAGAACATTTCGCACAGAAATAAAGAATGCATGGAATTAAACACTTTTTAAAGAAAAATATCAACTACGCAGATCGATGATGGACAGAACAATTAACCACCAGTGCATATACTCTTTTATCCTCTTATCTACTGCTTAAATCAATAGTGTAAACTATTATTAAAATTGTAGTGTTTGAATAGAAACAATAGATTGTAGTTAGACGAAATGACAATCTGTTAAGTGTGTACTTCTTTCATGATAGTTTGGTCAGTAATCAGGAAAATATTTGTTATTTGAAGCAAAGGAAAAGGGTAAAACGACAGATGGATTATAAGAAAAAAAAGCATGCACACAACTGAGGAGGAGAAGGATATCAACTTTGAAATCCTTTTGTTTTTTTAAAAAGGATAAGTATGACATCAATAAGATAGATTTCGTTTTGTCAACGAAGTGATATACATGAATATTGACAGTTTGACATAATTACTTAGTATCTACTACTTCGAATAAAATTCAGTTGTAAAAAATCTGGGAAAAGTTTCACTAAAAAAGAATGATTTTGTAATTAGATACATATACTTCTATCAAGAAATGAATATAGAGGGAAAGAAATCTTTGTGATTAAGGAAGGGAACAATTATAGCTAGTTAGATGAACTTTAGGAAGTGTATTAAGTCAATGACAGCTTAGTTATTTCACGAATAAAAACAACCATTTTCGTTTAGTCATGATAAACATTACAACTGAAAAATCGGTCATAGATAAAGTTTTCCTTACTTTCCGACTGTGAAACCTTCTAGTCTCAAACAACCAAGAACTAAGAAATACCTACATGACAAAAAAGCTATTTAGGGTTGACATTAATATAAAAGGGTTTTTTCATAATCGAAGACGATTATATGCATCAACAAATAAACATTGACAGCTTCGAAATGAAATATTTATGAAATTTCAAAAGGAAACTGTGACCAAGTAGCAACCAAGGTAGTTACTCTTCAATGTCATTGGATGGTAGTCAAGTTATATTAGAAATTGACTGAACCTGATAAATTTTGGATCACAACTCAACGGCGAAATGGTACAGGTCAACTGTGGGAATTATAGACTTCCTTTAAGGTAGCCTGAGAATTAACAACCTTCCAATGCTTCCTGCTTTACAATAATTTTCCCAACTATTAGTGTATGAAGAGAATTAACAAATGCAATAAACTTAGTGTTACCACCACTGTTGCTAATACTATTACGAATACTAATACTGATTCAGTCTGCGTAGTCATTGAGGAATAAGCCATAACAGTGAAATACTGATGTATCACTCACCTATTTTCATAAATATATTCTCCTCTAATCAAGTCGTCAATAACAGATACACCAACTTGCTGGAAACGTGCTTCTAATAAATTCATAAATAAACAATGGAACTCAGGAGCATCCTGAAAAAATTAACGCAATTTTTAAAAAATGCAGCAAATTCGTTGTTTGGAAGAATTTAAATAAGAAATTACTGCGTTATTGCATGAATGAAAATTACACTGTGAATTGTCAGTAATGTCTTATGCGATTAAAATCAGCATGTATATACCGCAAACATGTATTTTCTTACTTGTTGCTCTGTATCACACAACCGCAATGCTTCAATCAAACCTCCTGGATCAACAATACTAAGAAATGAAAAAAAAATACAAGGTGAGTGGTAATTAATGTCAATCACTAATAAAATGAATAACACAATGCCCACAATGTCTGAAAAAAGGAGGAAGTTGAAATTGAAAAGTTCAGTGTTTGAATAATTAATAGCTTATGAAGAGTTGTTCAATTTCAGACAAGAAACAATGTCGACTACATATATAAACAATAAAAAGGAGAAATATTGAAGTATGATTTGCCAACACTTTGACTGCCATTGACCTCATTCTAAACAATTCTATTAGTAGTGGTCATAGATACATTTGTAAACTCATAGTTGCACATCAGTTCCTTTAAATGGATAGTTAATTGCTGAAGAATAAAAGCCTAATCGAAATTTGTTATATTTATTAGATGTGTATTTACGATTTTTGAACTACTTATGACACACAACGTATAATTACCGCCAACTAGAAAGATGATGGGGACCCATAAAATCGAGTAGAAGAGAAGCAAGCAGGTGATAGTGATAATAAAATGTTTAACGTCCGAATCAAATATTTCTGTTTTCACCCTGGATTTTTCCAACTTAAAATCCACCAGTTACAAATATCAGAATCTAAAAAGTGGAATGTACAAACACACTTTGTGTCGATATACATACACACATATATTTAAATAAATGTGTTAAAACAGAAAGAAATCGCTTCAAAGTAATCTGAATAAACAAATTTACCCTGAATTGTTTAACTGAAGTTGACTGAATATTAATTGTAGCTGGTGTATTATACCGGTTTCATCAGCTGTAAAATAGGATAAACAAGTAAACAAGTCAATTGGTACTGGATAAAACACGAAGACAGTTTATTTTTATCACCGATTGATATCGACCAGAAGACCATAGAAAATAAAAAAGCATTGAAAGGTTTGTTTATTGTTGTTTAAAGAGTCTGGTTTTCCATAGTTTTTCTACTGATGTCTATCTCTAAATTTTAAAAATCTGCGTAAATGATATTGTATAAAAGTGTTTTTATTATTTACGGCTGATATGTTCAAAATAATTAATTTCGTACCTTGAAATTGTCATCAGCTACGAATCAAATATCCCGATGCAGATGAAAACTATTACTTTATCTCCTAATTCCTAATTAATTTTGACCAAACAACCAATTATAGATACATCTAGTATGAGTGGATCTACAAAAGGAAAGGGTTCCCTTTTGTATGGAGCTGAAGATATGGATAAACGATTTTATTTAAACAAATCATAGGTAGACTAAGGTTAAAATAGCTCGGTCAGTAATAATGGGAAACTTGAAACTCGACCTAAGTAATTATTGAGATATTTCAAACAAAACAAGTGGACAGTATAAAACACTGGGGTTACTAATGCAAACAACTTTACGAATAAATAACCCACCTTGTGATGGGATATCATATATTGCTTTTCGAAGTTCCTTGAACCGAAAATAAAGCTGCAAAAATGCATTTAAGTAACACGTACTCCCATAATTCTTCAAACCATTACGGCTATGCTAAATGTTTAAAACAGAAGAACATTGACAGGAAAAAGTACATTAAAGATGCATATTATTTCACACTCCAGTTTATTTTAATCAGAGCCAAGATAAGAACGTGAGTTCTGCAGTAAGCTTCAAGGTCTTACCAAAAGAATCAACTCGGGACTTATTCACAGAAAAGTATGGATATGAAATGTGGCGCGACCTCGAATGGAATTTTAAAGTATTATGTACGGTCAGCTTATGTGCATGAATCAATGTGTGGAATGAAAAATAAATTAAAATACCAGAATGATTAGATGCGTATACATTTAGCAATAACATAAAATTGTAACTCAGCAACATCTTACAAAGTTGTTGACTAAATTAGGATATATTTACTGTGAGAACTAGTGTTATCATCTGACTTCCTGAATTTATTAATTGTAGCAAATACAGGCAAAATATGCAGGAGGAAATCAAAACGGACAGGACTTTAAACAAGGAGGAAGCATGCACACTACAACCTTCGGATGCCGGCCCAGTAGTCTAGAGGTTAAGCGTTCACTTGCGAGACCGAGGGTCCTGGGCTCGAATCCCACGTGCTAGATCGTGGATGCGCACTGCTGAGGAGTACCGCAGCAGGACGAATCGCTCGTCCAGTGCTTCCAGGTTTTTAGCGATGATCTTGCACTGGTCGATTCATGATCTCAATCAGAAAGGGGAGAATTAAATCTAAGGTGAATGAGATGCTCACGAATTAGAATGATTACACTAACATCATTCTGACTGGTTTGAAAATATATAGGTCACGGTCCCTAACTTGTGATTTTAGAAAATCGTTGGGCCCAGCCAAAACCCTAAATTTTTTGAGTCAAAGGCTAAAGTGAGTGACTTTATAGTGACCTTAATAACAATTGATTACTTCGTTAACTGGATTAGGCAGTATATTCGGAACTACACTTTAATCCTAACATTGTTGTTGATAAGATTCAACAACACCTGAAAAAAACACTGTGAAGCTGTGATTGAATACTTGTACCCATGTAGACTTTATTCTCCACATCTCGGTAGTAGTTTGTTAAAAACGACTACTGTACAGTACACATTTTCTTGAATAAGCTAGACATTGTTCGAGTACTATGAATGACGAAAGATGTTAAAAAGCAATTGTTTATTAAAAGTTCATGCTGGGATTTTGGTCAATCAAATTTTGTTGGGGCTGATAAAGTGACTAATTCATGTTATTATTATAGATTCTTCTTACAAACCAGATTTAGAAATAAGAAACAATATGATTAGTACCAATTAAGGTTTAAAAAAGTCGCTTTATTGTTCCTAACATAGTTGTGCACTTTGACTCGCATTGCTAGTTTTGATTGAAAACATTTAAGAACCTTCTACATGATCGAACAAAACTAAGTCTAGTATTTAAAGTTTTCCATAAAAATGATTAGCTATTCTTCTCAAACAGACAGGTTATAGACTATATCTAACCTTTCATTCTTTTGTTGCACAATATATACAATTTAGAGTATGTTTAATAAAACTGTATATTCCTCACACTACTCCAAAACGCTGGTTTTGTTTCCCAGTTTTAGTAATAGTTGGAAATATATAGGGGTAATATCACTGACACAAATTTCTTAACTAATGATTCACACAAACAGCAACCAAGGACGTAAGAAAAGATTATTGGAACAAGTGTGTGTGAGAATCACAGGTGTTAAGCCCAGGTAACGAAAGCCTTTATTGCCAATTATGCATAAAATATATTGGCCAAACCATACTAAGTGGGAAAAAAGTACGTGTTCACTGTAAAAGCTGTAAACTGAACATTTTTAATCAGATACAACCTACTTTGACAATTAATGGTGGTTTCAACTGTGAATTCGCAAAACAGCAGCAACTTTTCAAATGATTTTATTTTAGGAAGCCTACAAGGAATTTATTAGATATAAGCACAACTTCAAACATCATGAACATGGTTTCTAGCTTGGAACAGTTACTAGAATATCAAACAAATAAGGGGAAAGTATCTACACCCTATGCTTTGTCGTCACATGGACTCAAAAAATTCATGTAATAATAAACTTACCGTCAGTAACTTTTCAACAGGAGACTCTGGTTCAGTTTTGTCACATGTTTCTTCGTTCAGTACATTTATTTTGAGTAAGCCATTTAGGCAAGAAGATAAGTATTTACATGTCGTCCTGTTGAAGAAGTGGAAGATAATTTAGCTAATCGGGAAACGTTAGAGTACTTATTTATAGGAAAACACATCTAGATGACGAAGGTTTCTAAGAACTAGTAGTTTGATCAACGATATCTGCAGTTTTCAGCATGGAAATTTGCGAGTAACTTACGTGGTTATTTCGAGTGTAACAGTAGCAATCTACCAGGAATGTTTACAAGGATCAGACGAACTGTACGGAAATCAATGTCACTTTTGAGATGGTGGAGAAGATTTGTAGCTCAGGTGGATGATTTTGGTGGAGTTTTGTTCTCTGAGAACAAAACTCCAGCAATGTCACTTCTACTTATGTCTGAATTAGATCTCAAAATTAGGATATACAGGTTATGAGCTACGTCACACATCACGATCAAATCCTTATGATCACTCAGATTGCGGGTTACTATTTCAATGCTTCCATGAAGACTGCCTAAATCAGGATAACCTGGACGGTTAGTGTGATAAAAGCTAACTGGCAGCATCTAAGCTCAGAAGTTTGACCCAAGTCAACATGCATTTGTGGACTATATTAAAAACATACATCGGCCTATGACTTACTGGCAATTTCCAAAAGAACACGCAGGTTGATTAAATCTATATACTGTCCGTACAACATCTGTATTAACAATGACAGGAGCGTTTTCAACTTTGTTCCATAAACACTGAAGGTGGTGTCTCCTAAACCATGAAAAATAGTCAAAAATATGAAACGAACTCACATTACAAAACTTTCTGTCTATATTTTAGTCGTAGGGAAGATGAGTTGTCAAGAGGTACGTCGTTGTCAGGCAATTCGCTGATGTGTACGTTCAGTATTCTCCAAGAGATCAAAGGAGAAATTCTGGCTATTATTCGATTATCAAACAAAATTTGCTTACATCTGGTAACAATAAAACTACCCAGCGATAATATTGACTAATTCCTTGTATTTTTGATACAACCTAGAAGTCCATATGAATCAAATTGTAGTGTCTCAACCAAACCAATAAGCGCGCCGACCTTCGAAGTCGAATGCAAGGTTAGTTTCGAGTGGATTAAGGAACTGAACTTTTTTCTACGACCCTCGGTTGACAGACATAGCACAAAAGATCTTTCTGAGGATGGGTATTTTTAGAAGTATGTCAATGATATGAAATAATGTAAGAACGAACGGTGAATTGACTATGAAAATAAATTTTCCGTTTGATTTCGTATATTTTATCCATGCCAACCTCGTTTAAGATATAATGGTTTTAAAATGCCGAATATCAAGATAGAAGAATTTATTTCGGACATAACTCGTGCCTACAGGTGATAAAAGGTTCAAAACGGGGGAAAAATGTGACGACACATTTTATTTAAATCATGATTTAATATTTATGAGTGTGAAGAGTACAGGTAAACATGTAGACACATACGTGCTAACGTACACACGTATAGATTAAAGAAAGATTTTAAAATATAGGTTCGTTCATATGTCTAGAAATTAGGATAAGTCATTTAAGCGTTAGTAGACGGCAGTGTTAGATAATTTGTCCACAGTTTCGGTAACAATTAAACATATTACTTACTTATTGACTCCTGTTACTCCCAATAAAGAATAGGCCGCTGACTAACATTCTCCAACCTGCTCTTTCTTGAGCCTTCCTTTCTAGTTGTATCCAATTGTTGTTCACACTTCTCATAACTGTCTCCTGATCGTAACATCTACCTTTAAGTGGTGGTCGGGCTTACCTATCGTGATGACCCAAACGAGCCATATTGGCTGGAACATATGTCCCTGTAGGTTCTATCATACCACGCAGGTCGACTGAAGAACGGTAAGACTGAAAACAGCAACTCAAGGTATGAGGGCGAAGTAATACTGCCGAATGTAGAGGGGTATAATAACAGCAAGGTGTTTCCCTCGAGGCAACTAGCATCTGCAGCGATGCTGCCTTCTCACAATGAAAGAGTGTGTTGGAGAAGGTCGACTATAAAAATACTACAACTTACCTTACCTCACAGATTTCAGTCTTTGGCAGTAAGGCCAGAGACAAAAAGGCTGTGCGCGACCGGCCTCAAGCAGTTGTCCCTTGGGTTCTGTGGTCACGCTCCCAGGTCGTTAAGACCAACACTAATCCAACTTTCTTTTCAGGTTCCTCGAAAAATACCATTCCACGTTGTGGGAAGCCGGGAAGTGATATCAGCCTCATACCCGTAACAACACACGGGACCAAGTTGGTCACATTCAAGTCCTTCCTACACCTCCTAAAAACTCTCTTATCTCCACGACTAATCAATATCACGTTCATTTTCACCTCTCACCGTTAGTGCAAACGATTTGAGTACGCGGGATTTTATTCCTGGTCTCCTGAAACCACGCCCTAAACTACATATAGTAGCTTTTAACGTCCGAACACTGTGCCAAATAGGACAACAAGCCTCCTCAGCTAGGACTTTAGGATCTCGCACCGTCGATGTGTGCCGCGTCTCCGAAAGGCGCATCGTCACTGATTCGACCTCACCATATCAAAATAAAGAACAACGCCGATCAACACTACGTGTATCTAGAAGCCCTGATCCTGCTGCCCGTAGCCTCGCCGGTGTAGTTATAGCATCGAGTATTAGGGCCGAACTAGCCCCCTTTAGAACGAATTCAAGCAGACAGTCGCTTGTGCGCTGTCCGACTAAACGGAACAGTAAGGACTTGGAAAGATAGGGACACTCGTCATTGACTATTCGTTCACTCTGCCTACTCTCCCACTGACTGCAGCTCAGATGATGTAAGTGATGAGTTTCACAAAAAGCTTTTCGACTTCTACAAAAAGTTAAACGCCCCGATGTAGTTGTAGTTACTTACTTACGCCTGTTACTCCCAAAAGAGCATAGGCCACTGACCAGCATTCTCCAACCCACTCTGTTCAGGGCGTTCTTTTCCAATTCCGTCCAATTCTTGTTTATTTTTCTCATGTCTATCTCCATTTCCCGGCATAATGTGTTCGTTGGCCTTCCTCTTTTCCTTTGACCTTGAGAATTCCATGTGAGGGCTTTTCATGGGAGGCAGTTGGCTGCTTTCCTCAATGTGTGTCCTATCCACTTCCAGCGCCTCTTCCTGATTTCCTCCTCCACCGGGATATGGTTTGTTCTCCCCTACAGTAGGTTGTTGCTAATAGTGTCCGCCAACGGATCCGAAGTATTTTGCGTAGACAACTGTTAATAAACACCTGTATTTTCTGGATGATGGCTTTTGTAGTTCTCCAGGTTTCTGCCCCATACAGTAGAACTGTCTTGACATTTGTATTGAAAGTCCTGACCTTGGTGTTGGTTGACAGTTGCTTTGAATTCCAGATGTTCCTCAGTTGTAAATATGCTGCTCTTGCTTTGCCAATCCGTGCCTTCACATCTGCATCAGATCCACCGTGTTTATCAATGATGCTGCCCAAATATGTAAAGGTTTTTACATCTTCCGAATCTTCTCCATCAGTTGTGATTGGATTGGTGCATGCTATGTTGTGTCGGAGGATCTTGTTTTTCCCTTTGTGTATATTGAGACCTACTGCTGCTGAGGCTGCTGCTACACTGGTCGTTTTCTCCTGCATTTGTTTCTGCGATTGCTATAGAGGAGCCAGATCATCTATGAAGTCTAGATCGTCCAACTGCATCCTAGGTGTCCACTGTATCCCGCGTTTCCCTTCAGATGTTGACGTCTTCATGATCCGGTCGATCACCAGGAGAAAGAGAAAGGGTGAGAGTAAGCAACCTTGCCTGACACCGGTCTTTACCTCGAACGAGTCTGTCAGCTTATTGTGCTTCTTGTGGCCCAGAACCTCATGACATGTTGAAGTGATTGCCTCCTTGATCCCCTTCCAGTTGCTTTCAACAGTAGTTCCTTCTCCATTGAGTAGATCATGAAAAGCCTGGAACTTGTTGCTGAGGACTATCTTGAATTTGTTGAGTTTGTTAGTATCCTGGAGAAAGGCCGTATTGAACTTTTGTGATATTGTCCGCCCCGTTGTCCAGTGCTTCTTGAGTTTCAATTTCATCTTGGCGACCAGCAAGTGATGATCTGATGCTATATCAGCTCCTCTCTTGGTTCTCACGTCCTCTATAGTCCTCCTGAACGTTTTGTTGATGCAAATATGGTCGATTTGGTTTTGCGTGGTGTGATCAGGTGAAGTCCATGTGGTTTTGTGTATGCGTTTATGTGGGAATATGGTGCCGCCTATGACCAGTTTATTGAAGGCACATAGATTTGCAAATCTCTCACCATTTTCGTTTCTTTCTCCCAGTCCGTGTCGTCCCGTGATGTCTTCATATCCAGTGTTGTCCGTTCCAACCTTGGCGTTGAAATCTCCCATCAGAATAGTCAGGTCCTTTTTTGGGCACTTCTTGACGATTGACTGCAGCCTATTGTAGAATTGATCTTTAGCGTCTTCATTGTAGTCGTTGGTAGGTGCATAGCATTGGATGATGTTCATTGAAATGCCCTCTTTCTTTGTTTTGAAGGAGGTTTTGATGATCCTTGGTCCATGAGATTCCCATCCTATAAGTGCCTTTTGCGCTTGTTTGGACAGCATCAATGCAACTCCTTGTGTATGTGGTGCATTTTCATCTTCATGGCCGGAGTATAACAAGAGCTCTCCTGTAGTTAGTCGTTGTTGTCCAACTTGTGTCCAATGTGTTTCACTGATCCCAAGTACCTCTAGTTTGTATCTTCTCATTTCTGCAGCAATTTGGAAGGCTCTCCCGGTGTCCCACATTGTACGAACATTCCATGTACCTAAATAAATGGTTGCTCTGGTTGTCAGAAGGGGCATCGGCCTCGTAACTTCCGAAGGGATTCGGCTTTCATCATGAGGCGTCATAATTCTTCTAAATGAAGACCTTCCGACTCCCAGGGCAGAGCTTAAAAGGTTTGAATAATTTTTTCTGGTTGGCGTTTTTTTAGCGAGTTAGTTTTCTACGAAATGGAGTCGCTAACCTCATGCCCAACCCTCCTCCTTTATCCGGGCTTGGGACCGGCAGTAGCCTTCGGAGGGACTCCAGGCGAAGTTATGTAGTAGTAGTTGTTGGTAGCTTTATTGTTCAAGTTGGTACACTAAGCGCAAAGCGAATACACCTGGATGGATTTTATGCTATCTTGGTTCAAAGAACAGATAATGGCGACCGTCTGTTGCAGCTATGCTCAGATAACCGTCTGTTTCTTGCAAATACTAACTTTAAGCATAAGGTAAAACATATTTTGACATGGAGACCCCCCAATTCTTCCCAACGTTGGACCCCAATAGATCACATCGTTATCAGCCACCGATAGAGGGGCTCGATAGAAGGCTGTCGCTCATTCTGGAGCACATGCTTAAATTCAGATAATGCTCTAGTACGAGCGCGTATTTGTCTACGCCTTACTGTACTTAGGAAAGACGCTGCAAGGAAACTTCTTAAGGTCCTACCTAATGATAGCCAAGCTAAGAGTATATTTCAGGAACAACTAGGAAAACAGTTAGGCAGCCATATATGTGATGCCCACCCCGAGGCAGCATGGAATGATATCCGAAAAGCTGTGAAAACAACAGTGATATCTGCTACTACGGTAACCCGTAAAGTTAGGGAGCAACACTGGATCTCAACAGCATCTATCTCACTGATAGATGCTCGGAAACTCATTCCACCTGGCTCTGAACATAATGAGGGGCGGAGTCAGCTTAAACGCAAGCTGACAAGAAGTCTACGCAATGACCGTGAACAGTGGTGAGTAGCGAAAACAAGAGAGATGGAAAAGGCAGAGGCAATAGGTAATAGCAGACAATTGTTCAGACTCGCTAAGGAAACCGGTATTAGGAAACTGACTGTTGGCGAAACAATCTCAGAGAAAGATGGACATATTATACGTTCTCAATCCAGGAGATTGGATCGATGGGCAGAACACTTCAGGGATCAGTTCAACTGGCCTTCAGCCACACTTCGGTTTCCAACGATCTCCAGTCAACTTGAATGGCAAGTTAATGTAGGTCCTCCGTCCCTTTACGAAGTTGAAAAAGCCATAGGAAATCTGAAGCGAGGAAGAGCAGCAGGCCCTGACAGGTTTACTCCTGAGAATTTTAAGGATGGTGGTCCAGTATTAGCATTGAGATTAAATGAGGTCTTAGGTAGAATTCGGGAACTGGACATAATCCCATCTGACTGGTCTCAATCACTGATTGTGCCAGTCTATAACAAAGAAAAAAGGTCATCTTGTGACAATCACAGAAGAATCAGTTTGACTAATATAGTGTCTAAAATATTAGCTTCAATAATACTTCGACGCCTAACCAAAGCTCGTGAAGAACAGACTAGAGAAAACCAGGCTGGTTTTCGACCTGGACGTGGTTGTATAGACCAAATATTCACACTTCGTCAGGTCCCAGAACATAGACACAACTTCAGACGCCCCACAATCGTAGTATTTCTCGACCTTAAAGCAGCATTCGACTCTGTTGATCGTAAGGTTCTATGGCAGTGTTTTTCACTGAAAGGAGTACCAAAGAAGTACATGAAGCTTATACAGCCTCTCTACTCGAACACAACTGGTCGAGTGAGAGCTTATGGCGAACTGTCATCAGAATGAATTACCTCATGTGTTGTTCGTCAGGGCTGTCCACTCTCTTCATTCTTGTTTAACTTTGTCGTTGACGTGCTTTTAGAGATAACACTTCCCTCATCCAAATTTCCAGGGGTTGAACTTCTACCAGGTGATTCACTTGTTGACTTGGAATATGCCGATGACATAGTTCTATTTGGTGAAGACGTTGACAAAATTCAGAGTCTTCTGACCACTCCAAGCAACAATGCAAGCATGTTCGGGATGCGATTCTCCCCCTCAAAATGCAAAATGTTGCTTCAGGATTGGGTTGCATCGACACCCGAACTAATGGTAGGGAGTGAAGTAGTTGAGCGTGTCGACCGATTCACTTATGTTGGAAGTCTCATCAGCCCTCGTGGTCTGGTGTGTGACGAAATCTCAGCACGGATACCGAAGACTCGACTAACTTTTGCCAACTTGCGTCATTTATGGTGTAGGCGAGATATCCGTCTATCAACCAAAGGACGGTTGGCTGCACAGCAGTTCATTCCGTCCTATTTTATGACAGTGAACCATGGCCGGTAAGAGTAGAGAATATTCGTAGGTTACTAGTATTTGATCATAGGTGTCTTCGAAACATTGCTCGTATATCCTGGGACTACCGAGTAAGTAATGTAGTTGTTAGGAAATGGGTACTAGGTAAGGATGGCAAACCAATTGATGAAGTAGTGAGACTTCATCAGTTGAGATGGCTGGGACACGTAATACGTATGCCCAACCACCGACTGCCACGACATGCGATGTTTCATGGTGTAGGTGTAGGATGGAAGAAAGCTAGGGGCGGCCAGACAAAAACATGGCACAAATCCATGAAGTCAATGACAAGTGGACTGAGTCATGTTGGTAAGTGTAGACTAGCTGGTTGGGATCCGCGAGATGATAACAACCGATGGTTGGAGACCTGAACGACATGGCTCAAAACCGTTTGCGATGGTGCAGGTGCATCCATTCTTTGTTCTCACAAATTCTAATCTGAATTCTTCATGTCCCTTTTTACTTCTTTACAAATGTTTCACTGGATTATAATCTTTGGATAACATCTTCAAACCCCAATCTTCCCGATTACTGTTTACACTCTTACCGCCTCTACCACTATGGGATTTGAATCGACAATTGTATCTCTGTACCAATGTCGTGTGGCAACTCGAACTGATGTACGTACGTACGAAGTTCTATGTTGTTGATGACTGACTTTTATGAACGGATTCTGTTTTGTCGAGTCTCACAAACTCATCGCATGAATGTGATTTAATGGGGACTGCGGTTACACAGCTCTTTGAATGAGTAGTGATATCGCACCGAAAGAAATTTGCGGATTTACTGTATATGTTAGCCTACTTGCATACTTGTTAACACACTTGGTATGCAGGTTTACATAAACTGTGAGCAAATGTACATTACATGCACACGAGTTTTCCCCCCATGCATCCTATAGCATACACATAGGCATATTTACCCACTTGTGAGGGTAGACGTTCACCATTCACGAAGAAAAGGTATTTGGTACACCAGACTGTCTCTTACACATATGCATTCCATTTACACCATGGCTATCACTCCAGCATTTCCTTACACACGTAAGCACAGGCACTCTATCATGGGAGGTTGTTGGTCGCCCCATTGCAGCATTTGCTACCACCTCTTATTATGTCTTCGACTTGATAGATACGCTACTGGTTTTGTTAGATACAGGGCAGATATTTCGCAGCTCAACGCTTCATTTTTACGAAACCAAACGTCAATACGCTTGGATTGTGTAAGTCCGATGACTTCTGCAATTCCCATACCTGAGCACACACGACGGGTAGCTCGAGCGGTAAAGTGAGTCCCGAGTATACAACTCAGGATTGATCAGTTGCAACAGAGTGGATGACCAGTCGAATCTCTGCGACTGCCCAAGTTGACTAGCAGGGTTACCCTCACTATCCAACAACGCCACGAGGCCTTATGTCGGATACGCTGCCAACCGATAAGTCAGTTGTTGGTTTAGAAACATGCGCATGAGGGTGGTCAACATTGAATGTCGAAGACTTATAGAGCTATTGATTTTAGGGATTTACTTTCCGCTACAAACTGGTTTACGGAATGAAGGTCTGACTTCTGGGAGAATTTGCACGTCCTTCATCTTCTCCATAGAATTTGGATCCAAACTATTACACGAACAGGCTGACAAACGTTCTTCTTCCAGCTATACTGGTTTTTCACTCGACCATGACCAACTGATGTTTTTATCCATTTGATCTTACGATTTTAGAACGTTTACAGACGTAGCAACTCATTATAGCAACCTCTGAAAACTCGATACGAAGTATTCTTCAGAGTCCCTCAACCTAAAGAAAAATATTATATCACTGATAGAAACGGAACTAAAATTAACAGAACTGAATGGTCGAAAACAACTTAACTAGGAAAAATATTCTTCTATACCTCGCTGGTATTCAACAACCCGCCTAAAATACCGTACTCCAAATAAACCGTGAGGTTGCCAAAACATTTACAGGGCTGATGCAAGTTGACAACTTTGAAATCTTATTCTTTTTTTACCTCGTCTGTCGTGTTTTACAGCTATTCGGTTGCACTTTGGATTTACGTTGTGCCGATAGCGAAGAAGTCGAATTTTTTTTTAAAATTTTAAATATTCATGTTTTTAAAAAGTAATCAAAGAATTTTATGTATCTCTGTACGTTAATTTTCTATAAAAAGTTTTGAAAGCTTTTTGCACTGTGTGGCGTTGTACATGTATGTATATGTACCAAGATTTTTCCCATGTTTTGCTTGCCTACGTAAACACAAGTGTGCATCGACATGCAATAACACATTTACTTTATTTTTAAGGATGACTGGGATAGATGAAATACGGAAGAGTAAGATGAACCAAACTTATCCTTGTGCCTCTCTTATTATTTCATTATCTGTAGTACCGTGGTGTAGAAAAAGACCACTAGAAGCCTCTGGACAGAAGAAGCTATCGGAAAATTGACTAGTTATGAAAAGCCCGTTATGTTTAAACTGATGGCTGTTCATATCCTAGAGTGATGACATTACAGTAGAGGGGGACTGAGTTGTAGCTGCCAATAAGTCCTCAAAATAAACAGTACTGTAAGCCGTTGACGATGATGCTGACCTCAATGGTCTTACTGGACACACCTTAGGTGAAACAGTCATACATCCGCACCACAACACAATAAGGTATTGATGATGTCACAGGTATTCAGTGTTTGACAACGCTTCTACCAGTAACACCTAATATATTTCGTTCCCACCAAGAGAAATCAAAAGACAGAGTCGAGGAGATCGGAAGGGTGTATTTGGCGATTACCAATGTATCGGGATTCTCTGATCTAATCTGGCTAGCGATTGTGGTTGATGTTGAGCACGGCGTTACCACACGTCATCTGGTGCGGATGCCTGACCGAGCGCCTCCAGCTAGATGAGTCCACTAAAACATATGGTCAGCATCCAGTGTCGAAAACTTACAGGGCTATTTATTTTGGGGATTTATTTACCGCTACAGTATGTTGGGCTGCGCATCTCTTACAACTACTGGCCAGATTCGGTAAATTCCCAAATAAAGCTTCAAGCTCCTTCACCGCTGAATTATGACTAGATTGTGTCGATTTCCCTCGGCCTAATAAGTGTAAAGGACGAAAGCGCAGTCAAAACCTGGATATCTGTTACATCATCGAACCTGTTATCTGAAGAATTGTCCGAACATTTAATTGATTCATTCAAGAGAAGACCAGACAAACAAATAGATTTACTTTCAACAAAAGAATACAGGCCCTCGTCCTCTAGCACTTAATACAAAAATCCGAATCCTATGTGATGTGTTAAAACAGTCAAGGTCGACGAAGTTTCCACAACGACTATAATATTACTGTCCGTTTTCAATAGCGTTTATTCCAGTTTTTTAAATACATTTGGCCCTCTGAGTTGGTTTCGTGGGTCGTGGATTTCCGTCGAACTACTTACGTGTTGGTTTACTGACAAACGTTTTTTGTTTTGTTTTGTCGTGTTAATATTTACGCAACTGCCATACTGGGGTTCTGGCGGCTTGTAGTGCAATGCAGGTTGACTACAAACAGCTTGAGGTATGGCTCCACGGGAAGCTTAAACCCCTGTAAGTCTCCTCTCCACTAATAATCTTCGTGTAATACAAAGCCGTACATTATACGGCACTGATTTTGATCTTAATAAACGTATTGTTGGGGAGATACTATATAGCGTTACGTATGGCGTCATTTTAGGGAATGGCATAATACTCCCAGCTTCCTACCAATACTTCTGAGGGTCAAAGTTCACCTCACTAATTCCAGGTTGAACATCTGAGAGTATTGACTGGTCAGTTTTAAGGAGTAGTTTGGAAAACAAAGTTCGAGGCCTTTTGCCAAAAATGGAGTGGATTAACTACTTATCGGTTTACTGCCACAGAATTCACGTAAGTAGCCATCTTGAGCTTTGTTGCGAAATGAAACATTCGGACACTCAAAATGGGTTCTCAAATGTCTCTGGTAAGTCTGTTTCGGAGTATTCATGACAGTACACGAGTCCTCTTAGTATCTTCAACAGTCAGTCTTTGATTAGTCGATGCGCCACTTTCTATCTTACCGGTCGAATTTTGTTCTTCCTATTAGTCACAGCACTTTATGATTGCTGAGTGCACAACTGACTTGATGCTGTTTTTACAATTCCGCAAAACTGGAAACTTGAAGTGGTGTATTTGTATTAGGTGCTACTTTGCTAATATCTTTTCCTATCATGTTCTAGCCACTCGTAAACCACCCGCATAAGGTTTTGTCGGATTTTGTGTAATTTATGCTTGGCACCTCGTATTTTATTCGTCAACTTCGACATTTTCCATGTTATTCTGCAATATGTTCCTGTACAAACTCGACAAGACGATAAAACAACAACATGCATCCTCACTAATTTGTACAATTAAAGCTAAATGTATATATTGATGAATGTTTTGTCTCCTTCATATCCCATGTTCACAGGTCATATTGTTACTATCTTTGATGAAAATTAGTCAAATATAAACAGCTTTTTAACTGCTAGCACATTCCCCATATTTGTCCGTGTGGGAATACAAATAGCATGTTGAAGGTCCCTGTATGTTGTGCCACAATGAGTGTCAAGCGCATAGTGTTAGACAGTTAATAAATCACAAAATGACTCATCCTAAGTTAACTTTTATAGTTTGTTGTACAAAGATTGTACAGTGATATGCAACTAAAATTACTGGAAGCAGCAAAGTCACTGCAAACTTGTTTTGTAACACGTCCTTAAAAATGTAACAAACCGAGTTTTCTGGCATGCAGTCTATCAGTAAATAGTTGAACTGGGTTACTATCTAGATGAGGATGTATAGCCTTAACTCAGTCAATGATAAGCAACGACTAATGTGCATCAACCCAAGTTGTCATATCACATCAAAACAGCTAAGATTGTCACTTTAACGACCATCGCAGCAGAAGCAATTGTCCTATTGATGGTAGTGAAAAGGATAGTGCATAGAGAAATGAATTCGCGAAATAAAACATGTAAGACAATTTTAAAACTCAGAATCCAAAGAAAGAAATTGCACTTGCTCCATTGATGCCAATTCCAAGTCATGTTACTCAACATATCTACCCAGTCAGGTAATTTTTATTTATCTACACTTCTCAGTCCAACAGTCAGTAACTTCACGGACTAATGTTACTTCTTAGTTTCTTTGACTGTAGCTTTTTTCCAACCCACTCCTACGCTAGTCTGCATCGAGATACATAGTAGTTATGCTTGGGTAAAACATGTCACAACCCTCTCAGTCTGTGAACAGTTACAGCTATTCTTCAGCTGCAAGAATACTGCCCTTGCTTTGTCAATTCATGCATTGAAACCTGCATCAGATCGTTCTTGTTTATTGTCAACTCGGTCTGAGTACGCAGTCATACCAATTTCAAATCATCCATCTCTTTCCAAAGCATCTACTGTATTTAGTGCTTATCCTGAGATGTTTAGAGCTCCATAGTCCCGTCAACAGTTAGCAAAATGACTAACATAGACAGGCTTATCTTCAAGTGGAATGGATTCGTCAGTTGCTCTATCGCCTTATCTCACGGATTTCCATCTGTCAGTCCGTAACAACGTAGAACTTCGTACGTACGTACATCAGTTTGAGTTGCCACACGACATTGGTACAGAGATACAATTGTCGATTCAAATCCCATAGTGGTAGAGGCGGTAAGAGTGTAAACAGTAATCGGGAAGATTGGGGTTTGAAGATGTTATCCAAAGATTATAATCCAGTGAAACATTTGTAAAGAAGTAAAAAGGGACATGAAGAATTCAGATTAGAATTTGTGAGAACAAAGAATGGATGCACCTGCACCATCGCAAACGGTTTTGAGCCATGTCGTTCAGGTCTCCAACCATCGGTTGTTATCATCTCGCGGATCCCAACCAGCTAGTCTACACTTACCAACATGACTCAGTCCACTTGTCATTGACTTCATGGATTTGTGCCATGTTTTTGTCTGGCCGCCCCTAGCTTTCTTCCATCCTACACCTACACCATGAAACATCGCATGTCGTGGCAGTCGGTGGTTGGGCATACGTATTACGTGTCCCAGCCATCTCAACTGATGAAGTCTCACTACTTCATCAATTGGTTTGCCATCCTTACCTAGTACCCATTTCCTAACAACTACATTACTTACTCGGTAGTCCCAGGATATACGAGCAATGTTTCGAAGACACCTATGATCAAATACTAGTAACCTACGAATATTCTCTACTCTTACCGGCCATGGTTCACTGTCATAAAATAGGACGGAATGAACTGCTGTGCAGCCAACCGTCCTTTGGTTGATAGACGGATATCTCGCCTACACCATAAATGACGCAAGTTGGCAAAAGTTAGTCGAGTCTTCGGTATCCGTGCTGAGATTTCGTCACACACCAGACCACGAGGGCTGATGAGACTTCCAACATAAGTGAATCGGTCGACACGCTCAACTACTTCACTCCCTACCATTAGTTCGGGTGTCGATGCAACCCAATCCTGAAGCAACATTTTGCATTTTGAGGGGGAGAATCGCATCCCGAACATGCTTGCATTGTTGCTTGGAGTGGTCAGAAGACTCTGAATTTTGTCAACGTCTTCACCAAATAGAACTATGTCATCGGCATATTCCAAGTCAACAAGTGAATCACCTGGTAGAAGTTCAACCCCTGGAAATTTGGATGAGGGAAGTGTTATCTCTAAAAGCACGTCAACGACAAAGTTAAACAAGAATGAAGAGAGTGAACAGCCCTGACGAACAACACATGAGGTAATTCATTCTGATGACAGTTCGCCATAAGCTCTCACTCGACCAGTTGTGTTCGAGTAGACAGCCTTTACAAGGTTAATGTACTTATTCGGAATGAGTTGTCGAGCATCTATGAGTGCGGTAGATGCTGCTGAGATGCACTGTTGCTCCCTCACCTTGTGGATGACCGCACTACGGCGGAAAGGTCCCAACAAGTGCGGAGCTAACCCGGAAACTACTCACAAAACGGTCGTGTGTGACTGGCCTCCTGCAGTTGTTTCTTGGGCATTGTGGTCATGCCCTCAGTTCAGTAAGATCAACTATAACCCAATTTCCTTTTCAGGTTCGTCTAGAAGAACCTTTACACGGTGTGGGTAACCTGGGATCGATAACCGCCCTCATAACTCTAACAGCACTCAAGATCATTGTATTCCCAAATAATCACCCTCTTCAATTCCTATCATTCCTCCTACCTCCATTTTTAACTACAAACTTCCTCTTTTGACTTCTTCCTCATGTGTTACCACGGCCAACGTTTCTAGTGATCAAAACACTGTCCCAGGTCTACTGAAATCTCGCTTTCAACCACACATTGGAGCCTTCAACGTACATACACTATGTCAAATCGATCAGTAGGCCTCTTTGACTAAAACGCTAAAATCCCGTACCATTGATGTATGCTGTCTCCGAAACACTCATACAGAATCCCAGTGTGGTCATTCACTTGACCTCACCTTGCCAAAATGGAGAGCCGATGAGATTCACCCTCCGTTTATCTGGCGACCTGAAGTCAAGTTCTCGTGGACTGGTGGGTGCGAGTATAGCACTAAGTGCGAGGGCAGAACCAGCACTATTAGAATGGATCCCCACTAACAGTCGCCTGTGTGCTGTTCGGCTGAGCCTTTGTTCATAACTGGTCGCCTCTGTTTACCATATTTTCTCTTCAAGCTTCTCGTGCAGCTTTGTCTACTGATGATTCCAGGTCTTCCACTTATCAGCTTCTATGCCTCTGTATATTCAGTTTGTGGCTGGGCTTCTGTTTTCGTCCGGCTATTACTGAATACTTTCTTGTTTTTCCGTTCTCGAATTTCGCTCAAGCTGTCCACAGAGGTCTATTGTACTGGTGCTCTTTTGGACTCAATACCTCTAGCATTTTGAAGGTATCGCTTATTTAATGTTTTACAGTTTCCCTCCGTAATGATTTCCTCTTCCTCTAGTAGATCCTGTGAGTTTTAAAAATTGCTGATGCGGTTGTTTTGAATTCGCCGAGCTTGTTAACATATAAAAACAAGGCTGTATTAAATCTTCACAATGCGGTTTGTCTAGTTGTTTGGTGCTAATTTCGGTATAACTTCATCTTGGCCACCACCAAGTGGTTATATAAGGTTATATCATCTTACTTTGTTCATACGTCCTCTATGAAACTTCTGAATTTTTTAAACATCCAGATGTGTTCGGTCTAGTTTTCCGTAGTGTCATGTGGTGAGGTTCATGTTGTTTTGTGGATGTGTTTATAGGGGAAAATATTGCAGTCCACGACCACGTTTGTGAAACCACACAGATCTACGGTCTCTTGCTATTGTTGTTTCTTTTCTCCACAGTTCATACACCATAATGCCTTCATACCAAGTTTTGTCCATCTCAACCTCAACGTTTAGGTAATTCATCAGGTTAATTATTTCCTTGGCCATCTATTTACAGTAGACTCCAGGCTCATAAAACTGGTGTTCATTGTCTTCACTGCTATCACTTATAAATGCGGAATGCTGGGTGTCATTTGTCGTAATCTTCACCTTCTTGCTTCTAAAGTATGCGTTGATGATTTCAGAACCACAAGTTCCGCATTCCATAAGTGCTTTTCGTACTTCTTTAGACAGAATCATTGCAACTCTACCTGCTGGGGACACTTTGTTCTTCGTAACCAGATTAAAGTAAGAGCTCCTGAAGTTGGTTTATTTGGCACAGATTGTGTTCAATGAGTTTTACCTGTTCTAAGCACGGTCAGTTAGAATATTTTCATCTGTGTTGCTATTCGAGTGACCCTCCCTGTCTTGTTCATTGTTCGAAAATTCCACACACTGACATTAATTGTTGCTCTGGTTTTTAGAAGGGGTTTTGGTCTGGTGGCTTCCAATAATGTCAGTTTTCATCATGAAGTGTCATAAAGTTTTTATATGAAGACCCTTTAGCTCTCTGAACAAAGTTAAAATGGTGTAAATATTTTGTTATGGCTAGGGTTTTTGTAGCGCTTTATTTATAGCAGTGGTGTGACCATCCCTACATCCAGCTCTCCTTTGTCTGGCCTTGGGGCCAGCACTAACTCTGAAGGAGCTCCAGCAGGAGTCGCATCCAACGTCTGTCGGCTGGGGACTCCACCCCCTCCTTCTGTGGTGTTAGGCACTTTTGAGGTGATGGCTAGATTTAACATTATATCTTGCCCAAAGCTCTGTGTTTTACATCCTGTCAGAAAATACTCCTTTCACATGTACCATGTTAGAACCATACAACTCATGGGCTATGATTTAGACATCAATACAGTATTATGTATCAATAAGGCAAGTATTCGACCCCATGACAAAGCGGAACTCGATTTTAAGGTTGGTAGTGTTCCAGGAAATTCATCCGTGTAAATTACGGTGCGGAACATTTCAAAAGCAATAAATCCGATGCTACTGGTAGATGAGCAGCATATCATGAGGTCCAAGCGAAGACTAATCAGGATATCTGTCTACTTGAGATAATTGGGAAATGTATGTAAAGGAAAATGACATTTGTTGGTAATGGAAACAGGTTCTAATCCTAATGGGCTTCAGTTAAAATCGTCCGTGTTGCTAGTAAGCAACAAAAAAAGTCACGAACTTTTTCACTTGTTCTTATCGTTTCAGGCGCGTGAGTTGATAAAGAATCATTACCCCATTCAATGTAATTTTGTTGAAAGCAGTAGTACTGTTAACATAAACATATTATTTCAAATGGACAGAAACTTTCGGTACATCCCATCATAGAGTAATAGTGACATCGATACGGTCCACCACTACCGTCTTTCTGGCAGTTAAAAAAATTCGGAAGTTCTGTGTTTTTGATATTGAATCTGAACTAGCTAAATGCACTTTTTACATTGTCCAAGATACTGGTTTCATTGATAAGTCAATACTTAAAGTTAATTGCTTGATACCATGCCTACTGAAATAACTATATCCGTATACTACTTTATTAAAACCAGGATTAATAACTATATAAACTTCAGCTCACATATTATTTTCAGATAATTTGAGTATTTCAGAAATAAAAGCTGTACTACGTCATTGAACAGAAGTAATTTTTATTTAGATCTATGATGGATTAAGTAGAGTTTTTAAGTTTTTTCACTGGTTAACACATTTCTTCGAAAAATTGTTTCTAAATATTTTTGAACTTTCGTTTTTAAAACTATTCCTGCAACTTGTGCACATTGTAGGTGTGTTGCTGATCCAATTCCACTTTCTCAGTATGTAATAGCCCTGATAAAAAAGGACAAAGGCGAACAGGAACTAAGAGAAATATGTATTGACCAATTGGAAGTATTCTTGCAAGAAAATACGGCAAAGTTCGTGGAGGATTTGTTTGCTGTACTTAAATCAAGAACATATGTTGCGTGTGAAACATTAAAACAAACTCAGTCTTCGGACAACTCTTACCCAAAGGATTCTTCTGGAAAAAACCCTTGCGGAAATACTTTTGATAATGTACCAAAGGACAGGAAAAGACATTTGACAAACAATAACACTAACGTTCCAAATGCCACGGACGCTTGTGCTCCCAAGCAGAAACGAAAACGCTCACCGGAGAATAAAGCAAAAAGAATTTCGTCAGATAGTCGTTCACGCAGTCCCCATTCCCCAGGAAAACCAATAAATAATGCAAGTACAACTAGCAGGCAACATGGGAAAGAACTTGAACCACATGTAGATTCCTGCAGTCGTGGACGTCATAATAACCACTCAGAAGAACCCAGCTTAAAAACAGTGGATGGTCATATCAGACGCAATTCATCAGGTTTGTAGTTAACCTTTTTTTGACTACGTCTATTAGCATCAACTGTTGTCAGTGCAACCATTCATTTATTTAGGCAGCGATTTATTTGAAGTTGTAAATTCTATTTTTATTGTAGGTAGTTCAAATGAAGAAGTAACCCATTCAAATACAATTTCATCGCGTCGGAATAAGTATAATGATTCAGAATCACATAAGTATAACAGTCGTGAACGTATCCACTCACGGCACAAAGATGAGCATAGCAATCGTTCGTGTAAATCTTTTGCGAAGTCTGTCACCGATTACAGAGTAGTTGATGAAAAGTGTCGAGCTGTAAGGAACCGTCGCTGTCGTGATTTTGAAGAGCGTGGTTTTTGTGTATATGGAGACAGATGTCAGTATGACCACGGCCCCAATGCTTTGGTAATTTCGTCTGCTAAATCTGCTGTGTCCGCCATCGCTCATCTCACAAACCCTCTGTTAGATACTAATCCACTCTCAAATAGTACTGGGGATTTACCAATGAATATTGGAAAAGAGGCATCAAAATCTAGTACACTTCAGCCTCAATCTTTTGTAGCAGCTGTTCTATCTGGACCTACTGAACTTAACGATTTAAATCAACATATTGGTACTCCTCTTATTCCTGTTTATCACCCGACTCCAAGTACGTATGTTTATTGCTTACTGTGGTGTTTAACCAAAGACCTAAAATCTACCACTAGATTTTTTTCACTGACGTAATAAAGTTTTGAAGCTACCAAATAGTTATAAAAGTGGTTTACTTGTTAGTGAAATACCAGTATACCTAATCGAAGTGGCCAAAATGTGGTAAAAGTCATATTTCCAACTCCATATACAGAATGTATTCATGTTAAAATATCAACTTATTTCCACCAATCTGTTTAGAATTTTCCCAGAGGTTAAAGACTCTTGCATTTAAATAAACTAGTGCTTGCTTTTTGAATATGTATGATTATTAGGTTGAAATGAAGACAAACTAGTTTTTTATTATTCCAATCATACTGTTACGATACACAATCGTCCTGTTTGCAAGTTATTCAGTCTTTTGTAATCCACTTAACGTAAATTATTCAATGAATCAGTGTAGTGAAGCTCTTCTCTATTTACATAAAACGAAGCAATTTAATAAGTGTATATTAACAGAAAGTAAATAGTTATAGGAAATTTTCTGATACAAATGTTAATTTTATGTAATTGAGATTTATTTTCAATGTGGTCGCATATTGATTGCCATGATTTGAATCTAAAAAAAAGAATGGACTAGTTTTTAAAAATTTGGTTTATTGTCACATCACTCAGTGGTTGTAACATTGCATGCTCTTTAGTTTTTATATTGTATTACTTTAGGTAGGTCGTGATGCATAATTTAAGGTATCACGTAGCCTATTCATCTGAAATTAAAGGGCGTATGTTATCGTTGCGTACATGAGATAAGATGTACTGCTAACCATCATAGCAACAAGACGAACTAATTGTCTGTCGTCAGTATTGTGTTAAATAATGTAATAAGTCATAGAAGTTGATAATCCTCACTCATTTCAATGTAGTAGAAAGCTGACGTCATAACGATGTTATCCTGCGAAAAATATTGACTGAGATTTCTGGTACAAAAGTGGCATGAACTAATAAAATATACTAATAAACTATACCATAATGCACTCATTTTTTAAGTCCAGAGCTTAGTTTTCTAATATTTTAAGGTTTCAGTCGTGTATCTTGGTTTTGCTGCACTGTTTCGGTTTGACATAATGTATCTTTAATTTTCAGTTATTTTCCTGCATCAAATGTACATCTACGAAAGTCTAAACGTATCCCGAGTTTGTCTTTGTCTGTTAACTTTTTGGATTGGAAAATGAATTTTATCTAGTCATGCTAGATACATTTATTGATGTTAAAATTTTAATGTTGATAATTGTGCTAATTAAATTTTATGGAGTTAATAAGATTCTGTTAGCAGGAATAATAGTGCTATATGCGATTAAAAAGATGTATTTTGTGCGGATTATCGAAATACACTTCACGCAACCAATGGTTCAATAGTTATATCCAACTGCTGCGTAAATATTTAGCAAAAATGACAAAATCATTTTAGATGTACATGTAGCAAATTTTGTGTGAAAATTTCACATCACTGAACATAAAGCATTAGCATAACAAATGACTTGCAAGCATCTTGGCTACATTATTATTTCGAAAAGTATTATAAATATTGAGTTTTGTAACACTTAGAATTTAGCATCAGTATACTATTTAAGTGGCACGTTCAAATTATTTGTTAGTTAATTAGTCTATTACAGCCTAATTATTGTCGAAAAATGCAATATCCTATGGGTCGTTGTAGCTACCAATGAGTGTTGCCAGAATAGCTCCAAGTGTGACTATATAATTGAGACAATAATAATAAAATCCTTGAAATGACATACATATTGATTTCATTTCAGTTTCAAGGCTAATGGTTTTGAAATTAAATAAAGTATATCGGTTTCTTCTACACATGTTTCCTTGTTAGCTGTGATTAATTATTGTCTTACTCTGTTCTAAGAGGTAAACTTCGGAAGTCATTGACCTTGGCTTTGTGTCGGTGGGTGTCTGTCGCTTATTGTACCTATATTGCAGTATATGTAAACGAGAAAGCACCAGTTTTAACAAAATATATGTAATAACCTTGCTGAAAAACTACATATGAATAATATTTACGTTCATATATACACATTATAACATTACAGTTCGTAATTTTCACCAACAGTTTCTCTGCATTGTTGTTTATAGATTCATATTATGGATAATAGTAGACCCCCATTGATTGCTTTATAATCTTGATTAATTATTCATTACCTGAAAAGTAGCTCATGTTCATACTATATTGGTTGGATATTTTATGTTAACGACAGCTTGAACTCCTTGATAGATGTCCTGTCAGTTGACAACTGGTTCTGGAATTTTTTCGACTGGGACTTATTGATCGTATACGTGGGCAAATTATTTATTCGACCACGTCAATAATTCCAGCGTTTTAACAGTCGATTGTGCCGTCGTAACAGAGACCTGTTTATTTTGATCTATCAGAAAAGATCAAGAACGTTATCAGGCAAACCTTTCGTTCTACCGTATCAGTGGTTAAGAAGATATGAAAAATAGAACACTTGCCCAATGAGGAGTTGTACCACTGTCGTTTTTGGCTTTACCGATGAAACCAATGATTGCCAAGATTGGATGGGTTAGAAATGTTTCCATGTCAACATTTTTTCGGTATATGATTCCAGTTAACTAATAACTGTAAATTTTGTGCCTAATTTTACCTTTCACATATTTGGCTCGGGGAAGTTCATCGTTATCCGTTTTTTGTCCTCATTAATTTGTCTTTTCTATTTAGTTAATCATCCAGATAATCAAATGTTAATGACCTGTTGCATTGATCAGTCATCGGATACTGGATTACTTCCTCAGGTTTCTAACCCTTCTGTTTTGTATAGTAAATCCAATTGGAAGCATCCCCGTTTGCAGAATAACATGCAACAACGTTCTAATAATTTTCGCATATTTAACAATGTCAACACTATTAGCCGAAATATAGTTCCTTTGCCAATGATTCAAAATACTAACAATAAAGATCAAACCGAAATTAATCCAGCTCCACCTGCCTATGAACCAGATCGACCACATTTGTCCATGATTTCGACATCCGAGTCTAATATTCTACAGTCTTGCGATACTTCAGATGTAGAACATAATGCCTCTACCCCACCATTATCATATAAACCCAGTCCTATCACTGAACAAATCAGTTCATATGCTGTAGTCCCAAAAACATCAGGAGTCACAGATCTTTCTTTGGATATCACTTCTCGAACTGTTGATCCTCGTACTACTCTGTATATCGATCGTCTTCCTTGGAAACTTAATGATGCGGATAAAATTCGTGAGCATTTTGCTCAATTTGGTCATGTAATAAACGTCATTGCTAGATACAAGGGCATGGTAGGGTCCGCAGTGGTTGAGTTTTCTTCATCAGATGAAGCTGAGAAAGCCTATCGAAGCCCCATTCCTATGTTTTCAAATAGATTTATTCGAATTTACACTCGTTTTCCAGAAAACTTCAAACACAATGCTCGAACTATGACTAGTCGTTTCCCTCGTCCCAAGGTTAGATTTTATAGTGTATTAAATTAACTGTAAAATTTTAAAAGTAGGATGTGTAATTTTTAAAATATTGTGCATGTTTTAGCAGCGGTGATACAGGCTTTCATGCAGTTTGCGAATACTGTTACAAAATTTTCATTTTTACTAATATTTTTGGTTTTTTTGCTTACAAACCCGAATTTTGTGCAAGGTCAGACAAGTTGGAGATTTATTCCACTTGATAGGTTCCTTACAGTGGATATTCAGTGCGACTTATATGCGTATAATCATTGACTCATAAACTGATGGGTTTGATGCTTTTCATATGGACATATTAATATTGTCGTATGTTAGAGTCAAGCCTGATAAAAGTCTAATTGAAAACAAAATTCTTCGATTATATGTGCTGTTTTAACTGTTATATTGTCGTGGGCAAGTATACTGCTTGACAGTCTGCTTTCTATCATTTTATTGGTGTACAGCATGATTACTAAGAATATGGGTATATGCATAGTTTGTGGTTATTCGACTATTTATGTATTTGAAGCATGGCTCACGAATCTTTTTTCGTTTATTTTTTTTTTTACCTAAATAATCACACATAAGTCATGTGTTCGACTTTAAGACACACTTGCAATAATACTAACTAGCTTGTCAATACGAAGATTAACTGGATTTTAAACCTGTGAATCAGTGGTTAAAGCTAGTTACCTTAACCGTTAAACCATCTCAAATATTTTAATCACTAAAATAATACGCAAACAATTACTTAAGTTGTAAAACCATTTAGTAAACTAGTTAGAACAGTTGTATTTCATACTGAGTCAGTGCCATCTGGTGCTCACATAAATCTAATATTTATTCTTATTTGCTGAGTTATAGCGTTATTTCCCTATCTATCGTCATTTTCGTCTGTATCATCCTTGACATTTCCTGTCCTAGGAAGTAGTCAAAGTGCTATTTAGGTTATTTGTGATTCATTGTTACCGAATTCTAGTGCATAATGGATTCATATAATTCCTTGGTGATACCGAGTTTCGACTCGGAGTACTAGGTAAGCGTGGCAAATCAGGTGACAAGGTAGTGATTCTTTATCGACTGAGAGAGTTGGAACATGTATTACATATACACACCATCCACTGACTACCTCAATGGGCACTGATGGCTGATGTTAGAATATTTTATTTGTTTATTTTAACGCATAGATATTGGTACAAGGAGGCACCAAATACATATGCGCCACACAAGTCTCATTCGATATATGTGAGGGCTGTGATACTGTCTGGGTGCCCAAACCGGAGCAGGTGGTTTCCTTAGGGGGCCGCTCCCGAGCATTCGACCTGAAGGTCTGATCCACAAGGCAGTGGAGCATCGTAAGTAGATGCAGTCCCATGGAAGCCGGTGACCAACAATTGGTTCATACGCCATTTGTTCCCTCAGGATACTGGAGCCCATATGCACCATTGGTTTGGAATCCGGTTAAAGCGCCGGACATTCGCTTTTCGTCTTCTCATTTTTGTAAACAACACCCCCGCCACGAGAAGGCAGTGAGTAAGTTGGAAGAATGGTAGAGGGGGTCAAACCTATGGACTAACAATAGTCCATAAAGACATTGTTAGACTGACTTATTTAGGCAAATGCAAACTACTTGATTAGAGTCTCCTTGGTCATCGTAACCAATGATTAGGGATTGTGAGTAACATTGCTCAAAATCGTTTATAGTTGTGCAATTACATTCACTCTTTATATCTCTTTAGATTCTAAGTTTATAAATTCCGGATACACTTCCCAAAATCATTATTTCACTAATTTATATTTCCTTTTCGAATCGCACCTTGGATCCTTAAACTTTTATACTATCGTTAATGCTGTTACTACCTCTGCAACTCTGGGATTTGCCCAGACAGTTTCATGACTCTGTCCTAATAGAATTGGGAAACTTGGACCGATGTACACATGTGCCAAATTCTATGTCGCATTTGATTAACCGACTGTGTAGGTAGTTTAACCTATAAAACAACGTTTAGAAGCGAATTTTTCAGCAGACAATTGTTCAAATTATCGAATAAGTTTAAATAATTAGAAATGTGTTTATTATTCAGAATCCTAAAAGATACATGTAACTTTCATGAACCTAATTATTTTGATCTCTTTTTATGGATGTTATAATTTTATCTTACGGTTATAACCCAGCTATTCCTATTGCTTAGTATTCTCGGACACCGATTCACTCGACAAGTCCCCAAATCAGAACACGGTTGGACAGGAAAGAGATTATATTCCAAATAACAAGGTTAGATGGAAGTAAGAAGCACAATAGCGAAAACGTTAGTATATTTATAGTTTTTCACATGAGATTTCTAGTGTTCACTAAGTGTTGGCTAACGCTGATTAGCTAATTCTTATCCAATCAGCGTGCACCAACGCAATCGTGCATTGAGCAATATTTAATGCAGTCTATGTCTCGCTAACAATCGAATATGATTTACTAATGTAACCTCACTCACTATAGAGCTATGGTTCAATGATTGATCCATTCTACTCAGTTGCAGTTTGAAACCTCGCTCCATATACTCCGGCTTAAGCATCCGGTTGGTATCACTGGCCCAAAGACATGTGCACCAATCTGTACCTAGTAAATGAATCGGATAACTTAATTTACTGGTCAGATAATATTGCTTCAACACTCATTATATTATCTGTTTATCATTTTGGTGTAATTTAGGATATTTTATTGATAAATTTCAGATTAGCCCATTGATTAATCGTTTGTTTACCGTGTTTTAACAAAAAGCCAATTTGTAGTTGAAGCGTTTACAATAAATGCTTTTTAATGATTTTCTTATGTTTATACTTTTGTTACAGAGTATACTGGATCGTTTAGGAACACGACCTGTTCCTGGAAATAACAAGATTAATTCATATTCATGGATGAGTATGACTAATGACTGTATAGAAAATCAACACGTTCCTGGCAGCATTCTTCCTGATGATACCATCCAAAGGGGTAATAGATCTCGTTGGCGTTTAGAACGTAATCCAACCAGTGGAGATGCCTTATTATCTGGTGATGAAGAAGACGATTTAATTGACGAAAATCCGACCATAGATAGTCATGAACAAAATTCTGCCACTTTCATCAAAGAACATAGTAAAGCTTTTAATCAAAGAATTGATAAAGTAGTAGATAATTATGTTGATCTTCATGCCGATCAAGAGTCATTATTATTTACTCGTAATCCTGTGAGTTAAGATGGTTATTTTTTAAATTACTCCATTAGATCGTCAGTAGATTTGTTGCTTCTAAGTAAATGATTGCAAATTTTAATTAGATTGGTTTTGTAGAAATGATTGTCCATTTTTTAAATTCGATTCCTTATTCGAACGTCATTGATCGCTCCGCTCATTCGAGGCTATCATAGCCTAATCTAGTTTAACAAAACGTATGACGCATGCCTAATATTTGTGATTGGTTAAGCAGGTTGTGAAATATTATTTATAAGCAAATATATCGGAAATGTGCTCTGATTAACTTATAGAAATCTCCTGTTCTGTAAATTTACGAAACACGATCACTTAGATTCATTTTTTATTATCTTATGCTACCATTCATCTTTCCTAACGACATAAATAATTAAATTCTTAGTTGAATTTGTTGATTTATTGTACAAGTCTAAGTTTATCAGTATTAATTGTGACACATTGTATAGATAAGCAGTTTCTAAAAACCTTTACCACTTCTTAACTAAATTATAAAATTTAAGCTTCAGTTTTTCAGTGAAATCTTTTTAATAACATCCAGTTACTGCTTTAATTGAAAAACCTAATTTTATGATGACTTTCCATAAATATCTTATCCTAACTAATGGTTTATGACTCAATGAGGAAGCTGTAGCTATGAAAAGTATTGCTAAGTCTGTCCACATCTCTCGTCATTTTATAGACATCGGGCTTTATCAATTTTATTGAATGTTATTTTCTTCACCTCTAGTTTTATATAAGTGTTTGCGATTAGTAACTAAAGGTATTATAATTTACCAATATGAATACTGAACTACACACCGACTTCGTAATCACCACACCTGGTTTGGTTTATGATTTCGGTTAGCATATTTTTTGCCCGCTCATTTTGGTCGATCAATCCTATCTCCTATTTTTACGCAGCTAACTATTGGCCTTCTGTTAAGTAAAACGCATAACAGCAGTACAGTTAGTTGGGTTTTAGGCAACTTATTTTGTAATAGATGCATACTGTAACAGCTCAGTTTGACCATTTTATTTATTATCAAGCATTTTAAGGGTCATCTATTAATATCATGCACCTTTTACTGCTCAATTTTTTCAAGCAGTATGACAGTTTCAAAGACCTTTACTCTTAAACACTAAATTGTTTTCGTTTTTTCAGGAAACTATCACTTCGGTATTATTTTGTTTCATGTTCTAAAGAACTTGTACATTGTAGTGTAGATCACGACATCGATTAATTCTGCTGCATTCCTGTTATATATTCATTCATTATATATTTCATTTCATTTGGTATTGTGATTGTTACCTTGATTTTGTTATCATAACTGTGCTTCATGGCGTAGTGTATTGTTAATCTTCTATTTAATATTCAAACTACTAAGGTCTTATTTAAGTTTTACGGTAAGTATTCACCTGAAAAAAGCTTGAGTTATCGCTTGCGAATTATTATCCGTGACTCGTATACTAATTAGTAAGTAGATATTCCCCATTTGTTCCACTTTTAAATGTCTCGTGTAATAAGTACAACAATGTTGACGTGCTAATGATTATAGTTGTTTCCTTTAAAACCTCATTGAAAAGGGTCATTACAACAATTCGGTAGGATGAATGTTTGTTATAACTGTGTGCTGCAGATTAGAGCGAAGCGTATTATCGATCGGACCAAAGACGCGAAAACACACAAGAACGGCCTACAGTTCTGATCGACCCCGCTTCCCTGTCTAGCCCAGCCAGTTGAGTCCAGAACACAAGTCTCAGCCTCTGAGATATGAATCATGTATTTCAAACATACTCTGTTTGTATACCAATCAAGCAGACCACACCGCACCATAAAACAGAAAATAACAATTGACACGCGAAATAAGTATTGACCAATAGGAAAATGATACCATCTCAAGTCCAAGATTAGCATTAGACTCAATAGAATAATTTTTGGGATATTTTCCTGAATATCCCAACAACGTTCATGAGTTTTTTTGTGTATATGCGACTCGATAATGTAATACACACTTTTTTGTGCTTATTAGGGTGTTTCGAAATTTGTATTTACTAGTGTCAAATCATAAACACATAATGATCAGATCGTTTGTTCAGTTTTTGTTGTATCTTTTCAAAGGCAATGGACTTTATTCATCGAGACCTCGTTTTGTGTTCTTTCAGGATACAGCAAGGCAATTCAAGAATAGTAATAATATAACTGTTACGTCAAGTCCTTATACTTTGTCGCATAAACAAGAGGCTGAGGCAATTCTTTGGGAGCGTCGTAAGATGGCTGCATTGAGACAACGTAAAGAACAACTTATGCTTTTAGATAAGGTACTTTTCTTACGTCAAGCTAAAATAGAATTTAATCATATATTTATATCTGATTATATTTCATTTTAATAATTTAATTTCAGTGCGATTTGTCTCTATGTGATATACCTGGTTATTTGATAAAAGTCAACTATTTACTTGAATGTAGAGTTTATTTCGTCAAATATCCCGCATGTGGGATCGTGGATGCTCACTATTGATGTGTCCCATCGTGGGACGACAAAACGACTGTCCAATACTTCCAGGTTTTTGTCGGTGGTCTAGCTTAGATCGACTCGTGATTCCAACTGTGAAAATATCCTTTTATCACTTAATTTCATTTTAAAATGTCCATGTTTTATTTCTCTAGTCTCGTGAAGCCCGAGAATCAGTGATTGAGGCTCGAAAACAACGAATTACTAAACTGAAGTTGCTTCTTGAAAAAGTGATGAGTCAGTTGGAAAATAATCGTACTAGCGAAACAGACAATTGTACAGATTCGAAACCACTGACATTGGATGAAAGACGGAAATTACTTACTGAAGCCAAACGGCTACAAACTGAGCTTGAATCGACTTTGGAAGCTGAGAAGAAAGATTTGGATATCCGAAGTTTAAACCGAGAATCAAACAGCAAAAAAATGTTCATTTCAAAACCATTAGGAAGCACAACAATTAGTGCGGCCGCATTACAAGCTTTACCGAGTCCAATTCGATTGGAAAGACAAAAACAAATTTCTGAAGTATGTTTACATAATTTAAATTCGTTCATGCAGTTATTTTTTTAAATAATTCCAATGATAATGGTAAACTTTGTCCATTTTTATGAATTACTTTTCTTGCCAACTTAACAAATAATTAACAATTGCGATTACCATAAAAAGTCATCAATGTACATTTGAGTATTTCCTTAGTGTTTTAGTTATTATTTATCATATATTAATTCATCGCTGCTTATATTTTACATATTAGATTCAAATCGAAATCGATAAATTGGAAGCAAACCTACGTGATGCAACTCAAGATGAGGTTAAATTAAAAGAAGGTCGTCGAAGGATCGTAGAACTTAAACGCCAGGTAGGGTCTCTTTGCCTCAGCTGTAAAATCTATGGACTCATTGATTCCCCTTTACTTATAGACTAGTATTTCTTCGTATTCTTCTTGGTTTCTAGATTTACACATATCGGTTTTCGTTTAGGTTAATTTCAGTGTATAATGAATTGTACCAGTTGTGGACTATAGCTCACATTTGAAATCAGTTGTTAATAAAAATAGTTACAGATACCCAATGATAAACTTGAATATACTAATAACTTGTATTTCCGTAAACAGATTTACCTATTCCCAAAATAGAACCTAGTTTAACATTGTATCACTTCCGAAGACCATTCGACTGAGTCCCTTAAATAGTTTCTTAGTGTTTTTTAAAACCGTATATAGATCACTGTACAGTCACGCAAACATTATTACATTCGTAGCTTAATCGTAGGCTATAATTCCGCACATACTAATAAGTTCACTGACTTTGTGGATTCCATCCCGTCTTGTGCAGCTGGACTTCAAAATCATACGATCTTATTCACGGAAGGTTAACCTGACTCCTTCATTCAACCGTATTTATTGATATAAATTTTCGTTGAATATGAGTACACAAAGTACATATCTTTTTATTGATCACATTAATTATCAGACCCTACGTTACCCAACTAACAAGCTGAAGAACGTTCTTGCCATAATCGCTAGCACTATAATCAGTTTATTTTTGAGTTCCAAACAATATGGTTGTTTGTTCATATGAATTGATGTTTGAATTTTGTTAGCTAAATGTAATTCTATAGCTACACTAATTTCTTTGTTTTCACCTGGTATTTTCAAACGGCTTTTTGTTTATTAGCTTGTCGACTTGGAGACAGTCCGGCCATCAGATATGTTTTTGTCTCAAAACACAAGCTGTTGTGCTCCCGGCGACAATTCCGCATACCCAAACAGAACTCAAACCAAACTTGATAAGCGACCTCGAACTTTGTATATTACTGGCATCGAACCAGATGATGTAGAAAACTTTCAAAATGCCCTCTCAGTATGTATTTTGCTCTTAAAAAATCTGTTTTCATACCAAAAACAGTTTTTAATAGCATATATTATTATTACTATGCTAATATAATCACCTGTCTGGAATACGTTCTACGCTACTGTTGAATAAAACAAATATTAAATAGAACTACTATGATGTCGAAATTTCCCGTATTCATGTACTTTAAGATCAATGTAACTTGCTTGCGTATCACTTCTCGAATGACATCTCTATTCACACAGATGTAATAACTATATATTTATGTTCGAATATAAATTAGTCAGCAGTCTCTGAACCTAGTATTCCTTCATCGCATTTATGGCCTTAGTGTAATATTTGTGTCAGATCAGTTTTTCTTTGTTCGCATTTACAGCTCATGGTTTTGGTCTGTGAGTAGTGATTTAAGCTGGAAGTTATCGAGTTCATGATTCAAGAAGTGAGTTTGTAGCGCTTTTCTTCTTCTGCTCTTCACTATTTGCCACTCAACACGTTGGTATTCCCGCTAGAGCATATTTGACAAATATATAACAACTAATATAAACCAGAATGCTTTATTACTATTTATGTATAAACAGTTACGCATATACCTGTGCACATGTTCAAAAATGTGGAAATTGTGTGTTACTCTTGAAATTCCCAACGACTTTCCAATTGATTCCACCAATGCAGGTACCTAGTTTCAAAGTGTGGCACATCTTACACGTAGACTATCCTAAAAAATCAGGTGACTAAATTCAAGAACTGTAGTGCTATCAAAGCTTTATTTTCATTTTTGAAATTTTAAATCCCGATCGGTTTTGACTTTTCCCGCATTTCTCATTATACTTCAAGCTAAATTACCTGCATACACAATGCTGTACAAAACAAACTAACCCTGAGACTAATCAGTTAGTACTGGAAGTTACGTTTTGCACTCGTGATTTCGCCGAGGCAGCTATTCGTCTGTTTACCCAGTTTCATGGACGTGACTTACAAATGAGTTTTGTGTATCCAGCACTGTCCGAAACCAAATCTGGAAATTTTACTGATAATGATGTAAAAAATGTAAGTTCGGTTTTAGATTGTACTTTCTTCATTTATAACCATTTAATCACAAATTGCGTAGATTCTTCAATTTTTTTTTTACTTATTTGTGTATTTTGACTTGCCTTATCTCGATTCTGCGTCATTTAATTCATAATGGTTTAACGTATATCTCTATCATTTTTAACAACTATTAGGAAGACGATTTGGGAGGTTCCATCTAGAAAGTTAAGTAGGTAATATTTTGTCACGTTTAGTATTTCGTGACGTTTGTCATTCCATTATCATTATAATGGTCATTTAATCTATATTTTCCATATTATTATGAAAAATGCTTGTAGAGTATGTAATTTCACTTATTTCTTAGTTGTGTGTAAATCAAACCATTTTCTTCAGTCGAATTCCGTTCGTATCTTTTTATTTTTACAACTCCAAAGGTGATTTCGTTGTTTATCCTCGATAATTAAATATATTTTAAAATAAGTGTCCTTCAGAGTGTTTTGTAATAGGGTCTTAAGGTTGTCATACTATTTTTCGTGGTACGGTGTGTTTTAATTTGAACATTTCATTTAACAAATCGACCGATTCGCATTACTTACCTATGTTCCTCATTATTAGGTTTCGTCCACACAAACTGAAACTTCAGACCAATTACAAGCTATCACATCTTCAGAGTCTTTGGATTATTCTGCTCATTCCAGCCCTACATCTACTACTGCTCTGAATACCATGTCCTTATGACTGACATCCAGTTCCCTATCCGAATATCGCTAGTGATTTGTGTAGAAAGAAATAACGTCCCTCATGCGATATCTTCCGACAATAACGTTTTCCTTGAGAAAAATATATTTTATTTAAACCTTTTCTACTTCAAAAGTTTTTTCATCGTTTGGCTATGTACACACTGTTTCTTAGTAATGAGTTGAGTATCAACTGACCTTAATTTCTATGAAAGTGATATAGTAGATTCTATCAATAAACCCACTATTCTCCTTTTGCATTTTATCTTAAAGATACTTCGGTACTATATAGAGAGAAGAGAGATTCGTACGGTTTGCTTTTGAATACCTCCCTGTCTGTCGGTCAGGTTTTCGGCTGGCATCTCGGGTAGTTTATTAGCAGATGTAGTACTGCTTTGTTATTCTCTCTCTTCATTACTGCCAGTATTTGTGTTATTTTTATACAGATATGGTAGTACTTGAAAATAAAACTTAACATTTGTTCGAGGAGGATATTTTGGCTAATGTATGATCGTGTAGCTAATCCGTCCACTAAAGATACGAACTAGTGCGCTTATTTTTCAGCTTCGTGTAGGGGATTCGGCAACAACATTGCCCGTATATTGTCACCCTCATGCGCATGTTTCTAAACCAACAACTGACTTATCGGTTGGCAGCGTATCCGACATAAGGCCTCGTGGCGTTGTTGGATAGTGAGGGTAACCCTGCTAGTCAACTTGGGCAGTCGCAGAGATTCGACTGGTCATCCACTCTGTTGCAACTGATCAATCCTGAGTTGTATACTCGGGACTCACTTTACCGCTCGAGCTACCCGTCGTGTGTGCTCAGGTATGGGAATTGCAGAAGTCATCGGACTTACACAATCCAAGCGTATTGACGTTTGGTTTCGTAAAAATGAAGCGTTGAGCTGCGAAATATCTGCCCTGTATCTAACAAAATCAGTAGCGTATCTATCAAGTCGAAGACATAATAAGAGGTGGTAGCAAATGCTGCAATGGGGCGACCAACAACCTCCCATGATAGAGTGCCTGTGCTTACGTGTGTAAGGAAATGCTGGAGTGATAGCCATGGTGTAAATGGAATGCATATGTGTAAGAGACAGTCTGGTGTACCAAATACCTTTTCTTCGTGAATGGTGAACGTCTACCCTCACAAGTGGGTAAATATGCCTATGTGTATGCTATAGGATGCATGGGGGGAAAACTCGTGTGCATGTAATGTACATTTGCTCACAGTTTATGTAAACCTGCATACCAAGTGTGTTAACAAGTATGCAAGTAGGCTAACATATACAGTAAATCCGCAAATTTCTTTCGGTGCGATATCACTACTCATTCAAAGAGCTGTGTAACCGCAGTCCCCATTAAATCACATTCATGCGATGAGTTTGTGAGACTCGACAAAACAGAATCCGTTCATAAAAGTCAGTCATCAACAACATAGAACTTCGTACGTACGTACATCAGTTCGAGTTGCCACACGACATTGGTACAGAGATACAATTGTCGATTCAAATCCCATAGTGGTAGAGGCGGTAAGAGTGTAAACAGTAATCGGGAAGATTGGGGTTTGAAGATGTTATCCAAAGATTATAATCCAGTGAAACATTTGTAAAGAAGTAAAAAGGGACATGAAGAATTCAGATTAGAATTTGTGAGAACAAAGAATGGATGCACCTGCACCATCGCAAACGGTTTTGAGCCATGTCGTTCAGGTCTCCAACCATCGGTTGTTATCATCTCGCGGATCCCAACCAGCTAGTCTACACTTACCAACATGACTCAGTCCACTTGTCATTGACTTCATGGATTTGTGCCATGTTTTTGTCTGGCCGCCCCTAGCTTTCTTCCATCCTACACCTACACCATGAAACATCGCATGTCGTGGCAGTCGGTGGTTGGGCATACGTATTACGTGTCCCAGCCATCTCAACTGATGAAGTCTCACTACTTCATCAATTGGTTTGCCATCCTTACCTAGTACCCATTTCCTAACAACTACATTACTTACTCGGTAGTCCCAGGATATACGAGCAATGTTTCGAAGACACCTATGATCAAATACTAGTAACCTACGAATATTCTCTACTCTTACCGGCCATGGTTCACTGTCATAAAATAGGACGGAATGAACTGCTGTGCAGCCAACCGTCCTTTGGTTGATAGACGGATATCTCGCCTACACCATAAATGACGCAAGTTGGCAAAAGTTAGTCGAGTCTTCGGTATCCGTGCTGAGATTTCGTCACACACCAGACCACGAGGGCTGATGAGACTTCCAACATAAGTGAATCGGTCGACACGCTCAACTACTTCACTCCCTACCATTAGTTCGGGTGTCGATGCAACCCAATCCTGAAGCAACATTTTGCATTTTGAGGGGGAGAATCGCATCCCGAACATGCTTGCATTGTTGCTTGGAGTGGTCAGAAGACTCTGAATTTTGTCAACGTCTTCACCAAATAGAACTATGTCATCGGCATATTCCAAGTCAACAAGTGAATCACCTGGTAGAAGTTCAACCCCTGGAAATTTGGATGAGGGAAGTGTTATCTCTAAAAGCACGTCAACGACAAAGTTAAACAAGAATGAAGAGAGTGAACAGCCCTGACGAACACCACTTAAGGTAATCAATTCTGATGACAGTTCGCCATAAGCTCTCACTCGGCCAGTTGAGCTTGAGTAGACAGCCTTTACAAGGTTAATGCAGTTCTTCGGTACTCCTTTCAGTGAAAACATGCCATAGAACCTACGATCAACAGGTCAATGCTAAGGTCGAGAAATACTACGATTGTGGGCGTCTGAAGTTGTGCCTATGTTCTGGGACCTGACGAAGTGTGAATATCTGGTCTATACAACCACGTCGAGGTCGAAAACCAGCCTGGTTTTCTCTAGTCTGCTCTTCACGAGCTTTGGTTAGGTGTCGAAGGATTATTGAAGCTAATATTTTAGACACTATATTAGTCAAATGATTCTTCTGTGATTGTCACAAGAGGACCTTTTTCCTTTCTTATAACTGGCACAATCAGTGATTGAGACCAGTCAGATGGACTACGCGGAATTCGTAATAGACCACTAGGTCTCAGCTGGGTACATCTGGTGTTTGGTGTTGGAACTCTGTACGAGCTGTAGAATGTCATAAATCTTAAATGGTAGTAGGCACGGAAACTGATGAAGAATAGTATGTGTCTATAAATTTATTGCTGTAATAAGTTCTTTAAATACAGTTGTTGTGGCCAGTCTTCTGAAATTAAAGCGATTCACAAACTATGTCAAACTGAGAAATGCTCGAAAACATTAATAACAAAGGTGAATCCACTTACTTGAATATATGAAACGAATATTCCGAGAGAAATGGAAACATTTGCATTACTGAGTAATATCAGTACAGACCAGGTAATTGTAAACTTCTTAATGTCATATTCTTATATTGTAGCGGTAAATAAATTCCCATAAATAAGTAGTTTTTTTTAGTTTTGCACATTGATACTGGACTTACCCTAGCTGAACGCGCTTGGCCACTCAGCCGCCCTAGATTGCTACTAAGTGCACCGTGCTGCGCATCCCGCGCAAAAACTAACTAGTCTAAATCAAACGTTCAGCATATCTATAAATTCTCAAATATAACCTCGGTCTCTATAGTATGACTAGGTTGACACTTTTCGATTTTATAGGTTTTTGCAGATAATAGCAATGTCAAGTCCTGAGTATCCATAACACCTTTGATCCGTATTGTCATGAGCTACTGCTTACTTTAAATGATTCGTATCCCTAGTGGGACTATATGGAAGTTTTAATTTTGGTTCCGTCTGATTGATCAGCTGAATAATGAGTGGCCAGCATCTTTGTTCATAACTTTTGAATACTGATTATCTCGAAACTTGGATGAATGTTCAGGAGATCAAGGGAATAATCACCGTATTAGTTTGATTTTGCAAGGGACAGCAGGTTAGGTTTTCTGTGTTAGTCCTTGCAGTGGTGATCTCGTAGCTGTTTTAACGTTTATATAAAAGTGTCAAAAGATGAAGCTTCAGTCGAGTGTTGAGGTGATGAATTTCATTCATTGATGATTCGATGGGGAATTCGATAGTCAGCTGACAAGTAATTTGTTTTGGACTTGCAAACATTCCTAGAGGATTCTCGCAAATTCTGTTTTTGAAATAGAAGAAAAATGAGAGCATATCAGATGCAATATTATCACGAAGTTACTTAAAAACTGTAATGACGTCACCTGTGGTTCTTCTATACGACGATGGATACAGGCTCAGTTTTGCCTGCCGAGCATCATACGGGAGCTCAGCTATTCCGAGAATCAGCTTACCTGTTGTCCTTTAAACCGTTGTCAACTGTTCATCGTCTCTTTTCATGCAGGTGCTAGCCGCCTGCATACAGCACTCGAGTTTAGGACGAACGAATACTGCACATGAAATCTGAAAGGTCTTGACATTGACGTGGCTAAAAGCTCCACATACTGACTCTGGTGTTCTATAAACTTTGTCGACTTTCATACGGCAGTGTGAATTAATTTTTAAGTTTTGGCTAACGGTGACTTCTAAGTCGTTTTGTGTCTGAACAATAGGTAGCTCAGTTTTATCCACCGTGTATGCATCCGTACCTTGTTGAGTAAGAAGGATCATTGTGCACTTTGAAACATTTATTAGCAACTGCCGGATTTTCTACCATTCAGATAATTTCTTCAGGTCATTTTGAAACTCTGGATTGTCACCAGTTTTTATCGCTCTACATGTATTGACATCGACTGCATATAACAATATCGATGTTACTAGTAGACCATGAAGTTCATTCCCATACATGAAGAACAACCTGTCCCCGAAACGGTACCCTGGGATACTCCGCTAAGCATAAGTTATCAGCTAGACGACTTTGAGTTCACACGTACTCTTACTTGACACCTAACTCGGAATTCCTTTATCCACATTAATATATTGCCTCCGACCGCGGTATTTCCTAATTTATATAACAGCCAGTTGTGACAACTTTGTTAAAAGCCTTACTGAAGTCAATGTAGGCAACATCTACAACTAAATTTTGACTTTTAAGGGCGCAAGAGCTTCCAGGGGCTATCATTAGGTTAGTGAAACATTGAGTTATTTAATGTTCACAGTGTCCACTGTGTGTGGGTTTATATGAACTGACGGGAAGGACATATTTACGGTAAGTACATTGAGAATGCCTGAGCTTTACCATAACTGTCCTCAATTAATGATTCAGTACTACTGTCTCCGGATAATACTGGGATGTCGCCTATTCCTGCGTATGAGTTAGGGATATTTATAGACTTC